AATGTTAATCTAATTTTAAATAAAGCATCACTTTCTCTCGGCTACAAAATGGGATGGAGGAGCTCTGTATGCCATGTACCATTAAAAAATCACAATGTTTTCAAAAATATAAAACTATATAACCTATAAAACTATATTACTAGATAATTAATGAACCATGCTAGCCCTGAGTTACTTCACAGTTGTAAATAATTACTAAGAAGCCTGGGTAATTAATAGATTATTTTAAAATAAATAGTCATCAACAATGAAATTCAAGGAAAAAAGTCTTTAATATGGAATTGCTTAATAATTAACTCAAAAAATATTTGTAGTACTGCATAAAATATCTGATTTTTAAAATGTAATATTTAAATCTAGATTTAATCTCAGTTTTTACTATATATAAAATAACAAAAAGTCATCAACACAACAAACCTTTTAATATAACAAGTGATAACAAATTAAGTTAATGAGATATAGTCGCATGCTAATGTTTGGGCAGCCCCAGTCAAATTACGTCTTTCTTCTAAGTGAAAAAAAGTTGACACATCCTCTACAGAAAACAAACTTAAATATGTTTTTTCTGCAAAGTTTATCAGAGAATTTCTGTTTATTTGAGGAGTTAAAATTAAAAAAAAAAAACATAAATATAAAACGTACCATAAATTTTGTACAAGCCACATTTGATGCTGTATTTTCCAATTAGTTACATTTTCCAAATAAACAGTAAATGTGTAGCTAAATGTACAGAGGTTTGTTCTCTGTAGAGGATGTGTAACTTCTTTTCACTTCAAAATCTTCAAATCATTTGACCAGGGGCACCTAAACTTTGCATACTATGTTGAATACATTGAAAACGTTTTAGTTTGTAGCTTACTTGGCGATTTCAGCAATTTCGTATCCATTGTCTATATTTTCTTTCCCAGCAGCCACTGCAGCTGTGAGCAATAGTCTGGGCTGTCCAGTAGCCTTGCCTTCAGCCTCGTAGGCCTCCAGAAGCTCCTGCAGGATAGAAACATATGAACAGGTCATAAAATCTATAATTAAACATGAAATGTGAGCAGAGTCAGAATTTCTTTCCATTCTGAACTCGTTTTAATGCAGTTTTAATAGAAGCCTTTAGCTGCCTGAATACTGCTGCAGAATCCAGTCACTACATAACAGCTGGAGTGCTGACCTTGCAGAGCAGAGTGAATCTCTGCTTGTCCTCCGCTGGGCTGCCCCGGGCTCCAGGATACTCCCAGTCCAGATCCAGCCCATCGAAGCCGTGAGTTCTCAGGAATTTGATGGAGGACTGGATGAATGTCTGTCTGTTTGCTGGAGTGGACACCATGGTGGTGAACCTGGACAGAAAAGCATGTAGGTCCATGATAAGATGTCTGTGCTTCTGCAGAGATCCATTAAAGTATTATTTCAAATCACTCACTGAGTTGTACCAAAAGTCCATCCTCCAACAGCCAGGAGTGTTTTCAAGCTGGGGTTTCTGTTAAATCCATTAAAAAACAAGTAGGCTTGTCAAAATAACCCAGAAAACACCATCAACATGAAGGGTAACATATTACAGACCACTCCCTTACAAAAAAGTCACCTGAATTTCACATGTGAAAAAAAAGTTTTTTGCACACTTCACATTTTAAAAATGTGTTAACAGTGTGAAAAAATGTGTGATCACTCATAAACGCATGGTTTTTGCACACTTCACGTGTGAAATATATGTGACTTTTTAGTAAGGGCTTTCAAGAACTTCCTTTTATTCTCAGGATATATGTTGTTGTGAGTTGCCATATACATACAAGACATACCAGTGCTATATTATGACTAAAACCACCTTTACAGGAGAAATTAAAATGTGTTTTCCATGTCCAAAACTGTTACAAATGGAAATACAGTGTTTCAAAATTAAACTCTTCATATCATCTGCTTACTAAAGAAAAACTTACCTTTGCTTCAGACCATTAAAAGACTTGTAGAGAGTCTCATTGTTTTTCTCATAAGCGACCAGCTCATTTGCACTGTTAATGGCGGAGAAGGCGTAGATCAGGTGAGTACACAGCTGGGGATCAATATTATCAGGCATGTACCTCCCAGGACCAGGCCTGTACTGGGACCAGCTTGTGAAGTAGCATATAAGCTGGGAAGCTGAACCTTATTTACAATAACAAAAACAGATTCATTGGTTTTATATATATATATATATATATATATATATATATATATATATATATATATATATATATATATATATATATATATATATATGTATGTATGTATAAAAATATAGAAATATAAAAATATTAATGATTCTTTTATTGATTTCTAAAAAAAAAAAACTCACCAAGATGACTCATTAACAGGCAAAGGCCTAAAAGGTAAAGCAAAAAAGAGAGAAAATGTTCAAGCAAAAATAGTTAATGTAAAATAAAAACAGTAAAAATATAAAATATAGATATAAAAATATACATAAAAATATAATATAAATATAAAAAAGTTAATATATAAAAGCAGCCCAACCCAGCTACACAGTCTCTACCTGCCAAGAGAGAAAGTCTCATCGTTGGAGCCTCAGTGTTGGTCCCGCTACAGCCTCGGCAATGAGAATGAGGATAAACCATTTTTTGAACGCTGGGCAAACGTACGGATATTCAAGCAGCCCAAACGCAGAACCCGGATGCTATCAAGAGGCTGACGACAGCATTTCTAAACTACTGAGAACTGGAAGACCGCAATCGCCACTCCAATCTCCCTACCAGAGAATGAAGAAGGAAGAGGTGTTATAGATGCGTTCGAGATAGAGAGCCCATCGAGTTTATACCGGATGTTAACACCTATTAGCCACACATACTAACCTTCAAGTTGCTGCACTGCAATGAAAGGCAAGACATCCTACCCAAACCTTACCAGCAGTCCGGAGCGCAGGTGACCCATGGCCTAGCTCGGCCAGTGCTTCTCTCGGATTAACGTGTTACTCCATACAGCGATGTGTCGCAAAGCCTTTCTATCTGCCCTCACCTTACAAGAAAAACAGGTGTGTGCAGTCCTTCCTTTATATCCAGCGAAACTGAAAGTGCTGCACACCTTTCAACTACACATCATCTGTCCTGTTCAGCGGTGGACTCAACCTGTAGAGCAGGGGTGTCAAACTCAACCACTAAAAGGGCCATATAAAAAATCCTCAACAAATCTGTGGGCCAGCTGTGTTTTTATTAACCTTTTGGCTTTCAGCAGTAAATTGTAAGCATATAGCAATATGTGTATTATCATAAAACACATGTTCTGTTCATTTGAGGGGAGCTTTTACCAAAATAAATAAATAAATAAATAAAATAAAAATGTACATTTATTTCATGCAGTTACTGAATACTTTGCCATACGATTTGGTCATGTAAATTCAGATGGACAAACCATTTTGATATGACCCCAACTGGACATTGTCTGTTCAAAATATGCCAAAACCACAATGGGAAAAAATAGGCACTGAACAATGAGTGCTGAATACGTGAACAATTCAAAATTAATTTTAAATAAAGAACACATTGTCTTATATAAAGCTATAGACTACATTAGCTTTAGATAACTGTGTCCCCAGTATAGGTTTTCAGCTCATGGTGAAATGGGCTAATATTAATAGAAAATGAAAATAATTTTGCAGGCTGAACAGGATTGTGCCGCAGACCTGACCGCAGACCTTGTGTTTGACATGTGGGCTGTAGAGTGACCTCAAATGGTTTGGTGAGACTGTTTTTGTAAATGGCTGTCTTTATTTATTTCTCTGACAATTGGGACGTACACCGGTTAATATGCCATCCTGTTTAATGTATTCTGTTTTCGTTTATTGAATATTATTGGCTGTCATGAAGGAAGCCAATCTGTTCTATGTATTAGTTAATTCATCAGTTAAAGTCAAGCGCTTAAAGTTTGCCAAGTGTTACTTGAATTTTCAGTGGCACCGTGTTCTGTGGTCAGATTGAGACCAAAGGAGAACTTTTTGGCAACAAACACCAGAGATGAGTTTGCAGTAGACACAAAGATGGCCATTGCAGAGGTGGGTTGTCTTTCTTCTAAAGGACAGTTCATTTGGATACATGATATTGTGGACTTTATCAGATACCAGCAGACATAAAATCAAAACCTGACTGTTTTCTGGCCCTGGTCATACTTAAAGGGATTATATGATCTGGTGTTCAGTATTGACTGCTAAAATTAAAATCAATATTTTTTTCTTAGTAGAGGTTCCATCAATGTCCATTTCAAATTCTTGTAAAGAAAGTCAAACAGCTAAATCACCTGCCATAGTGGCGCTGATTGGTTTAACTAAGTCCTCTTCTGAAAATGCTCTATTCTAGTTGGTAATGTGGCCTTAAACACATTATTTGAGATCTTACACATCTCCTCTTCATCTCCGGTTTGAGAAATGAGTAACAATTCACTGTTTCCACCATAGTTGGGAAACCAAGCAAGTGTTTTTTACAAACATGCTGCAGTATGTTGTAAAGTTTTCAGAGGCATAGCTACACCTGCTAGTTTATGAAGGACCAACTGAATGAAGCAGTTTGTTACAGCGCCACCCGAAGGCAGACCAGTGCTGCAGCTTTAGTTAATTAAGAATATCAAAGACCACTCTTTTCTTTTCATCTTTTATCATCTTTTAATGATATTATGTGCCATAGATGATGAAATCCTCAAGTTCCTTGCTATTTTACACTGAGAAACATTTTTCTAAGTATTACACAACCTTACCAGCCTTTTGTTGCCCCTGTCCCAACTTGTTGATGTTGCTGGCATCAAATTCAAAATGGGCATATATTTTTCAAAAAACAATAACATAACACAACATTTGATATGTTGTCTTTGTACTATTTTCAATTAAATACAGGGTTTAAATGATTTGCACAGCATCCCAACTTTTTTGGAAATGAAGTTGTAAATCAAAGGTTTCATCTTTGAAATAAATTGTTTGGGATCTTTTTCATGTATGTGATATTGCTGGATCTGAAAGCACTGACAATTGACAATAAACATTCTCTTTCCTGATATTTATTGACTCAGATGCATATGTCTCAGAATTTATTCTGGTTGAATAATAACATTTTAACATTTATTATTATAGACTTGACATATAATCTCTGTACAGTACAAAATTATTAATTGCAGTTAGCTCAACAGTATAAGTCTACACCTTACAACGAATGGCAAACGACACAATTTTTACACTAAAGGATGTAAGTGACCATTAAGTAGTATACATGCAATACTTTTTATACCAGTATCAAGCCAGTAGATAAACCATGACTAATATATGCTAGGAATGTAACTTTTTATGTTTTGCAAATATATTAATATACTCAAACAAAGTGCTTCTGGATGTGTATCAGGTCAATGGCCTGTGTTCAGTTATGCCTACAGCATCTAGTTACAGCTCTATGACCAGTTGCAGCACTTGCAGTCGCTATTGTAGACAGTTCCTGTAGGACAGCTCTGTGTGAATGTCCTGCCACTGACACACTGGATGAAGGATTTTTGGTCATCAGGATTTGAGTAGATACCATCAGACTTGCCCTCGCAGAACTCAGAGACTGGAGCTACAGAGGGAGGAGCAAGGGGTGCAGTAGTTTTATGGGGCTCAGCATGTGTGGTTTCTGTCGCTCCAGGCCAAGATGTAGGGTTTGGAGAGAGAGAAGGCAGAGGAGGCAGGTCTATCCAAGAACAGCAGAGAGAGGACATTAGTTATCCACAGTTTTATAACCGTAAGAAGAAACAGTGCTAGAAATCGTTACATAAGCAAGAGCACTGCTCCTGTAGTGACATTACTCTTTAACAAAAGTAAAAGTATTAATAAATTCAAACAGAAGTCAATAAATTGTTAACTGAAAATCTACTACTTTAAAGCTGCGCTATGTAAGTTTTGGGGATTTGGAGACCTCTCTGGTAGAAATGTATAATTGCACGCACAGTGCAGAAGAACTTTTTGTAACATTGGCTGTGCTTTGGACTCCTTTTCCAAATGAATTAATCTGTGTTTTTGTCCTGAATCAGTAATGCTATTTCTTCTTTTATTCGACCAAAATGAAAAAAAAAAATTGTTGCTTATTCACATCCTACAGTGAGATTTTTTGGTTTAAAGGTTTAGAAAACCCCCCTTCTGCTGATGTATCCTGAATGTGGAAGGACCTTTTAAAAAACTGCATAGGTATAGATTTTTGAGGTAAGATTTAAGTGTAAATATTTTTTTTCATTGCAGCCATTTAACTGTAGTGACTGTCTTTAAACAGACTGGATTACTCAAATGACTGAAATGACTCATCAGGAGGATGTAAGCTAAAATCTATAGTTAGCAAGGTAGCACTAGTTTGGCTTCTTTTCTCTGGCTGAAAAAAAAGGAAAATAGTCTCTGGTATCCATTTTGTCCTGAATAAAGTTAGAATCACTGTTTTCTATACTAATTTGTCAGATAACCAAAGTAAAAGTTACAGTAATGCAAGCTTGGTTCTATTTAGCCCATTAATCAGTGGCTAGGCTAGCAGTCAGGATTGGTTGAGCACTGCAGGGATTCCCAATGTATTCTATCAACTATAAGGCTGAGGGTTATAATGCTGTGCTACAGAATACTGTATGATGTGGGTGTATTTTGGCTGGAAAACCCAAAAATGTGCAAAACAGGGGGCAAGGCATATTGCAGTTGTAATACACAACAATATGATTGCAATTTAATATTTTATCAATAAAATGTACCATTACAGTGGGAAATGTACTTAACTCTAGTGTAATTAATTACTTTCCACCATAACAAAGCTGTGTAATGCACCTGTATTCAGGAGTTTCTTGAGGTGACTGATGAGGGGGTAGTTTCCCTTCCCACAGAACTGCCCTGCAAAGTCATCCAGGTCCAGAGCCCAGACAAAGGCCCCTCCAAAATTATTATCTTTCAGATAGCGCACCTGAAACAGGACAGGAACCAGTAAGACATTCCTAGAACCTGTGAAGAAACATAAAATTGCAGAAGACAAACTTTTGTACATACCTTTGTTTCGTAGCTCTCCTGAGTGTCAAATCCAACCCATTCATTTCCTTTGGTAGCGTAAGGTACTTTCTGATCTTCAATCCACTGTATGCTGGTTCCTTGAAGGAAGGTGCAGATCTAATAGGGAATGAACATTTATTAAAATGCTATTAAAGTGATAGTTTGGCCAGAATGTAATGGACACAATTTTTCCCTAAAAATCTAATCTAATAGGGAATGAATGTTCATTACAGTCTATTAAAATGATAGTGTGGCAAGAATCAAATGGACACAATTTTCCCTTTACCCCAAATATATTCAAGCAGCAAAGATTTATAAGGTGTTTAGTAAGTGTGCTACTTTAGTTTTGCAGATAGACATACTGGCTTGATACTGTTATGCCATACTGTTATCCATAAAACAGTCATACAGTGTATGACATGCTGTTATCTATAACAATGTACATACTGTAACAGTGTGTTGTACCGTTATCAGTGTACGACATGCTGCTGTCTATAAAAATAGATTTCTACCTTTATAGATAACTGTATGCCGTGCAGTGTCAGAAACCACACATGGAAGTCTATTTGAGATTATATAACTCAGCACAGTCTGAGGGAAGTCTGTGGTGATTTCGGGACACAGTTTGCACAATGCTAATCGTTGCCTCATTGCTCCAGTGCAAAACTAAACTTCAAATGTCAAATGTATTTTGCCTGATCAACTACATGTGGAGTAAAGGCCAATAGTGTGTCCACTTGATGCTTCACCAAACGACTGCTTTAAACTCTGTATGAAGAGCTTCAGCAGATGATGAAGCATGTGTGAGTGTGGCTGACTGAGCTGTGTACAGACCTCGTAGTAGGACCAGAATCCTGCCTCTCTGGTGTAAGTCCCAGCAGAAGCAGCACCGTTGGCTGGAGCTCCAACTCCACTGGCTGTAGACGTCAGACGGAAGGTCCTACCATACGTGGCAAAACCCATCCTCAGCTTCTCCACAGGGGCTCCCTGATCCCTCCAGTACTTCATTGCATAATCCTGAAAAATGAACACGAGAGTGCGTAAATTTGTGCTTCTTCATTCTGTTATTCTTATTGCCCCCGTTGTGGCGTTAAGGTCCTACTAAAGTAGCAAAAGGCATGTTCTTACAGTGTTAAAGTAGATGAGCTCTCCTTGGTCATGGGAACCACGGTACAGAGGACTGTTGTGCCCAGTGAAACTATCCCAAGCCCCATGGAAGTCATAGGTCATCACATTAATGAAATCCAGATACCTGTTTGAGAAATAGAAGTCATTGTAATCATTTGGGTGATGCTGGTAATCTAATTTAAAAAAAAAAAAAAAAAAACATCACTTTCTCTTTCTCTTAGCTACAAAATGGGATATATATGTCATGTACTATTCAAAAATGTTATAACTTTATATAATATAATAATACAGAAGTATATTAGCTATAAAATTCTGATGTTACATAATGGTTGTAGTATGCTAGTCCTGTGTTACTTCACAGTTTTAAATAATTAGTAGGAAGCCTACAAGCTCTAATGTTTGTGTTTCCAGGATGATGACTATATTCATCTAAAATAGCCATCAACAATGAAAAAAAAAAATCTGTAAATGTGGAGTTTAATAATAATTATTAACTTAATATGTGTAATACTGAATAAAACATCTGGTTCTTAAAATGTAGCATTGAAGTCTACATTTATATTTAATACAAAAGTTTTTATTGTATATAAAATAACAAAAATTATTAATGTAAGAAGTGATTCCAAACTTATGAATAATAGTATTTAATACTATTAAAGGACTCTTTTGCTTCACTACTTAAATTCCATCAAAACGTACATGATTCTAACTGAATAAAATATACAGTCATTTTCAAAGGTTTAAACACCCCCAGTTTAAACACCCATTACACATTTTGTTGATGTTCTAAGTGAAAATAAGTTAGCATGTCCTCTACAGAGAACACACCTAAATGTGTTTTTCCTGCAAATTTTAGTTCAGTATTTCTATTCATTTGAGGAGTTTAACACATTGAAAAAACATGTAAGATGTACCATAAATTTTGCACATGCCACATTTCATATTTTATTTTCTTTCCAATAAGTTAAATTCAGCATACAAACAGTAAATGTGCTTTAAATTGTGCCGAAGTGTGTTCTCTGTATGGGATGTGTTCATGGCCGTAACTTGTTATGAAGTTTTTACATTTCTCCATTCATGAGATTAAATGTAGAAACAGTGCTGTTAAGATAGTGTGCTAGTCTACTCAGGGGCACAGCCACAGTGTCACAAGCCTACTCAATTAAACAAGGACAGAATATCTATTATATTTATTGTATTTATTATTTTACGAAAATTTAATTTGTTTTGTTTTCTGTGAGTGATGTCACTGCATTATGGCCAATCAAAATCTGCCAAGCTCCGCTTTATTTTCTCAGCCCATAATTCACAAATTATGCTGGTAAAATGCAAAGTCCATAATATTTTTTTTTTCTTTTTTTATTTGGACCACTTATAATATTGCTTTAGTCTAGTTTCAATAGCTGCTCAGTTTAGGCTACAGGCTCTGTAGTCAGCTATATTAGCAAAGGGATGAGAAATGAAAGTTGTATTGTTTTATCTACAAATAATATACTACAAGTTCACTGTTAACCAGCATATTGATGGTATAATATCAGGTAGCTAAGATTATTAAGAAATCATCAGGTACATCAGGCTGTATTTTGTCTCATCAACTGTATGAGTAGCTAACTTTTCCTTTAGCTGGGGTTTGGTACAGACAGCTTTATATAACATCTGTTTAATGTGTGCTGAAGGAGAAACATATGGTTGCTGTGATACTCATATTCAGCAGTTATTTTTATTCGCTATGAGATGCAGGTCACACTTCTACAAAATGAACCTCACCAAAATTATGATCCTATTTACGGATCTGGATGTGTTAAATTATTTTCACTTAGAAAATCAACAAATCATGCCATTTGACCAGGGGCGCCCAAACTTTGCACACCATATTGAATACATTGAAAATGTTTTAGTTTGTAGCTTACTTGGCGATTTCAGCAATTTCGTATCCATTGTCTATATTTTCTCTCCCAGCAGCCACTGCAGCTGTGAGCAATAGTCTGGGCTGTCCAGTAGCCTTGCCTTCAGCCTCGTAGGCCTCCAGAAGCTCCTGCAGGATAGAAACATATGAACAGGTCATAAAATCTATAATTAAACATGAAATGTGAGCAGAGTCAGAATTTCTTTCCATTCTGAACTCGTTTTAATGCAGTTTTTAATAGAAGCCTTTAGCTGCCTGAATACTGCTGCAGAATCCAGTCACTACATAACAGCTGGAGTGCTGACCTTGCAGAGCACAGTGAATCTCTGCTTGTCCTCTGCTGGGCTGCCCCGGGCTCCAGGATACTCCCAGTCCAGATCCAGCCCATCGAAGCCGTGAGTTCTCAGGAATTTGATGGAGGACTGGATGAACGTCTGTCTGTTTGCTGGAGTGGACACCATGGTGGTGAACCTGGACAGAAAAGCATGTAGTTTCGTGGTAAGACATCTGTGCTTTGGGCTTCTGCAGCGATTCGTCGAATTATTATTTCAAATCACTTACTGAGCTGTACCGAAGTTCCATCCTCCAACAGCCAGGAGTGTTTTCAAGCTGGGGTTTCTGTTAAATCCGACATTTATATCTAGCATTAGCAACCAGGCTCGACAAAATAACCCAGAAAACATCATCAACATGAAGGGTTTCATTTCAAAACATATTATAGATGACTTTCAGGATTTTTTTTCATGATATATATTGTTGGGAGTTGCCATATACATATAAGAAATATCAATGCTATATTATGCTTAAAACTAAATGGATACATAGTATTTCAGAATAAAACTCAAATCATCATGTCAAATCATCTGCCCCCCTAAGGAAAACATACCTCTGCTTCAGACCGTTAAAAGACTTGTAGAGAGTCTCATCGTTCCACTCATAAGTGACCAGCTCATTTGCATAGTTAATGACTGAGAAGGCGTAGATCAGGTGTGTGCACAGCTCGGGATCAACATTATCAGGCACGTACTTCCCAGTATTAGGCCTATACTGGGACCAGTTTGTGAAGTAGCATATAAGCTGAGAGGCTGAACCTAATTTACATAAAAAAACAGATTTATTAGTTATATGTATATATAAAGAAATACATTGTAATATAAACATATTATTATTATTATTATTATTATTATTATTATTATTATTATTGAAACACAAACACATTAATCCTTCATCAATTGATTCAACTGATGTATAAGAAACTCACCAAAATGACACAGTAACAGGCAAAGGCCTAAAAGGTAAAGCAAAAACAGAGAAAATGTTCAAGCAAAAAATATACAAAAGCTCATATAAAATGAAAACAGCAAAACCATTTCAGCCAAATCCAGCTGCACAGTATCTACCTGCCAGGAGAGTAAGTCTCGTCATTGTAGCCCCAGTGTTAGTCCTGCCACAGCCTCTGCAAGAATGAGGTGAAATCCTTTGGTTATATTGATCCCACTTACATGTGACAATGATTAACCAAGACGCACAGTCTGATTTCGCTAGAGCAGTCATGTGGTCTCTCTGTGTCGCACACGTCATATGAAGAAAAAAAAAAGAGTGTTGTGCAATCATAACTATAAATGACTTTAAAACAACCCAGGGTCTAAAGGTAATTATGACTTTCCATTAGTCGAAATTATTACTTAATAATCTAAGCATGTTATCAATGCAATAGACTATCATTTAACTTTACAGCAGGAAACATCAGTATTTACTTTATTACAGTATTACAGTACAGACTGCATCAACATTTCCCCTCTTATTACCTCTTATTACGTAAAATAAATCTGCAGGAGACAAAACAACAAAATATCATATATTGAAAACACAATAACATTTCATCAATGCAAAACTCACCATGTTTAAATGAAAAAAGTGGCACATTCTGTTTGTCAAGCTAACATCCAAACAGCACCGGTGATTGTATAAAATCAACCAGCCGAAAGAACAAGTCTAGATGTTGTGGCCTCAGAGTTACTCATTTCCTCTAGAAATCACTTCCCCATACAGTTTCTATCACAACCCCTTACCTGTTTTTCTCACTTAGGGGGATTCCACTGATTTTTCAACATTTTTGTGTAGTCACTGATGTAAACAGTCATCCAGAGTGGTTTGATGTGTTTTTTTTTTGCAGAGAAAGTGACTCATTTCTTTACAGTGGTTTGAGTTGGGAACGAGAAATCATGATATTGCAAATATTCCATTTTGTTTACTATCCAAAACCACCTACATCTACACGTCTTCTGATACCCTGCATGCACCTCTCTACCATGACTGTATTTAAAAAAATAATAATTAATTAAAAAAAAATAACAATAATACGTGTCTCAGTCGAATCTCAGATCAATCCTGCTATTGTGGCCTTGGAGTTACAGTTCCTCCTGCTACAGTTCCTCTAATAAACAATGAAGTGATGTATTTTATCTCCCTTTATCAAATCTGAGTCTTTTTACTATAGAATACTTTGTTTAAGAATATATTTGTTACACCTAGAAATAATAGTTCTTTGGCTTTTGTGCCTCTGTTAGGCCTGTAATATGTTCCTTGATAAGGATGCTGTGACAAGGACTTGCTTATGCCCCTTTCCAATCTACCTACCAGACATACTGGTGTCCTACACTATAAGCTTAAATTAGTTGATGTTATTGAAAAAAAAAAAAAAACATATTGCCTTGAAAAGTTACTTAACAGATTCAAGCCTAATTAACTTTATATCTGAGTTACAGTTACCTAGAAATACCGGATGTTTAAAATATCACAAGTGGCCAGCGTAGGGTTCTCCTTTAGCAGCTGTAGCCAGTCAGCAGCCTGTCCATGTTGTCCACCCTCACACACACACACACATACAAACACATACACACACACACACAAACAGCAGGCCATGTAGGAGGAGAACAGAGTGAAGGACACAGCACCTCCACACTTTTATTCCTACGGGTTCACCCAACACTACTATATATGTGTAATATAAATGTGTGGGCAGTGAACAGAGTGAAGACACTGAAAATGGGTTATTTTATATGTTCTTCACAGAAAATGAGCAAAGAACAAGGAATATGAGGTTAAAATAATAATAAATCACATCATTTTTTCTTTTGGTAAACATTGAAAACACCACACAAGGGTTAACTTGAACCAAATATTCATCATGGCACAACGTATAGGCATCAATTAAAACAGGTGTGTTATATTAAACTGACTGTTTTTTACTGTAACAAATAAATAGCTTCAATAAGACTAAAATCACTCTTTTCTTAGAGCTCTAATGGCTCATTGCATATTTGCTATTTTGTTTGCGTTCATAGCTACAGGCTGAACTGGTAAAGCTGAACCATCCAACCAATATTCTAAGCCGCTTATCCTCCTGGGTCGCGGAAGGTGCTGGCACCTATCCCAGCATTCATTGGGCTGAAGGCAGGAAACACCCTGGACAGGTCACCAGTCCATACTTCACATTTAACATAAGAGTATGCTGTGACGTATAATTTTGCAAAGAGAATTACATCTATAAATTAGAAAACTAAGAGTTAATTAACGGAAACCAACAAAACCGCTGGGAAGTTTCTTGGTCAGACTCTTCAGTCTGTGGAACCTATCCACATTGACTGATCTTTACTAGATTTAACTAACTAACTAAGGATTATACAAATTAGCTAAAATCACCACTGAAACAGTCACTACTGAAACATAAAGTTCAAAGTGGTAACGCATCATTCAGTGCTATTATTGTACTGGTAGTGAAAAAGTGGACTGTTCAATCATTTATTTTAATAAAATAAACATAATTAAGGGATGGGGTCACTCAAAGCAAAAGGATTTTAGTCTTAAGTCAGTTAAAAGTCCAAAATGTGTTTTCAACTATGATTTAAACCAATTCAGTTGATCCACATACATTTATTCATGACCTGCTGGCAGACCAAGACCTGCAGGGACAGAAAATCAGAAAAAATCAGTTGATTTCCGCATTTAGGGAACTAACATTTACTCAGAAGAAGAGTAAACGAATGTGTCATGAGAGAGCTGAATGGAACTGAAGGCCGTCTGTGATGCATGTGTCAATATATTGAACATATTCCTTTGGTTACCTGCTGACATAACCAGCTGCAGCTTGAATAAACACTATATAAGGAAACACAATGAAAGAAAAAAAAATTGTTGGTGATTTGACGGCTCTCTATTAAAGTGGCTTGTGCTTAAGAGTAGTTAATAATTGTAGCGAGTCGACAGCAGCGAGACACTCATTAGACAGCTGGCAGAGTCGTGATTTTTGCTTTTCGTGTCAGGAGTTCATTGATTTGCGCTGAGCTGTCACTCATGAAGGAGCTGCTGTAGTTTCCTGGTTTAGTGCTGAAAAATGAAGCCTGTGCTGCACCTTAATATCTGAGTGTGCAACTTGCTTAATTTAAACTAGCACTGGTTTGTTTTTGTATGTGTTCGTTAAAATTAGCCAGAAATTGTTTTTTTTTATTTTTTATTTTTTTTATTTTTATTTTGTTAATTCATGACCTTGACAAAATTTGCAGTTCAACATGATCTTTGATGGAATTGTAGTAACGTTTACCCACCTCTAAAACATCTTTCGATTTGATTACATCACCGGGAAAAAATATTAACTAATATGGTTAACCGATATGTCATGTTTCATCTCCCACTCCACCCTAACACTGAGTAACATTAGAGACTAACACCCTAACATTAGAGACTCTCCCTAATGTGGATTTCACACAGGAATCTGTCACTATACAGAAGAAAAATGTGATACGACTTCTGATTCATGCTGATTTTAAAAAGCATGGCTGGATTTAACAGAGAGAAACAGAGAGAACAGTGGCTGAGGAGATGGACAGTTTGGGCCGGTGTCAGCTGAGCCCTGGAAAGAGTTAAACTAAACCTACTTTCTTAAAGACATCTAACAGTACTCATCACTTACCTGTTCACACTAAAAGGTCCTCACTGCAGTCATGGGTTAAATTCTCATACTCATTCTATTTAGACTACGTCTGATAGGCTTTGGTTAGACCTTTTTTGTTGTATTCATTATTGTACATTCATTAGGCATTTCCTTATTCACTTCCCACCTCTTAGCGCTCTTGTTGTGCTGTTGTTCTACAATCCGGTGTCGACTAGAAGAAGATGGGTTCCCCTTTTGAGCCCTGGTTCTTCTCAAGGTTTCTTCCGCTTGCTTTTAGAATGTTTTCCTTGCCACTGTCACTTTGATTGCTCACTTGGGGCCTTGAGCCAGATTTCTGTAGAGCGGCTTTGTGATGACACCAGTTGTAAAAAACGCTATGCAAATAAGCTTAAATTGAATGCCCTCCAAAGTCATTCAGCCCACACAACATTATTGTCATTTGGTTAGAACATCGGAAAAAATGGGAGTAAATGATTTAATAAAATTAAAAATTCTAACATAATTATAAAAGATGATGAATAAAGAGGACATCATTAATAAAAGGTATGTACATAGGACACTGGAAAGTATACATAAGGCAACAAAACCCGTGAAACTTTGTCTGTGTGTTGGAAAATACCAGAACTTTTCTAAGCAGCAGAGGCCTTAAAGTGAACCCTTTGAACCTTAAGCCACAAGGAGGCCAGTGTATAAACAGGTGCTTGATAAACCCAAGGAAGGTGCTGGGTACCAAAGATTCAGCTTGCTCTTTTTTAATGATTTAGATAATGATTTAGGTCCAACCAAGTGATAAATCTTTGGTTTAATGATGGGCAAAACAGGTTATGACACATCAAGAGAAAGAGGGGATTACCTCATCTCTGAAAAGTGTATAAAAACATGGTACATCGTATTCACATTTGGGTCCAGAGCCTAATGCCTAGGCTGAATGCACTTTGCTTGTGATAAAAACATAAAGCATTTTTTCTCCAACTGAATCCAGCATCTGAAGTCTTGTTTGAAAACTTGAGGAAGAATACTTGTTAGACGTAAGTGATATGTAAGACTTCTAGATTATGTAATTTGTTTAACAAATAGTCTGGTGTGGGTGATTGGTGTCACTTTATGACACAACCTATTGCATTGCAAGTGCATTAGCAAATAATGAATTGTCACTGTCTAAAATGAAGTTTCTCCATTTTTTATTCTTATGTTTCTACATCATTTGAGCAGAGTATTTACCCTAAACACTGATTAAAAGTTCATGGTTAATGGAGCAATAGAAATGACTGGAATAAAATGTCTTCATATTAATTTGCATTAAAAGTAAATACTGTTTTTGGCCTCTTCTGTGAAGTTACCATTTTGAATATAATTTTAAAGGAGACACTATGCTGCTAGCAACTCATCTTTGTCCTCCCTTTGTTATCAAACCAAACCCACATTGGCTTTAATGCCAGAGGGGAATTTATGATCCTCAGACCACTAGACTGAAGTCCCTTTGATGAGCAGCCTTAGTGGAATAAAGGTTGTATAATCTTCTGATCATTGTATTCGCACAGTGATAAGACATTTGCTGCAGTGTGGAGCGATACAGGTGTGCGTCATTTGTGTATACGTCACTTAAGTTTTCCATATTGTGTGCAACTGATTTGCCTGTGATAAAATCATGTAAGTAAATTGGTGATAGATCTTAAAATCCAGCCTCCCTGTTGTAGAAACCGATTATTTCTAGACACCGTGGAGGTCAAAGGACATCACATGGTTCGTGTCCCGGTATCTGTGATTGCCTGAACTTGGACACAATTAGAGCATATTAACTTTTCACTCCTTTCACTGACTTTAGCAGTAGTTTTGGTTTCTTAAGCCCAGTCCCAAATAGGACACTCACTGTCCTACAGTCCACAACTGTACATGCACACAAGGTCATGAGGCTGCAGGGTGTCCCGTTTCTTATTCCGGTGTTCAAAAGGGAGCTCACCTGCACCTTCTATGCAGTCTTACTGCAGCCTTCAGTGAGAACTGCATTGATACAGACTCAGTAGTGGTCTCTCCATGCTTTTAAATGCAAGTGGGGTCATAGTTTTTTTTCCGAGGAGGACCTCATTCACCCAGTGCTGTTAATATGAGAGATAAACAGAAAACTGAGGTTGTAAAATGGCTGTTGTAGTTTATTAGCTAGCTGACCTCAATCAGCTTTTGGCCTTGTTTACCTGTGTTTTGAACTTACGCAAAGCAGAAATAAATTGAGAATTAACTGTAGATGTTTAAATTTCACTTTATTTTTTAAAATTATTCTACAATATATATGATTGCTTTGTGTTGTTTGATTGCATCTATCCTCCAGCATGTCAAAAACAGCGCATGCGTCACACTCAACTAATCTCACCATCCAGCTACAAAGGACATTCATGTGGTGCTTGTTTTCCCCCCAAACCAATAGAAACTGCAACTGCGCTGTCCTTGTAGAGAGGTCTAAATTGTTTTCACAGCAGGGGGTTCTCCCTCCTCCCCTTTCACCTCGCATTGCTCACTAGCAGCTCAACATAAAGTCGCAACATTTCACACAAAGAGACACCCAACAATGTCCTAGTTAACTTAAAAAAGTTACAAGGATACATTTTTTGTAGGTAATTCTATTTAAACAAAAATATAAGTCAGGTTTCATTCTGCCAGTGGAATGGTCACTCAGGGGCCTGCAGAAAGAGATTGAGCTGCATTATGCTTTTAATCTGAGGTTTACCACTGTAGACTAAAAATTAGCTTAGTTAAAAAAATGAGCAGGACCGATATGCTGGAGATGGCACAAGCAGAGCCTGCACGTCTCATGAGTCTGCCTCAAATGTTTCAGCTAAGGACACCATGTGGAGCTGGGTTTTAGTATCAGTATCTTCCTTCTCATTGAGCTCAAGCAGCTTTCTGAAATATGAGAGGCCAATTTTAGTGAATAAAACTGACATTTTCAAACTGCAGTGTGAGTGAAATGAACAGGCAAGCACACTATGGCGCAATCCTGTTTTCTACTTTTGCCCCTACCGCTTGTCTTCAAGTGTCACCTTGCCCCTTGGAACAAGTTACAAGGGGTAGTGATTGAAATCTTCCCCTATGAAATGAAACAACCCTCTAATAAAAAAGAACATTACTTCATTAACAGCTACTAGCGCTGCTCTGTAGGTGCCCCTGCCAGTCTGCAGCGATAGCAGAGGAGGGTAAAGTTCAGCTCCTCACTGCTGGGCTTTAGATATATTTAGGCCATCATATGCCTTTAAATGGGGGGGGGGTATAACAATTATTTATTAACCCCTGATTCTTCAGTGATATGAAGCTAAAGTCAGCTATTCGCCAGCTTCTTGTTCGAAGTTTCCCGTTCCACCTTAAATGGCATCAGAAGCTGCACTGTTTCAGGTGAAAATCAGCTAGCTAGCTACTGAGACATCAGTGCTACTAGGGATTTTTAATGCTTGCTATGAAGAAAAGAACCATAATACACTGAAACATTAAACTAAGAGAATACAATGATGATCGTAAATTTTAACTGAGAAAATTCTCACATTTGTGGGTTTATTTGGTTGCTTGCGCTGCCATCTTGGTGGTTTTTCTTTTTTTTCTCATAACACTCTGTTTGGAGTGAATCTCTGAAAAACCTTTATTTGGAGGGCCATGTAGCCCTAACACTTTACCCTACCCCTCTATCTCAACAAGAATCAGGACACCCTACCCTTAGGCATGAATGCACAAAACAGAAGAGTAGGGCTAAGTGCTAGGGGCAGGGGGTGAAATGGGACTGGGCCTATGACTTCAACACAACACAAGTCATTGTTGTGCTACTTGAATCCTTCTTCTACATAACATTCCTCAAGCAGTAACTCTGGTAGAGAGTGGTGTGTATTTGAATTACTATGTGTTACTATGTACACAGATATGTTTGTACAAATTGCACTCAGTGCAATGAACCTGTGATTGTCCTCACTTGAAGGCCTTTATGAGGTCCACGATGTGCTCAGTCAAGCTCCAGCCTGTCTACATCTTCAACCCACAGGGAACTGATGGAGGACTGTGTTGTCCTAGTCATTATGAAATGTTCCTTTGTCTATTGAAGGTCACTTCCATGGTGTCCTTTTCAGCTAATGCAGAGAAGTGAGCTGGAGTGGTGACTGTCAAGAAACAATGGAACATTTCATGATGACTAGGACATCACACCTATGAAAGAATGTGCGTGATATTTGAATCATTCTTCTTCCCTTTTGGCCACACATCATTAAACTCCAGGCAGCTAACAGTGCCTTAAGTGAGGGCTTATTGCTAAAGATTAATCATCATCAGTGCATAGTCATCCACACAATTATCTCCAGGGTTTATTTCAATTGATTTACAAAAATGTAACCTGAATATTGTTCAAAGCATAATATATAATAAGCATGTAGGCAACTTTCCTGTACAATATTACTTCAGTGCAAATTTTTAGTGGTTGATGACAAAAGTAGCATATATCAGATGGGTGCAGATGTTTGGGACAATTGCTGTGCGTACAGTTTTGGGGAATCATATTGCCATATTGCTAAATGTAATTTTTGTCCAAAGCTGAAAACTGGAAAAAATAGGTTTTATATACTATAAAGCTATGTGTATTTAGCACAGACGTTGGTTTAATTTCACCAACTTTGAAACACAACAACAAAGATATATCATTAAAATGTACAGAACTTTGAGAAATTCAGTCATTTTGTGGGTATTTCTGTGATTCAGTTCCATACTGTCCATTAGATTAAAACACATGATGCTTAACAGTACTGTAACTGTATGTTTTCGTTTGGAAGACAGTAAACAACAGGTGGATGTTGGTGAAACTCTGTATTTGTCTCAGTTTGTTAGTTGTGGGGTACCTCAGGGGTGTATTTTAGGTCCAATTGTTTTTATTTTATATTTATTTTCTGACATCTGTATGTTCTTGTGAACTTTTTTGAACACAGATGATTCTGTTAATTGTTTTTTCGTAAAGAAAATTTGTGCAAACACATAGCGAAGAGAAATTACCTTTTGAGTCTTTGTAGAGATCTCAATAAAGTCACAAATTATGCTCAGATTTGCCAAGATAATAACATTCATGTTTATCTGCAATTGACCCAAATAAAAGAGTCTCAATAGTAGCTCAACAGTTACTCATCCAAGATGTACAGCCTCCTCAGTTATGATGCTGCGAATGACTCTTACAATTTTTATCTGGATCAGATGTTTTATACTTTTATACCGGTTGTTCACAGTATCATGGCATTTCCATTAAAATAGGCTACAGATGTCCTAAAACAAGGATTACACTAATTGCTGTCTGTTTAGATGTTTGATTTCTCTAAAGAAAGATAAGCAAGCCGACTTTATTAATCTGTTCGTCTGTGTCAGTGATAGTACACGTCACCATAGTGGCACACTGCTCTGGTCCATAAGCATTTATCAAAGGTCTTTATATAGTAATAAATGAGCCAGTGCCAAAATGTAATAAGCACAACCAGATAAAACATGTACAGTACTTTATCTGCTGCAATAAAAAATGATACCTCCTCATCTATCTAGTGCTCTATTAAATGGCGCCTTCACACCTGATAGTTTATACAAGTCTGATAAGATGAATGCAACAGGCCTATTAAGATGTGATGCATCTGTATTTATTTATTACAGATACGTGATGGTCAGTTCATCATGCACTGCTTGAACCGATAACATGAACAATCCTGCTGTAATGTATGAGCATGTTTATCTTTATGGTCTAACACAGTAACAGACCGTTGTGTTATTATTAGCGTTGCTATGTCTCTGTCCTTTAAAAGCCACATTAAACAAGTAATGGCACATCTTCGGTTATAAAGTAGTAAAACGCCGGCCTTGAGAAACTTGTGCAATAAGGGTCAGTGTCTTGTATAGCCAAAGAGATAAATAAAATTTACTGCTGATCTTACAGCGTGTCTGGTTTAGGCCAGAGGTGCATTAGTTCACCCCTAGTATGAAACTATATACCACGTTTTTAGTTTATTAGAACTTGTACCTACACTCATTGGTCATTTTATCAGAAACACCTGTCATACAGGTGCACTTGGTAGGTTTACAATTACTGACTGATGCCCATTTGTTACACTCCAGGAAAGAGACCACCACTGGATTGCTGACCAGATATTATTTAGGTGGTGGACCATTCTCGGCACAGCAGTGGCACTGACATCAAGCCCGTGCGCAGACATTTTTTAAGAGGCATAGGTTCAAAGGAGAGAAGCAGCAACCTAAATGTGAGTAAAATTTAATTTAATACACTGCTTATTGCAGGCGCTTATGGTCTAATCATATTTTCAAAGAAAGGCAATGTAGTGTTTTAAAGTCTCACACAAAGACTTAGCCCTGAATAATACAGTTACATGGTGATATGACAGTGTTTTTGTCAGAGAAGGGCATCAGACCGACCGTCTCCCACTTTAAAGGCAGCTGGATTGTTCACTACTTTATCCAACTGGCATAAAAAGTGAGAAATTGATGGTAACACTTTATAATACAGTGATTTAGAGTGTAACTTCCTTTTATTTACCGTGTAATTTTCCTTTTTACCGTGTAAATGTCTAACATTCCTGTACACATCAGTGCATATAAAATACTTACATAAATAAAAATGATGGTTCTTTAAGGGTTCTTTAGCAAAGAAGAACCATGAACACTCAAAGATCTCTTTGCATAATTAAAGAGGTCTTTGCATTGTGTCCCTTTATGAAAAGGGTTCTTTATAGCAGGGTTCTTCTTTTATTCTAGAATTGACATCGTAAACAAATTTTACACACATTTGCATGTTATAGTGACCTCCATATAACCAAAACAAATAAAACAAATGTGTGTAAAACATTTCTTATGTTATAAACAGCTAAAACGGCCCAGAGTCAGACTGACCGCAGATAATACCCATGCAAAATGTGTACAGGACATTGAAACCATATCACCATGTCAACCCAGCTGTCCCCATTAAAATAGGAAAAGTCATTAAATATGAAGCAAAGATGTCAATCATTTCTTTAGAGATGTTAAACATTAAATGGGGTCAAACTGACCACAAAAATAATAAGACGGCTAGACACAGTTACGGTCCTGTTTGAAGTCAATGTGAAACTTACGCAATTTTCTCCTATATCTGACATTCAGCTCTTTAGAAATGACCTAAGATTTTCTCACTTTCATCTAAATATTATCTCACAGATGGCTTTCATGTCTGATTCATCTTATTCTTATCTAAATTGAATAACATTTCCATAACAAAAGTATAAGAGAGTCATTTCTGTGTGGAGTTTGCATGTTCTCCCCGTGTCTGCGTGGGTTTCCTCCGGGTGCCCCAGTTTCCGCCCACAGTCCAAAGACATGCAGTCAGGCCAATCGGACATGCTAAATTGCCCCTAGGTGTGAATGTGTATGTAAATGTATATGACTGTATGTCTGCCCTGTGATGGACTGTCAACCTGTCCAGGGTGTTTCCTGTCTTCTACCTGATGACCTCTGGGCTAGGCTCCAGCACCCCCTGTGATCCAGAAGGATAAGCAGCTTAGATAATGTGCATGTGAGTGTGAGACAGTTGTAAGAGCTCATCATTTCTTATTTAGCTCTCATCTTGGAAATCTTAGTAGAAATCTTAGTAGAGTATAAGAAGTGAATACTTTTCTAATTTCTCCAGAATGTCTCACATTTAAATGCTTAGTCTCCTGTTCATTTTTAATCTCCTTTTTTTGGTAAGGGCCATATAGAAGAAAGAATTCAGAAACCAGTGACCCTTTATGATTACAGTATGGAAAAATTTCTCCTGAGACAATCTTAGGCAAGACATTTTTCCGTCAGTGATGGTAAAGGTGTGTCTGATAAAATGGCCAGTGAGTGTAGGTACAATGTAGTGTATACAAATAGGCTTCAACTAAGACCTACAATCAGAACTATTCATATGTACAGTATGTATCTACTTTGGCTATTAAGAATTTCTTGTTGCCCTCGAATACAGTCTTATGAAAGGCCTATGAAAAACAAGTATAAACGTAGTCACATAGTGTTGTGACTCATTCACATCACAGTATGACACTTCCTCAAATTCATAATAGTCCAGACCAAGTGATGAAATTAGTTCTAATATAGCAACAAACAAACGTAAGCACACAACACAAAGGGGAAGCTAAGGGTGTGCAGCTGACCATGTGGAGGTTTTGCAATGTAATTCAACCGCTGTTGGATTTCAGCTTCCCTGTCACGCAAATACTGTCCATTTCAGCTTTGTGTAAATGTAAATGCAGGTACTGGATAAGTCTGGACACATGGCTGAGTACTGAATACAATGTCTTTAATGTATTCAGTAATGTATTACATTACAATACACTAAAAGTAACCTATTCAGATTACTTCGCATATTGATAATACATAGGGAGCACATAGGGAGAACGCTGCTGTTGTCATTTATATTTAATGCACACTGTTCCTCACTGTTACTGGGTGGCAGTTTTCTTCATGTTTTTCTTCTGTTGATATGTTTAATGAAACATTTGCACAGAATTTTAATGATTTCATTCCACTGCTTCTGTCCACTGCCGCAACGAGATTTTTAGTTTGACCATCTCTCAAATGAGCTCAGTAATTCTGAGAATAATAACTGGCTCATCATATTGATTTATTAGTCTACTCAGGTTTTAGCAGGCATTTTAGTATTCAAAAGCCATTAATTATGGTCCTCTTTAGAGTTTGTCTAACAGGCATGGATAATAAACAAGCATTGATGGTGTTTCTTTTAAAGATAGTATTTTTTTAATTTAGTATTCTAAAAGTATTCCCCTAAAAATATAAGAAATAACTATATTCTGAATACAAAATTTAACTTGGACTGATCACAGATACTTCATTTCTGTATTCTAAATATGTATTCCCAATATTTGTGTTCCATCACATCCCAACCCTACCCATTCACCTGTCTATCATTTCCAATTTTCAGAAGCCTTTTAATAAGATTCATAAGATGCAAAGTACCTCATGGACTCACTCAGTCATTCACTCACTCACTCACTCACTCACTCACTCACATTCAGCAGGCTGAAGATGATTTACAAGGGGCTACTATAAGTACACAAGCAGAGTTGTCAGGGCCACAGTTTACCCAGGCTACAATATATATTTCAAATAAAAAATTGCATTTAAAGGAATAAAATTCATACCATTCCCAAACCACTGAAATATTTTGCAATTGGGCACTTCAGATTTTGGGAGCCTGGTGGGTTTTAAGCACATTTTGGGCTGGAAATTTTTCCCGGGCCTGGCAACCCCGCGCTAAAGTAGCTTTTGGTACTCAATAAAAGTGGTACTTTGCATCAGCGGCACTTTATGTCCTTGTTCTTTGAATATAATACAAGTTAGCAGAATGTGACAGCAACTTTGTATATTTGACATTGCACTAACCCAGAACACCTTCCCTCCGTTCTTAAATTTTTGTGCTATTATTTAACTGAAACCTTTACAGTTAAGACTGCCATATCAAAAACATTTAGGAACCAACAATAGAGCTGCACTCTTGTCTAAAATTCTCGAAAGAGCTCAACTCAACTGTAGCTTCATAAACTAAGCATTGCAATATCATGCATCATTCAAAGCAATACATAAAATCCTTGTCTTGCCATGTTCAAATGACAGCGTTTCTGAGTCATCTGTAGTGCAGTGTTTTCCCCACACACACAACTGACTCAAGTCATCAGGCAATCATCAAAGCCATTATGAGTGGAATCAGGTTCATTACACTGTTAAAAACCTTCCACTGCGTGGTGTGCACTCATTTGCAGCCCTATAATTGCCTAATAATAAAAGTGCAGTGGCTAAGTGGAATTCATACTGCTTGATTACTTCTTCATATCTTTTATTGCCGCACATTAACAAGACACATCAGAGTATTTGGAGAGTTGGAATTTATTTAAGATGATGTAATAAGTTTGCTTAAGATATTACTGCACAGACAAAACTACATTATTTACAGTATTAGAGACATAAGACATACAGACAAAGGATTCAGTTTGCATTCGGTTCAAACAAAGGAGAACGCACATACTTCAAGCACTGATATGAAGTACTGTAATACACGGTCATATCAGTAGAGATCCAATATACAAAGTACAAATATTGGTAGCTACGTTGTACTGAGCTTCACATCTATGCAGGTGTAAATAATGTACCAGCAGACTCACAGTGGGGAGCCTTTAGTAGCAATGATGTCAAAAGTAGTGTTAGTGATGTCATAGTGGTTCAACTGACTTGCCTACACTGTATACGTCCACTGTTTCTCTCAGTGTGTTAACATCTAAATGGAGGACCTTCTATAAGCAGATAGTGAAGATTGCGGAAATAAAAACATTGTCATTCGAAATTCCTGGAGAATGAAAGTTGCCAGTCAGCTCGTTAACATCCGCAATCAAAATCATGTTCACTTCTTTTCTCTTATCAACATGATAAACAGACTCGTCCTCCATACCGTCACTGGCTTCTACTCTTTTCATTCACAAACATGAAAATCAATTCTGATTGGTATTTAAAGGACACTCTGTCAATCAGCACCAACTGTTAAATGCCACAGTAACATAATTCTTTCCACCTACAGGCCTTTGCCATGCCAAATGCTGAATCACTGCATGATGCAGCCAATGGCTAAACACACCTGGTCTCAGTCCAAGTCCCAACAGTCCTGTCTTGCCTTCTCAGATGACCGAAAATGGCCAGCACGTGTCCATGCTTAGTTGTATTGAAGGTATAATTGTGTTTTTTCCAGTTTCGGGCATCACACATTACTCTCCTTCACTGTGTATGAGAGTCGCTTTATGCAAAAGAGTAGATGGCAACAGGTGAAGTGGCCTCAGAGCTCTCGTGGTATTGGCTGCTGTCTTTGTCTCTCTTGGTTCCAGTGTACTCTCCAATGAAAGAGCCGTCTTCGTTGAATTCGATCTCATCCTCCTCTACGTATTCCATCAGGCTGTCATCACTGTTTGTCATCTTCTGCATGTGTTCAATAGCGCCTTGACTACGGCCCTGACGGCTTTCCTCCTCACTGGAGAAGCACACACACGTATACACACTGGATCAAATGCTACACATTGACATACATATGTAAACGAATGCTCTGTGCACACAAATAATATGATCATTATCGGATTCTGGGTTATTTAAGTGGTCATTTAACCCCTTAAATTCCAGGGTTATAACATATTAAGGCTTATTATTCAGTAACTACAGGGACTTCAGTGTAAACTAGTTGAGCTATTCCTGTTATAGAAGTGTATAATAAAACTATACTATATGAAACAATCTATAATAAACTCTAGTCTTGAAATGAAGACTAGAGAATACATAAATTAGGTGAGACTAAAGTGCTTTGATCTTCATAAATCAATCAATGGTTATAAAAATAGCTATACACCCAAATCCACTGTTAGGGCAATGATTAAAAAGTTTAGAACAACAGGAGCTGTAGTGAACCTGCCCTGAAAAGAACACCTGTTTATTGTACCCTCATGCACAGTGAGGAGGATGGTTAGAAAAGCAAAAACATCTCCAAGGATCACCTCTTACAGAAGGTGACACATGGTTTTGTTAAAAAATATTTTTGAATTGTTTACTTAGACTAAATTTACTTCAGTTAAGTTAGATTTCTCTCGTACTTTCAGTGTGTTACTGCACTAATTACCAAATAATTACCAATGCCATTGTGCATATGCGTAAACATAACCATATGGAGAATAGCTCCTGTGGAAGCAGTGAAAGCTTGATGAAGGACAGCTTTATGTCCCAAATAAATATTTGCCAGTAAATATTTCAGATTTCATGTCACATACTTCTTCTTTGGTGGATTTATTGGTGGATTGTACAGCAACCTAGATGTGTACATGTCATGAATTTCTAAATAAATACAATTACTGTAGACCCAGAGTTTTCCCATGGTTATATTACTTGAGTGCATATACATGTGCTGGATTAATTGTTATTATTATTATTATTTTGTTTTTTTTTTGGTTTCATCATGTATCATTTTTGTACATGTAAATGTACTCAATGTAGAATTCATAAACTACTGATGATCAGATGAATTAAAATACATAGTGGGATAGCTTAATGCTAATGTATGTCTCTATAATGTTCTCTTGAAAGCCTGGAGCAAATACCTACCGTCTGGAGTAAGGTAGGCTGGTCACTCGTGTTATCCTACAGCAAACAACAATAAATATGAAACAATATCATATGTGTGCAGAATTCAATTGCAGTAACATTGAGATCAAGCACAGCACGTGTACAACATACAACCAGATAGCAGACTGATGAAATGGAGAGACCTGGTCAGTTTGTTGTTCTAGTGAAGCAATTTTAAATGACATTATTAGACTACATACTGCTGTCGGTTATTATGCAGTATAAGACAATATTACACAAAGAAACTGACTTGAAAAAGTGGTTAGCTCTTGTTATGTATGACATACATCATACCTTTCAAGAGACCTTCAGGAGCGCAGTTGGAAACGATGTGGGATGAAAAATAAGCAAGAATGAACAGAGACGTGAGTTGAATGATGAAAGTTAGTGTGGTGTATATTCTCAACATAATGTGGTAAAATAGGGTTAACTCGTGACATGGTACAAGACAAGATTGCATTATTTACATATAGTCCAATGTTCTTTTACAAAGATGATATAAACACTTAACTGGACCTTAATAATGATTACATTATGCTACATTACCACACTGCTTTACCTGTAGTCAAAAGTCCCCTCATCCTTCTCATCCATTGGCTCAAGTGCAAAATCTCGTTTATCCCGTACTTTAAAAAGAAAAGCAATGAAGTTAATGTACCTTAGATATCCTGTTACCATAGCTGTACTCTAAAGATCCTGTCTAATGGTGTGTTTGTTGTACATAAGATGCGTACTTTAAAGATTCTCTGTAATGGTTCATTTATTGCACCTAAGCAGTTCACTTTAAAGATCTTGTATAATGGTGCATTTGTTGTGCCTAAGCTATTTACTTTAAATATCCTGTGTAATGTGGTGCGCTGATTGTACCTAAAGCATTTACTTTAAACATCCTGTAAAATGGTATATTGGTTGAATGTGAGAGATTTCCTTTAAAGATCTGATTTAATGGTGCATTTATCGCACCTAAGAGATTTACTTTAAAGAGCCTGTATTATGGTGCATTTATTGTACCTGGGTACTTTCCTCCACGACTCCTTTTGATGAAGAAGACCGTGAGCATAATGAGAACCAGGAGGGCAATGGCACACATCAAGCCAATGAACCATCCCTGAGTGGCTATATCCACTTGCTCCCGGGTATATTCTGCTCAAGCATGCACTCAAACGCACACACACACACACAGGCACACACACAAACACACACACAGACACAGAACAACGAACACAAATGAGTTTTTGTAGAACTCAGACTTTCTGTGTTAGAGTATGCAGGTATATGTTCTTACCTTCAGTGGTGAAATGGGGTGACTCCTCTGTGACCGCTTCCCCCACTCCGATCTGCGTCTGGGCTGCCAGAGTGAACTTGTAACGAGTGTAGCGGTCGAAGCGACGCAGTGAGAAGTAGGTCGTGTTGGGGGGAATGTGCTCCACCTGCATCCTCTCTCCCGCAGACACGTTCACTACACATAAAGAAACATTACCAGTAAAACTAGGGTGGCCACTTTATAACCTCAAAAGGGACATCATGCCTCAAAAAGCAGGACATCCCAGAGGGGGGATATAAGCTATGTATGAGAGTTGTATCCAATTTACCAAAAAATCTGCAGAATAAATTAGACTGTATCTACATCATATTGACCAACAGTGGCGTCTCTACATTTGGGGCCGGTGGGGTCCCACCAGATGTCGCTGTGGAGCAGTGCATGACATGACCAATAATTCAGTATGACAACTAATGTATACATATTTTCTTGGTAACTAACATTGTTGTGGGTTTATTTCATATAACAATGGTAAGGCTACCTATTTCTCTCAGCAGTCTTCGTTTGGTGAGTGTGGGGGCGACGTCAGCGCTCGTCTAACCAAATGAGCAGTTAAAAACACTCATGTTCAACGTGCTTTCAAGAACTAGCTGTGGGGCCCGATCACATTGGCCCCATACTGAGAGCAGCCAATAAAACATAATAAATTTACATACGTCCAGGCGTTTAGTAACGTCATTTACAGTATGAGCGTTGCTACGCAGCTAGCCATTGTTCCTCATCAGTTGTAATAGCCACACATAATAGCAAGGCAATATAATAAGACAAGTTGAAAATGTAATAAAAGTTAAATTTGGTTCCAGCCATTAGAGCAGAAATTAGAGATTAAACGTTTGGGACACACCAGCCAGAGGATTTCAACATCATTCAGTCTAGAAAGGACAAAAACTGCTCCTTCAGTCCAGAGAAGTTCAAGAGAAAGACATGGCTAACTGTGAGTGTAGCTAGAAACACTCTTCTGCTTTCCTTGCTATGGTATCACTTGAATTCATTCATGGATTAGTGAACCTTGAGAGAAAAGTTTTTGACAAGTTTGTCCAGATGAAAGACCATCGTCCATCCTTTCTTTTTGAGCAGTGAATGTTACTGGTGAGTTTATTCTGCATTATTATAAGGCATGTTATTCCCTGCTCTGATATGTTGCTATATGTATATGTAGTTGCAGACCACAATGATCGTTACTGATAGATAACTTTGGATTTGGTGATGCTGTATAACAAGGTTGTGTGAGATCTAATGTTGTTATCATATCACTCATATTCCTCTCTCCACTTCCACTCACTCCTGCACTACGTTATGTTGCTTTGTGAATTTGTGATTTCATTGATGGAGTCCGTCTGTGTTTGAATCAAGCTTGTGTGCAGTTTCATTGACGAGTCGCTGCTGCCCCTACAGTTTATTGTGCCCCACCAGGCTTTCAGTGGCAGAGACGCCATTGTTGACCAAGTGCACCGAATACAGAAAATTAAACTCGTTTTATTTTGCCATTTGATTTGGCCCAAAAGAAAGCTGTGTTAAACTCCCACTCCCTCATAATTCTAAACAAGTTCCAATTTTTTTTTTTGTAAAATTTCTAAAAAATATATACTTTTGAACTTTTTCAGCCTGTCAAACCTGTTACATAAATCGCTGATCAAAGTTAATTAAAGCAATTATTTTCCACAGTAGTGTAAAGATGTAATACCACTTATTTTATTTTTTTTTACAACAGCCATACATCCAAGCCAAGAATCATTTGGAGCCTTCATTCTTAAGAGTATATGTGTCCTCACGTGTCTGGTATTTGAGGATGTATCCAGTTAACAGGCCATTGGGTTCCGTAGGCTCTTCCCAGTCCAGGTAGATTGTGTCATAATGCCTGTGCGTGATCCTGAAAGACCTGGGGGCGGAGGGGACTGGTGAAAGACAAAGAGTATATAAGTATGATTGTGTGTATGTGAATATCTATCATTACTGACTCCAGTGGTGAAATGACAACACCAGACAGTACCTCCCTCGAGTGTCTGGAACTCAATCCTGTTGCTGGGTGGACCCTCGTAACGGTTGTTGGCCACCACAATGTACATCATGTAGTTGCTGTAGGGGATCAGACCTGTGAGGGTACCGGAGAGCCGTGGCCCATTTGCTTTGAAACTCTTAGACTTGATCCTCCGGCTAACACTGTGATGAGGCAGACGGCTGCTCTCTCGCCAGTAATACACCTGAATAACACCATAAAGAGCATGTCAACAGGAGAAGTATCAGTCTTATACAAAAGGTTAACATTGTTTGAGCTGTACTGTTTGTTTCAGACTGTGGAAGCACGTCTCTACAACTACGGGTCACAGCTTTACTATTTACAGTGCATTAATCAGACAACGACATACAACAGTACAGTAATCGAACTTGAACACACAAGTGGATATGTATGAAAGCAACACCAGAGTGCTCAGATCTTAAAATAAAAGTGTACTATGTAAATATTAACGTTAAACTCTCACTTCCCACTCTCACACAGTTCATGCATGGAAACTAAGCTGAAAAAAAAAACATGATTCAGTGCTGTGCTGTTCATGGCTGTCAGGAGGCAAATATTTATAAATCATCTTAGTTTTGTTGATTATTTTGCTGCATCATTTCAACACACCAACTGTCCTTTACATTGTGTGAAAAGTTTATGATGAATGGACCAATAAAAATGCTCTAAAATCACTTGGAATAAAATCTCTTTACATTAACTTACATTGGAAGGTAAGAGTGTTTTTGCCTTCTCCTGCAAAGTTACTATTTTGGAGATACTTGACAGCAACAGTATTTTAACCTGGGCTGTTCTACAAACTATTCGTCTTTTAACTTAATATTACAAGTTCAATGAACTCACAATTTCAAATTAAGCCAGTTACATATTTTTTAAGATTTTTTTACAGTGTATATCAATTGTAAAGGTATAGCCACAAAACAGCCTGTTTAATTGTAGGACGTAAAGAAAGATTGGAAAACGATTATGTTCTCAGTATACAAATATTTTAAGTGGACTTAATAAATAAAAGTGGACTTGTAAGTGAACATAGTAAAATACATGAAAAATGTAGACTATAGGCCTTTTAAGGCAACCTATAGTAAGTTTTGCTCAAAACCAGGCTTTGGGTTTCTTTGCATGTGGCTGTCTATGACTGACTGTTGCCCGGGTCTCACCGTGTACTCCTTAATCTCTCCCATGATGCTGGCTCGGGGCACAGGCTGCCAGTGCACTGTCAGTTTTGTGCTCTCAACATCAGAGACTCGCAGGTCAGTCGGGGCAACAGTGGGACCTGTGAAACCATGTCATGCCTGAGGTTAGTCATTTCATACACTGTGAAATGTTGTGTTTGGGATGTGTATACACAGCTTCTGTCAGTGAGTATCAGTGAGTCTCTTGCTAACTGCTTTTGCATAATGATTCCATATGTTTTGAGTATTACACTGATTTAAATGAACATCAGCAACGCAACATGAGTGTCTTACTGTGTTCGTATGTTTCAAAGTAAGTAAGTATCAAATATTTCACTCACGATCCTCCCCAGAGTAGCCAATGACAACAGGGGATTCTGGCCCAAGGCCAAAGTCATTGACAGCCTGCACTTTTATCTCGTAGGGAGTGAAGGTGTCCGTCTCGTAGATGATGTGACTGCACCACCAGTAGGTGGTGTAGTTCTTCCACTCCTCTCTGGAGTGTTGCCGCCTCCACCACACCATGTAGCGGAGCTTTGGCCCGTTCCACTCTCTATACTCCAATGGCTTTACACACAACACAACACAGTTTCATTACAAAGAGAGCACAATTAGTCCTGATTAGTGCAGTGCAGTATGCGAAACGATAAATAAAAACACTGTATTCAATTGTATTCATAATTTTTGATATGTCATAATACATATGTATTACATAATATACATATATACACATATACACCGATCAGGCATAACATTATGAGCACCTCCTTGTTTCTACGCTCAGTGTCCATTTTATCAGCTCCACTTACTATATAGGTGCACTTTGTAGTTCTACAATTACAGACTGTAGTCCATCTGTTTCTCTGCATACTTTGTTAACCCCCTTTTACCTGTTCTTCAGTGGTCAGGACCCCCATGGACCCTCACAGAGCAGGTACTATTTGGGTGGTGGATCATTCTCAGCACTGCATTAACACTGATGTGGTGGTGGTGTGTTAGTGTGTGTTGTGCTGGTACGAGTGGATCAGACACAGCAGTGCTACTGGAGTTTTTAAACACCTCAGTGTCACTGTTGGACTGAGAATAATCCACCAACCAAAAATATCCAGCCATCCTGTGGGCAGCGCCCTGTGACCATTGATGAAGGACTAGAGGATGACCAACACAAACGGTGCAGCAGCAGATGAGCTATCGTCTCTGACTTTACATGTACAAGGTGGACTGACAAGGTAGGAGTGTCTAATACAGTGGACAGTGAGTGGACACAGTGTTTAATAACTCCAGCAGCACTTCTGTTTCTGATCCACTCGTACCAGCGCAACACACACTAACACACCACCACCACATCAGTGTACTGTACGTTACTGTAGTGCTGAGAATGATACACCAACCAAATAGTACCTGCTCTGTGAGGGGCCATGGGGGTCCTGACCACTGAAGAACAGGGTAAAAGGGGGCTAACAAAGTATGCAGAGAAACAGATGGACTACAGTCTGTAACTGTAGAACTACAAAGTGCTCCTATATAGTAAGTGGAGCTGATAAAATGGACAATGAGCATAGAAACAAGGATGTCATAATGTTATGCCTGATCGGTGTATACATAAATGTGTATCTTAATGTTATATTTTTGCCATATCGCCAACCCCTATATCTGTTCATGTTATAAGTGTACAATTACAGATTGTAGCTCATCTTTTGTCATGCACAGTTTGATAGCCACCCTCTACCCCATTCATCAGTGGTCAGTTTCTGACACTGACTGCTGCTGTTGATCAGATATCGTTTGTGTGTGTATCATTCTCAGCATAATGTGTCTGCTCTCCTGTTTAGTCCACCACTCTGGGATCATTTAGTACAAATAATATATGTGCAACCTGATACTGCTGTTTTCCACAGTAAGCCTTTTCTCCACTAAACAGCAATGAAATGTAAGTTACTGGGACCTTTAGTGGCTTTAGCAGTTTATGACTGGGTTGGCAATATTACAAAATGAAAAATAAAAATGATCTGGTCCATCCATTCATTCTTCCCTCCCTTCTTCTCTCCCTCCCTCGATCCATCCATCCATCCATCCATCCATCCATCCATCTATTCATCACCTCCCAGCTGATCTCCATGTTATTTCTGAACAGTCCAGTTCCCATTCCTTTGATGTTTCTTGGAATGGCATCCGGCACTGAAGAAACACCGAGACAGTTACTACCTCAACTACTGCTCCAGCACCACTGACAGCTACTGTTTCAATCGTCAGTCCAGTGCAAATGACAGTAAAAATCTAGTGTACAATTAATGCTCTCCTATAGATTAAGTCTGTCCACACTAGTAGTTTTTCTTACCAGCTCCTCCAGTCTCATAATAGGTGGATGGCTTGCTGGGTCTGCTGGGGCCAATGGCATTGATAGCGATAATTCGGAACTGGTACCCAACAAACGGTGTGAGTTTTAGCACAACAGAATTCAGGTTGCCAGGGTAACTGGTCATGTTCTTCCAGCCACTTGGTACTAGCCAATAGTCAGCAAGGAGATCTTCAGTATACTGCACCAGATACTCTGAAAGAGAGATTTCACTGCATGTAGCCCGTTGTACACACACATATATATGAATATTACTGCACATCAACTAAATCTGTAGCATCTATTTAGATTCATATGTTCGATCAATTTGTGATTTGATTTGTGTCACTATGTTTGGTTCAGGTTGCTATAAGGCTAAAGCAGCAACAAGTAATGGAAGCTTATACTTCACCAGGTGAGCATCCATCTTGAAGCTGGAATCACTCTCTTTTACAGCAAATAGTTTCACTTTTTTGTCACTAATCAGGTCCAGTCTTAAATTTTTGGGTCAAAATGCACTAATGTAAAAATGCACTTGTGTAAAACTATGAAACTTCAGACACCAAATGTGTTTTGGTTGATGGATTAATTTGGGGTAAGGGGAGCTTTGTGTATATAGCCCTATTTGAGCTGGATTAGTTTTACCAAATGAGGTCTGGTACTGCAGTTTGTGCGTGATTTGACTGGCCGATTTGTATGGGATAAAGGATCTGTTTAATTTTCCCAAATTAATCCACATAGCCCGGATCAAAACATCATTGCACGGACATTTACTTCAGCATTATGAGTCACGCGCCACACTTCTGATCAATTACAAACCATTGTGCAGATAAATGGCAAATATGGCGGCAAAAAATAAATAAATTGGATGAGGGAAAGACTTTGCATCCCATTCATGGGGTCATGTGGGGTTATCAATGGCATTTCGAAATTATCGTGCATAATCATAGTGGATGGGAGGGAATTTACACTGAATTGTTGCAGATTTCAGTAGTCCTGAACTTGAAGATCAAGAAATTCAGTTAAATCAAGCTCTATTTAAGCTTTAGCCTATTCAGTGATGTCAATTTGAACAGGATAACTATTACTGAGGGAGCTCAGAGTTTGGCAAATTATAGAGGGTAATTAGGTCTGATATTACTATTAAGCATACTTGTAAAACCTAAGGACATTGCAGATTCATACTTGATTAAAATCGCAGAATTAATCAGTACTTACTTAAATTACAGCACCTCCCCATGTAAAACTAATCCAGCTCAAATAGGACTTTGTTTGGCTGAACTAGCCCTTTAAGTAATAAAAAACTCTATAAAAGTGACTTACACAATACACAATATGTGTGTTTACCTTTAACAGGGCTATGGTTGCTCAGTCCTGGTATCCAAGTGAGTCTGACGCTTCTCTCTGATGGATCTGACACCTCTAGGTCAGTAGGGGGGTCAGGACGGTCTGAGAGAAGCAGAGGAAAGAGAAGGTCAGTGTTCACATTCCCTCTTTACAACTGTATTTCCTTTGTGTATGCATACCCATCACAGTGAGTTTGGCTGATACACTGATCTCCTCCACTTCTGTCTTAATCCTGCATGTATAAATGCCCTCATCCCTTCTATACACATCAGCGATGCTCAGAGAGTCCCCATCCTTCGTCATCCTGCACATACACACAGCCATTTTAGTCACATATATTTTGACATGTGCTAAAAAGTAACAGTGACAATATATTGAAGACCTGATCTATTTATATCTCAGTGATTGCAAGTGGCCGCATGTACCTTCTACCTAAGATCAGGAATTTTTTGTCCTTGAGCCAAGTGACAGTCACCTCCAGGGTTGGATCGGTTTGGATCTTACAATCAAAGCGTGCCAAGCTCCCCTTTATCACAATCACATTGTGTGGGGCACGCAGGATTTTAGTTGGCTCTGGAAGAAACATATTTATGAATATCAACACATTCAGAAATAGCTGCAGATAATAAAAGTCGAGTCATCAAAAAAGTTATGACTAAATTAAACAATTCCACGTCCACTAAAACAATCAGAACATGAATTAAAGAGCAAGAAAGTGAGAATTACCATAGAATATAACAACTCATGTTACATAACAGTAATAAAATCTATGCAGCAAAGAGTTTTCAAGTGCATTCACAGTGTTAAATTTACATTCTCTTGTGACTGTTAACAACTTCAAGATGTTACAGAGGCTCACCTTTGACCTCCAGCTGTACCTCCATCTCATCTCGTCCAATGACGTTACTGGCAACACAGAGATACGCCCCCTGGTCCTGGAGTTTGGTGCGTCTGATCTCCAGTGTTCCATTAGCAAGAATTCTATAACGACCACCTTCTAATGAACCCAGCCCACCTTTAGACCTACACACAAAACACATAAACACATTATTGGTACACAAACATCTCTCTTTTCCAAAATAAATTGGACTAGTCCATAACAGGTTATTACCATCGCAAATCTGGTTTTGGGGATCCAAAATATGGACAGTGCAGATGAGTTTGTGACCCCTCTGTCACTTTAACCAGCTGGTCTCTGAAGCCAAGCAATCGAGGCCTCATATCTATAGAGGAGATATGGACATTATATATTAGAACAATGAGCTAGATCATAGGTTCTGGATATGAATCGGGATTCTAAAACTCTTACCCATGACTGCGAGGAAGGCATTGGCCAATATGTAGCCATACTGGTTGGATGCGTTACACTGGAACACAGCTGTGCTGTCTGGTACCACAGAGCGAAATATCAGAGTGTCTCCTGATACCTGTCTGCCTGGACTCTTAGGAGCATCTGAAAAAAATAACAGAGAAATGGAAAAAAGACCTTTAAAAGACAGACAGACAGATGATACATAGATGCATGAATAGACAATCAGAGGGATGGATTGATGGATGGACAAAGAGATAGATGGATGCACAGACGGATGAACAGATAGATAGATAGATAGATAGATAGATAGATAGATAGATAGATAGACAAATGACAGATAGATAGATAGACAGATAGATAGATAGATAGATAGATAGATAGATAGATAGATAGACAAATGACAAATAGATAGATAGATAGACAGATAGATAGACAGAAAGACAGACAGACAGACAGATAGATAGATAGATAGATAGATAGATAGATAGATAGATAGATAGATAGATAGATAGACTTTGTCTCACACCCTCTATAGGTTCTCCATTAACTAGCCACCGTATCTGAGGTCTGGGGATTCCATCAGCTTGACACACTATCTGCCCACTGTCGTCTCGAGACAGAACCAGACTCTCTGGCTTCTCCACCCAGAATGGAGCCGCTGCAAAATGGAGAGGGAGAGAGACAGTGAGACAGAAAGACAGAGACAGATAGTGAGAGACAGAAAACTCTCTAAGCAGTCTCTCTATAATGTGGTTGTGAGCAGTGTTTGATAATCAGTGGTACTGAATGAGACAATTATATGAATTTACATTTAACTCTGACAGTGATGATGTGGTCGAGGCTCCCCATCCTGTTGGTGGCAGTGCAGATATATTCGCCTCCATCCTCCATGGAGACTTTCTTAATGCGGAGAGTCTTATTGAAGTTCTCCAGCTTCATGCCCTGCATGGACAATGCTTCCCAGTCTTTAGTCCATTTGATGGAGGGAGCTGGACTGAGACAGCAAAGAGAGAGACCAGCTGAGGATCACTGCAGTATTACTGTTGCTTCTGTGCTAGACAGGATAAATAGTATGATTTACTAATTCACTTACAGTAACCTAAAAAATATACACATTTCATTTGTCACACCATCAGCTGAGGAGCTCAACAACAGTGAAGTTTTCAGGAACAGTTCTACAGTACAAGACTCACACTCCAGAGGCGAAACATTCCAAGACAAGCTCCTCCCCCAGCATGGCGATCTGAGTGCTGGCTGTCCCTTTGGGCTTCATAAATTTAGGAGCAATCTGAGCCGCCATACGCGCTGAACAGTGAACAAAACACTCATTAACACCCAAATGAAACTTTCAATCAGAGAGCAAGTCAACCAAAAGTTAGGAAAGTTAGTGGATCAGTACCAGCATGGAGGAGGAACCATAAGAGCTGGACAGTTTCTGACAGCTGAGGCCGGAAGCTGTACCTGTATTGTGTTAGAGGGTTAGACATAGAAAATCATGTGTCTTCTGCAAATAAAAAGTAACACAGTTCTGAAGAATATAGTCTCTGTCAGAACAAAATCTCATAACACCAAAATAAAAGAAGAGAAAACAATCTGAAGTTTAATGTATATGAACCCTTACACCCCTGAGAGGCTCATCGCTTTGGATCCAATGGTCAATGGGAATTCCAGTATTTAATCATTTCAAACCTAATCCTGCAGGATATCCTGCAGCAGAGAAACATACGCAGTTTCTATCACCCCCTAATGGCCCCTATAAAAAGCCTATGAGGACTGTGCTACTACATCTACACTGATACACTGATCATATTTATTTTTTTGTGAAAACCAGATGCATAATGATTACATGGATATGAATAAATGCTCTCCCACCAGTCTCCCTTCCTTCCACCCATCCACCCTCAGTTGGTATGTCAACACAAATTTACATAGAGACAAAAGATAAAGACCATAAATCAAAGAAGACTTAGTATACTGTTTTGGCTAACACCTTATTTGAGTGCTACCTGCATATGGACTTTATAACACATGAATAAGTATTGAATGATATACTTATTAAGCAATAGTTGCATGTTATTGAACAGCTTATGCCACTACTTGCAAGATGACAAATGATGTTTTATGAAGTAAATGTAGTAAGCCTGGCATTTTAAGGTGTTGACATAAGGCTGATAGACATTTATTCCTTTTGTAACGCATTAAAAACTGAACCGTTACACTTATAAATATGTACAACTGATATAGTATTTTTATTTAGGCCTCAGCATAGCCTTGTATAAGCTCTGTCATAATTATGATAATGTTATAAATGAAACTAACTGTGCATCATTTCAGTTTAAGGTCCCTTATGTCTGCACAATGTTATTTACTTCATAAAAAACTTATATCATCTTGTGATTAATGACATAAGCTGTTCATAAATACCCAAGTATAGCTTTATAAATATGTTATTCAATGCTTATTCATGTGTAAGTCCTTAAGTAGGTAGCCTTCAAATGAAGTGTTACCCTGTTTTTTTTTTGTTTCTATGATTGAAAGCTGTTATACTGCATCACAGAGATGTTTAAATGTTCTTTATATCTAGTTAAGATTCTGCAAAATGCCTTAGACGTGCCATCAGAAATGGAAATGGGTGCACAGTGAGCTTTAATGTTGAAAGAATATGCCCAGGGATGGTTTGGAGCCCTATGACCATTTTGATCTAATTGTCATGAAGTGTTCTCACAAGTAAAGTGACGATTTTTTATCCTCAGTGATTATATATCAACAGAAACTTGACTACTGCATATCACAATTCACTCCACCAAAAAGCCATTCTGTTAGCTCAGTTTTCCTCAGACCACTAATCAAACTTTAAGTCACTGATGACAAGAAGGCACACAAAGGCCTGCCAGGGAATAAGTGCTATTGAGCTCCTCTCACCTGTGAGCACCTGAAGGATGAGAGGAGGCTTCTGCTGGATGGTATTGGAGTTGGGGAAGCGGGCCGTGCAGACGTAGTTTGTGAGAGAATCTTCAGCTACAATACTGGAGAAGTACAGATCTCCATTCTCTGCCATTGAAACTCTACGGTCCTGCCGGATTGGTACCATTGCTAGTGTGGCAGAAAAAAAAGAAACGAAAAGGAGTTTAGTGCACTTTATTTAACCTTTGTAGAGTTTACTGGGCCTATCTGAAATGACTTGGCACTATTCTAAACATGACTGTGACCATTGTTCTTTCACAGTGGAGGCAGTCGGTGCTCACAGCTGTTCATCCAGTAGGTCTGGGGCTTTGGTGGGCCAACTGGAGGATTACAGGGCAGAATAAGAGGAAGTCCAATAAACACGGACACCGGTTCCAAATACTCCTTCAGCCACGTACGAGCCTCTGTTCACAGCACAGGAGAGAGGGAAAGAAGACAATGAAATGTACTAAAATGTTCGATTCTTTTTCTGACTCTAACTCTTAAAAATAAAGGAGTCAAAAGGGCTCTTTAGAGCAATAGAATAGAATTGAAAGAAGAATTCCGATAGAATTTTGTAAATGAGATGTGTGAGAATAAAAATCTTGTAATGTAACCTTGATTTACATTTTTTTACAACCTTATGTACAAGCCAAGAACTATTAGGAACTTTTATTTTAAAATCGTTTGTCAGGGACAAAACCTTGTATCTCCATTTTTGTCGTTTTTCATTTTTTGACGTAATTTGAAAAAGCATTTGCCTTTTATGATGTGTCAAAATTTCATGATGAACAGACAGACAGAAATTGTCCAAGATTACTTGGAAAAAATGATTTATCCATTTACTTCCATTAAAAGTTAAGAACATTTTTCCTTCTCCTGTAAAGTTCCCTGTCTGGAGATACGAGGTTTTGTTCTGACAGAAGCAACATAAATTTGTATTGTTCAGACTTACTGGAGACGCGCAAATGAATGTGACTGGACACAGCTGAGCCAAACTCATTAGTAGCAGTGCACTGGTACACGCCCTCATAATCTTCTGGCCGTCCCCAGAAAAAAATCTCCAGTGTGCCAGAACGTCTCTTCATGGAGACCTGAGGGTCGCGCGCCACATTTAGATAAACTCCATCACGAGTCCATGTGAATCTACAGCAGCAGGTAGTGCAGAAGAGTTCAGTTTGTGCTGTGCTACATCTCAGTACACCAGGCTCTACTGCATGTTCATGAATCTAATTTATGAAGCTTCAATGATTATGATGTTTAGAATATGCTTATTGCCACTGTCATAAGAAATGTTTGTAACTCCAGATTTCAGTATTTATTTATTTATTTATTAACTCCAGATTTCAGTATTTATTTATTTATTTATTTATTTATTTATTAACTCCAGATTTCAGTATTTATTTATTTATTTATTTATTTATTTATTTATTTATTAACTCCAGATTTCAGTATTTATTTATTTATTTATTTATTAACTCCAGATTTCAGTATTTATTTATTTATTTATTTATTTATTTATTTATTAACTCCAGATTTCAGTATTTATTTCTGTCATTATGAGGCTTTATTGAAAAGCAAACATTTCAATGCAAGGTACAAGGCTTTTTATCATAATAGCGATTTAAAAAGCAGTAAGATTACATGACTAACTTGAAGGACGGGATAAAAAGAGTTAAACACTACTGTAAACATATTGTGTCACATACATTGGAGGAGGGTTTCCAGTGGCCTCACACTCCACTGTGATGGGGTCAGTTGGCTCCACAATGTGATTTTGGACACTCTGCTTAGTTATCATTGGAGGCTGCCTCACTGTGACAGAGGTTTATACACACATGGACACAGGCAGGCACACATGCGTACACAGAACATTAAAAACATGGACATCATGATGTAAATATCACCAACTTAGACATGGACATTGCCAAGCTGGATTACTTTTAAAAGGGGAGGTTCTATAATGTGGTTATTGTTAGGGATTTGACAGGATAACGTTTCTGTGTAATTTCCCCAAGCTACCACAAACAGCCTAAACTAAAACGTCATGGGTGCACATGTCAGCATTAAGTGACAATGCAACACTCCATAATAAGAACAGCATGGCACACAGCCATGTTTCTAACCACTTTTGTTACTACAAACTGCTGCCAGTCCAAACAAGACTACTGTTACTGAGGAAGCTCTGGGATCAGCGAATCACAGAAGGTGATTAAGTTCCTAATTATTACTGTCAGACTTTAAAAAAATACAGAAAGTGCAGATTCTTACTGAATTAAATTCACAGATTTTGTCAATAATCACAGAAATTACAAATACCACCCCAAGGAAAACTAATCCAGCTCGAAAAGGGCCATAGAATATAATGTAAGAATGTGACAGAGATGCATCTCCAGAGTCTAGTGGCTCACCATCAGGAGGGATTTCCACTGCAGATATATCTCTCCATAAAGGCAGTAGGAGTGTTAATGTGGCCAGAAATTCCCACCAACTTTTAGTCCTCATTTCTATTTGGGACCCCCAGCACTGACACCACCAACTCACTGCCTAGCAGCTCTGACAGAAAGGAACAAAACATTCTTAAGCTCACACCAAAAAATCCAAGGCCAAAAACAGGCAAAATTGTCCTTATTTAGCTTCTTTGTCAGTTCCTGAAACAGTGAATATTCAGCCTGAGAAACGTTTCAGATCTGATCAACTCAGATTTAACAGATATAAAATTTCTATACAGTCTGAACTGGTTCTTGAGAGCTTGCCCTTTAATTCTTTGCATCATGTTTGGATAGTCTGTTCAACCGTGCACCCTGGAGAATAGAATCCACCAGAAATGAATTCTCAGTTCACTGCTAATGTCCATAGATAGTAAGTCAATGTATTTTGATGTGCCTGCTTGACCACTGTTGCTCAAATGACATGCATTTCTATTTCTCTTGATCTTTGGAAAGAAATCAGATCAAACATCTAGCATCTCATAGTTCTACCATCCACTCAGCATAGACCTTTCCCAATTACTAAGACTGTCTTTGAGTACATTACATGTACTACCACATTCTGCAGGTCCCTCGTCTTCAACTCCTAAGCAAATGATCATTCCCGACCACCAATATTAGCCAAGGCCTTCAAATATTGTTCATTCCAAGACTAGATTTCCACCCAACAAAGCATTCTTCCACATGTGACTTCTACCCTGCAAAGCATTCAAAAAGCTTCTGTCTGTCTGATCTACAACCCTCTAAACGCTCCAGCGTGACTCCTCTGCTGAGATCATGCTCGTAGGATGAGATTCCCACTATTTGGCATGATCAACCCTTAGTCAAGGAATGAGCTTCCCACATCATTTAGAATGGCTCTGTTCCCTTCTTCCTTCTGGCACAGCTTAAAAACTAATCCCTCCGAACAATACTTGTATTGAGACACTTGCACTTCTTAAGAAGGAAAATTCAAGACTTTAAAATGAGACCAAAAAGTGTTACACATAGAGTTACTGCTTAATTAAATATCACATTTTATCTAGGTAGCTTGTTAAAGCCCTTGTCTTTAGAACACAGTGACTAAATCTCTGTGGATAGGTGTGATGAATAAATGAATATAAATGAAAATTATTGACTGTCATTTCTTTAACAGGCTCTACATAAGCGCATGCTCAGAACTGTAACTCTAGTTTATGAACAACTGAGGTCAATTGTGATTACCACTTGATTCAAGAGCACACAACACTCAACCACACAGAAAATTTGAAAATGTTCCTACCTTACATGACAAATACCCCCTTTTGGATATATGTATTACTTATGTTCTACTATAAAAGCCCATTGCTAATCCTGATTAAGCTATTGACTTCGCAGTTTCAGCAGTTTCACTCATCAATATTGTACAAACAGCAGTTAAGTAAGTGTGGAAGTTAAAGGCCTACCAGGTTAGACAGAAGCATTCAGATTTCAGAGCGTGTGACCCATCTACGCCTCCAGCCCATCACAAAACTGAAGGAAAAAGAAAAATAATTGTTATAAAAATGACAAAAAAAACTGTTGTCATAGTTGTGCAGGTTCAAATTTTTACCTCAGATGTCAAGTGTCCTCAGGTGTAATTAATGTTTATATTAATATGCAATTTTCCTCATTTCATGGTAGTTCTGTCATAGATATCCATCTCCACCATGACCACCATTACAATGAAAATAACATGTCCAAAAACAATGAATGTCTCAGCAAATGGTTCCTTCACTGTAAGCCACTCAAACTAATGCTCTCTGTTTGCAATTGTCTCCTGACTCTTACCCACCCTATTCATGCCCCATGAATGACATGCCATCCCCCACTCTTTCTCTCTCTCTCTCTCTCTCTCTCTCTCTCTCTCTCTCTCATTCTCACGTGAACATTTGACTGACTGAAAACGAGAAGGCTGATTTACATTTGTACTTTGCATCCTCTTTTTTTTTTTTTGCTTATAACAGAATCTGGGAAAAATAAGCAAATAGTTCTATTTTCCAACATCTCTCACAGTATTACCTGATGGATAAGACTTAACTTTTGAAAGTTTTGAAAAAGTGTAAAAATGAAAGACTTCTGTAAGTGAATCCCCAGGAGAAAATAACAAAGAGGTAAAATAAACACTGTCATGATTCTATCAATTCTATGATAAATCATTTTAATTTGTCCTAATTTTCAAAATAGTAGATCACTCCTGACAGAAAAACAGCATGCGGGAAAAAAAAAACATGTAGCATTCCTTTTGATCATGACATCAATGTGTGGGCCTCATTGTTTGGTTTTGAAAAATGGAGCTGGCTCAGTGAATGAAATGTTTGTTTCTGTGGAAAAATTAAAATGCAGCAAAAATCCCATGACTCCTCTAAAACAGGGAGAGTTTTTAGCTTTAGATGAAGCGATTTTCAAAGAGAATTGTACATGTATAATTTACTAACATGTATAAACTCGGTCGAGATAATGTGTTTGATGAGACTGAGGCAGGCACCTCATACAGGCACCCAAATTGGACATTTGAGGGCTTTACATAGTCCATTTCAGTGCAACCACAGAAGGAAAACTCAGGAGAGATAGGGAGTGTGGGAGAAAAACGTTTCTCAACCCTAGAGACACATTCCTAACCCACACTGGCTCATTCGTGGACAAAAAGAGAACAATTCACTGTGCTGTCAGATGAAGGCTTACTGTACACGAACCTTCTGTAAATACTGTCTGAGGGCAATCAGAAAAAGCTGCCTGTTTCCCTCCTGTATGATAATACAGTTCAGAGCTGGGGATGGATGGGGCAGTATGAAAATTTCCTGTCATGATATCAGTGACCAAAACGATCATGGTTCTCTGTATATCGCTGCTGTCGGAAAAAAACCTCTCCATTTTTGTCGTTTTTCAGTTTTTGACATAATTTGAAAATGCCTGTTGCTCTTTACATTGTGTGTGAATTTCATGATGAATGGACCAAAAGAAACGGCCCAAAATGACTTGGAAAAAGATCTGGTTCCATTGACTTACATTATAAGTAAAGCAGGTTTTTTGCTTCTCCTGTAAAGTTCCAAAGCAGCGATATGCTTAAAAACAACTGAAATAAATATTGAGTTATTACCAGCACTACTACTGTTTACTGTTCAGATCATAACTAGGGAAGCACAATAATATCAAAATCATATCACTAACAGCATATAATTTCATAAAAATGATATGCATCAGACAAATGTTTAAAATTTGACCGATATTTTCAAACTAAATATGTGATTATATAATTTTTGTACTTAGGAAGAGCAGAATGTTTAGATGACGCTGTGCTACTGTGCTAAAATATGTGCATTTTATTCATTTTAGTGCATTTGTAACACTACAGAAACTACTGTTAGGTCTCTATAATGCTAATCTGGGTAGGTTATGTTAGATATGTGGATATGTTCATGAAAAATATATAATACTGACATCTACCCATCAGTACATCCAGTACATCCTGACACATAGTTTCCAGGGAGATTGTAGCAGCAGCATTTAATTGCATCATGATGCTACTCATTCACATTTATTGAAATTATTAAAATCTGGAAAGGTATGAATATGACTGGGTTTTATATTGAGGTATATCATTAAAAGCACCACTAAAACCAGCCCGATTCCCATTTAGATATTCAGAGATAAACCTCTAAAATATTCATGTCATTAAGACTAATACAATACTTCATGAATAAGACAACAAAATACATCAGTGTCATGACAGAACACAAAAACGCCTCGGTATGCTTGGCTATGGACCTGAAGCAGAGGAGTGATCTAACCCTGCTGATGGTTCCTGGCCCTACAGTATCCTGGACAGCAGGCATGACATCAGCGGCGGGGCAGTGCCATGCACCAGACTGCACAGCACCGAGCACCGAGCACCGAGCACGAGCGCTCAATGAGCCATTTCCTCTGAGGGCAGGACAACAAGGCCTCTATCCTCTCGGCTCCAGCCAGTTCAGCCCCTGCAGCAGAGCTTCTGCAGGCATTCAGCTCGGCGTCAGCATGTGTGGAATCAGAGGGGTCAAAGAAGCACTTAGTGTACACTCGGAAACATGATCGTTCGCAACTGATAGCCATGACATACACTGCTGTACAAAGGCAAAGCATAGCAACTGCAGATTAAGTCAGGATTTATGGCCAAATTTGAGTGGCTTTATCTTGTGATAGAAAGTTCTGGGTTATACTACGATTCAGTATATGGAAACACATTTCTTTGGACCACAACAGGATTTTGAAGCTTCTACTCCTCAGTTTAATTGTTGGTGAAGCGACTACTCACTGATTTTGCAGGGTTGTATGTGTGTCTGGTCTTTAAACAGCCTCATTAACTGCAAATCACTACAGAGAAGGAATGATGTAGTGTTCTTAGTAAAGCATTCTTCCAGTGTCTAGTACACCAACCATTAGACTCATTCTGCTGTATTCCACTGTGAAAGTACCACTGAAAATGACTGAAATTCGAATCTCTAGGTTGTGTCATTAATAGGGCTGGGTGTCAAAATCCAACACTTTTATGGTAGCGACCAAATGACTTACTGACAATAATACAGAGCATTAAAAAACAATTCAGTACAAAATTTCAATACTTAAGCAGTCAGACTTATCAATGATTCAAAATCCAGACTGCTGATTGGCTGTCTAAATTACTGTAGCTAACATCAGCACTTCCTGATTAGTCTGCAGTCACTGTATATGCCCACTTCTAGTGACTCACACTCACTTCTGGTTTAAGCCACACCCACTTTCAGTTTATAATTTAAAGGAAGTTATGAAAAAGTGTAATTCAGGGCTTGGTACTGAAGTCAAGGGATTAGTATCTTAAAAATTTGAATGATACCCAGCCCTAGTCATTAGCTTGGACTTGGGATTTGGCAAATGTACTCCTTTTGTGCCTGTAGATATATGTAATAAAAGAGTATAGTGAGTAAGGGGGGTCGGGGGGGTTGACCATATTTGATTACATGATAATTCATGATAATTTACATCGTATAATACTTTTATGAGTAGATCACGGATGTCAGCAGTATTTAATAAAGCAATAAGCCATGACAGGCTGTACGTTACTGCACTTTTACCACGGGAAGGGTGTTATTAGGCACAAGAGGCTAAGCAGAGCACCTAAAACTCCCTTCCTTGTGATAATTTACTTTTTGTCATGTAACAATGAACATATGGTAACACAGCACGCTTTAACGCAAATATCTTCACTTTATAAGTACTTTTTGGTCACCACATTACCACCGAGCCTAGTTTAGCATCAATCCATCAACTCTCATGCTGGAGCTGAATCTCAAATGGCTCACTGCTCCCTACATTGTGCACTATCTAGGAATTTAAATACTGGATCCTGCAGCCTAACAGAGCAAAATACAGCTAAGAAATAGTAATTTGGGATTCAGTTGCATCCATACTCGATAAATGATGCTCTGTTTGGCTGTAGAGGCTAGAATTTCTAAACTTTCATAGCTAGAACACTATTTATGGAATATGGAGCTGTTTGAGATTCAGCCTGGGTTTGATTGACTTCTGACTGAAACACGGACATTTGAAGTGTGTAACTCATTCAAGTGACTTTTTTTACTTTTATACTGCAGTTTTACAGTTAATCATACCATAAGTACTTTAATTCAAGCCTGTGATATTAATGATGGAGCTGTTTAGGCTGTTGGCTATTTTTTAGCCTGTTAGCTAGCTGACCAGCCTGGTTCTAGATAAGAACATAAGTCACAAGTCCCTCAGTTTAAACAAAAAACGGATTCTGACTTCATCAATATACTTGGTGGTCCATGCGAGCAGCACGAGAGTCAAAGATTATTCCATTAACAGCACAAGGGTTTTTTTGGGCCGTGCCGTAGTAACATACTTCAGTCACTGTGAGATGGTCATAGGTGTGCTTATATGGTGGATTTTACAGTGGCTTTGAACATGGCTCAGCCAATCAGATTTTAGGACTGGAACTATCCCTTTTACAAAGAACATTGACCAACTGCATGTTTCATTACAAAGCATCCATATTCAACTCTATTTTATTGAATTTAATGCAGTGCAGTATGTGATGGAGAATAAAAATCATTGTACTTATAGTTTTAATAGCATTTTTAAAGTCATTACTGGTGCATGCTGTATGTTCCAACTTATCAAACCCCAGAAAAAAATAAATAATGTGGTACATACAGCAATTTTTTTTTTTTAAGTATTTTGATTTTGTGTTTTCCATATCACCCACCCCTAACAGTGAGCATAACATCTGCACAAGTGCACTACTGACACCTTCACTCAATATTAAACTGAAGATTTGGTTGCTATTAGCAATACCACTAGGCTTTTTTTCTCTATGAACATTTACAAATGGCAACATTCACATTTTTGTAAGTAGCACCAAAGATTTCAGTACGCAGTATCTACTGTGTCACTCAATGAACCAATTCTACTGCTGGAGACAGGATCAGCCCTCCTCCTACATGCCACACAAAGCAGCTGACTCACAAAAACATCTCTCGCAAAGTCAGAAAAGACCATGACATCAGCATTCACCACAATGTATGACAATGGCAGCCATCACTTTGTTTACACTTGCACAAGGTGACACTTCAGAGCTCATCAACGTCAGTGCAGTGCATTTAATAAACCTTCTCTGCTTCTGATTTCCATACCTTTGAATCCATCAGTAACACCAAACAAACAGATCTGAATTCCCCTTTCTTACCAGAGCTGATGCTTCCGTATCCATCTGATTTGATATTGTTTAAGAAACTGTAAAGTCACAAAGATGCAGAAAAGTCCTTGAGTTATTCCTTCAGAGACATTGTAGTCAGAGGTTGAGTGTGAGCAGAACGTACACACTCAGAGGCAGTGTGACTGCCTCACATACACACATACACACACACACACACACACACACACAGATCTCAGCGTACTGTGACAACAATCCCAACACATACACAAATAGCATCAATTATTAGAAATAGTATGTATGAATTTGGAAAAACTACTGTGTATGTCCAAAAGTGTGTAGATAACACTTCTAACTAATGAGTGACTTTAAAGGGGAATTTCAGAATTCAGAATTACTGTATGGTCATTTACTACTACATGTATTCTGCACATAAGAGTGGGTGGAAATTTGTAAAAACGAGAGTAGAAAGACTCCTTGCTGTCTGAAAAAGGGGTGCTGCTAATAATTAATAGGGTGTCCAAACTTTTGCACAAGCAACATTTACTACTTTGTTCTTTCTATTTTTTCAGTTAATTAAATATAGTAATTGTGCGTTAACGTTTGCAGAAGAATAGTTTTTTAACACAGTAAATAGACATTAGTTTGTGATATCTATAACATAATATATATACAATATATAACAGTGATATGTACCTGTCACGTGCAGAAATCATGCATAATTAAATTGAGTACAATGAGTACACAGATTTTCACATTGCACAAGATAACAGGTTTGTTCATATTACTCATTAGAGGTGGGCAATGTTTTTCTATGTTATTGGTATTGTGATACATTTTGTTATTGTGATAAACAATATGCTTTTTTGGGCATATCGTGGATACCGTCCATACATAGAACACTAACCGCTGCATGTTTTATTACAAAGCAGGCATAATTAAGCCTGTTTGAGTGGATATAGTGCAGCACAGTATGTGAAACACTGAATAAAAATAATTGTTTTTGATTGCTGTTTTTAAATAGTTTTAAATAATTAGGATACATATCCTGTATTGTGAAAACATCTTTAAATATTGTGATATGATATTTTTGCCCCATATTGCCCATCCCTATTACTTATTACACTGTTGTAAAATGTATTTTACAAAATACTCCTACCAAAGTGCAAAATGTGTGTATTTTCCTAACCCGCAGGTCTCGCAGTAAACAAAGCAGATGATTTTCTGATAAAAGAAAGATTACAGTTTATGTCTTAAGCTCAATCAGCCCCAGCGCTGCTGCAGCTCCCAGCCTTTCTCACTGATCCAGTTCCAGGTTTTCCCCAGTGCTGTGCGTTCTTCCCCCAGAACCTTACACAACTGGACCAGTTTAGGTCGGTTCCGCTCCAGGTAGCGCTGGGTGTCCTCCTGAAGCTGCTGTAGAGCACCAGGCCTGCTCTCATCCAGCGACACCTCAGCACTTAGCATTGGGTTAAAGCGGAAATACACATTTGGCTCCAAAAGATCATCCAGGAGAGTGTGCACACCTGAAACAGGAGGAGATTTTAGTTAGTGGAACAACTGAGACAATCACCTTCATGGCAGAGGTAAATTAAATAAAGTACACTAAAATTTACAATCACTGTTTTCAATAACATAAAACCAATTTTGTTGCAGATACATGTATAAAATGACTCTAATGTAACGACTGTTCCTGTATTAGCAACTCAACATCAAATTAAGACATTTTTGGATCTGTCAGGAATGATGAACAGAGCTGTAGATGACTGTAAGACATCAAGATTGAACATGTAATAACATCTTCTTCCAAAAATCATAAAGCTACACTATGTACATTTTGGGGATTTGGAGACCTCTCTGGTGGAAATGTGTTACTGCACACAATGTATGGAAGAACATTTTGTAATGTTGAGTGTACTTCAGGCTATAGGCTGTAGCAGTAATATTTGGAGACCAGCTTTAGGTTCAAACCTTTTAATAAAGCTGTCCTTGAAAATTATATCATACAAAGTAAAGAATATTGAAGCATGAGGAGTGCACAGAAGAAGCATAGACGACCCAAGTTTGTGCCCATAACACAGTTATATTTAGAATTGACTTGGCAGTCAGAGTACAAGGGAGGAATATTTCTCTTATTTCTAGAGGGAAGAAATATGTTATTTAAACCTGTAGCAGAGCCATGGCCACTACAGAATCCTGCAGGGGGTTATGAATCAAGGCCCAACCCTGGATGATGATAGCTGACACTCCCAAACACATTATCTACCAAACTGCTACAGCGTTCACATAACCTGTAAACAATATTATAAAATGGATAGATCATATCTGGCCAAACTGGGGACACATTTTAGTGAAAAGTAGAAATGGAATTGGGCCAAAGTTAATCCAGATATGATCTGACACAAAAGGCATGTTAATGAAAGGTGTAAACAGACTCTCTGAGTCACATATACAGAAATCCAATTTGAATCTCATTCAAAATGAATCTGAATAGAAAAATACAGATTTCATGTGTCTGACAATGTGAAGTAGAGATGATGGCCCAGTGACAACACCTGTCATGCCTTTGCATTTATTACCTTTAAGTGTAAATATAGGTAATAATAACATAGTACATATTAAATCCAGGCAGTTACATTAGTGCTCTGCAGACTGACCCTCAGTATCTGTGGCACTGCTGATCAGGTGGCTGATTTTGGCTCTCAGGCTGGTGGAGGTGGCCGGCCCCCTTCTGGCATTGTCATATCGACCGGTTCCTAGAGACAGGACACACTGGAAGGGCTGATTGGGCCACAGCAGCCGGCTTTCATGAACAGCGAGGGCACAGGGATTATTCAGAATGAGGCCTCCATCCTGGAAAATAGCAGTGGAGGTTACTGAGAATTTACCTGAACCAGGGCTGAACACTGTGCTTCTATTTGTGCAGATTTTCCCCTGTTTGAGTTGAGTTCACACTATGCAATCAAAGTGCAGTCAGACCTGATGTATATCATTGTGTAGAGGGAACTCTTGGAAGTATCCTGGAGCGGCAGAAGAAGCCCGCACTGCCTGCCAAAGCTGATATCCAGACCCCCCTGCGTACCGACTGAGGCGGCCTGGAGAGTGATTGTAGTTTCTGAAGATGAAGGGTTTGGGACTGGTCCCCCAGTTCACCACCGCACTGACCGCAGACACCTGCAGGGATAAAGAGAGAGTTAAGCGCATCGGTCACTGACATAACCTAGTGGCAAAACTAAGCAGCAGTACTGAGCAGAGTTACCTTAGGGCTCAGCTCATCTCTGGCTGTTCTAATAAGGAGCCTGTCCCCTATCTTCTCTCTGTGTGCCAGTCAAGAATTGGGCAAAGTATTAAAGTGAAGGTTTGGCCATAAATCAGACTGAAACAATTTACCCCTTACACCAAATGAAGTCAATCAGCAAAATCGTGTTTGTTTCCTTAGGTTTCTATTGGAACCATGAGGCCTGATAGTGAATAAGGAGCTATTGTGCCAACAGTACAGCCAAATCATTAAATATTTTCCTCAAATTATTTGTAAATCTCAAAAAAGCCTTGCTTATATGGTTTCTGATACTTCATAACATACCATTATCTATAAAAATAGACAAATGTACGGATTAATTTCGGACTTCACATTGGCTACGACTAGTGTTGTTAGCTATGCTATGTATCCATTTTCTAGATAACAGGATGTCATACAGTGTCAGAAACCACTTAAACAAATCTATTTGAGGTTGCTTAACAACTCAACACAGTTAAGGACAAGTATGTGATGATAAAGGTATCTAGTTTGTACAATGTTAACTGGTACATACATTTGTATGCAAAGGTTTGGGCACCTCTGGTCAAATGGCATGTTTTGTTGATTTTCTAAGTAAAAATAAATTAACATCTACAGAGAAAACACACTTCAGCACAGTTTGATATTATACAATTACTGTTTATTCACTAAACGTAACATAAAAAAATAAAACATGAAATGTGGCCTGTGCAAAAGTTATAGCACATTTTACATTTTATATTTAATTTGTTCAATATATTCAACTCTGTTGTGCACTAAAATTTGCAGAAAAATGTCATAGTTAAGACTGTTGTCTTTAAAGGATGTGTTACCTTGTTTTTACCTAAAAAATCAACAAAACATGTAATGTGACCATGCAACTATATAAGCTTCCATTACTTGTTAACTATTTAAATCTTGTACTGGGACAGGGGAAGGCGGGTGCTGCAGCCCCCTCAGCACCCGCCTTCCCCTGTCCCAGTACACAGATTTCAGGATTGCAGCTGCTAAAAAATAAATAATAATAATAATAATAATAATAATAATATGTTCTGAACTTTATAGTAATTTGAGTGTAGTAGAGACCCATGTGTGCCTGTTTTTGAGTGGAATTTGTGTTTTTATATCTTATTTGTCTAGTTTCAAAATCTACAGTAGCCCTGACTCTTATAAGTGAATGCTGTATTTTCATGCTAGTGAGTTGACAGCTCTTGGCTGCTTTCGGGGTTTGTCACTAAGACACATGCAGGTTGAGGTGCAAAGAGCAAAAAGTCTACACAAAGTAATTGGCTAGTTGTGAGCCCCAAAGCAGACTAATATTTTTAAGTGAAAAAAAATACAGTAATAATTAAGTTTTTATCAACTTTTATATCTCCTGCTCGGTGTGCGTTCCAGTGTTAAATCTCACTGTGTGACTGTGGACATGAGACAATTGGTTACTGCACCACATATCATCAATCTGATTGGTCGCCATTCAGCTCATTTGCATAGAATTCATCCAGAACAAAAGAGCAGTGTGATTGTGTGCATCAGAGGTTTGATGTATTAATTTTATGTATATATTGCCATCTCCCGTCTTATTATAGCACTGTATGACACATACTAATGTGAATTAGCAAAAAAATCAAATGAAAATGTAAATAATTTTGCTTGGTGTCACTATTCACGTCACATATACACTTAAAATTTCAGTAACTCCAACATCAAAAATCTTTCCACGCCCCTGGCCTTGCAGCTCCAATGCAAAACTAAAGAAGCAAACTTTGGACACAAAGATTTCAGGGAGAAATGGGGGAAATGTGTCTAAACAATCGCTTTAAATGTTGGCTCCTGCTTGTGTTACAAAACAGTGCGTATTGGTTCTGTTTGTGTGCTTAAAAACCTACTTCAGAATCATCTCCCAGGTCTCTGTGTTGTAGTATGAATGAGTCCAGCCCATTTTCACAGTGCCAACCAGTGGGTTCTGTCTAAAAACATCTGACCCAAAACGCCTGTACATCTCTTCACATTCTTCTAGAGAGATGCGAGCCAAAGCCAGAGTGAAGGCCAAAACAGCTCCTGGTGGAGTAAGTAGAGAGACCAGAGTCTGAGACTTCTAATTGCACAAGCATTGAAGAATTAAAGGCCATTTCTGATGACTGTTCCAATTTCTCATTACAATTTGTGATACTGTGTTTATAGATGACCACCATGCTCAGCCCAACTGCGGAAAGGCTCAGTTAAATTGTGAACTTTAGCTAGCCATACAGTAGGTCACCTGTGCTGACTCCACAAATGTAATCGAAGAGCTGGTGCACCCGCTGTCCCGTCTCAGCCTCCAACTGTTTCAGCACCTGCAGTGGGACTATCCCTCTGTAACAGAAGAGTTATTCACATGGACACAGTCATTCCACTCTAGGATGTACACTAATGTTTCGCTTCCTGTTATATTTTTGTTATGCGATTCAATAACTGGCAAAATGTAATGTACAGTGTATTGGACATTTGTACCATTCTTAAAAATATATTAAGTTCATTGTGTTTGGAAACAAAACGTCAAACCAAGTGAATGTCAAAATGTCAAATCAACAGACCAATTTTCACACACACACATTTTCAAGCTGCTTATCCTTTTGGGTCACGTTGGGTGCCGGAGTCTATCCCAGCAGTCTTTGGGCGGAAGGCAGGAAACATCCTGGACAGGTCGCCAGTCCTTCACAGGGCAGACACACAGACATATACATTCACTCACACATTCATACCTAGGGGCAATTCAGCGTGTCAAACAGGCCTGACTGCATGTCTTTGGACTGAGACCCACGCAGACACAGGGAGAACATGCAAACTCCACACAGAAAGGACCCTGGTCGAACCCAGGCCCTTCTTGCTGTGAGGCGACGGCACTACCCACTGTGCCACCATGCCGCCCAGACCATTTTCAGACAGTCATGTTTTGTTCATAAAAGTATTCTTTAAAAAGGCTATTCTTAATTCTTTTATATGTTCTTTATTGTTTAAGCAGTCATGGCAACTCACTTTTAAAACTTCCCCCACACCATCATTACATTAGTCACTATGAGCAGCTAGCGTCCACTGTGGCAAACAGAGCCATGGGGAGAAGTAGCCTCCTTTCAGAGAAACCCTCGGGTTTTAAGTCTAAAGCCCCACCCTCGGAGATCCCATTCCCCACCATGAGGTTAGAACAGTGTGGTTTACACATGAAACAAACAATAGCGCTATATACAGTCAACCTAGGTTAAACAATTCATTACCGGTATATACATTGTCTGGGCCCATTAACTTATAGCAACTTAATTATTTTCTTTTTCCTCCCACAGGATATTAGATGAGGAATATACCCCCCCCCCTCTTCTCCCCATCGGTGGATCCTCCCGATAAGGATAAGGTACGTAGGTCTCCCTGCTGTCCCCCTTTTGCTAATTCTCCTTTCACAGGCAGACACAGGTAAGTACATCTATACACACACATATTTTATAGTGCAAGGGATGGTATTCAGTGGTGATGGGGTAGGCCTCGCCTTACCACATCACACAGTTTCTTTGCAGAGTTCTGCAGGTTCTATAATGCCTTCATATACTTCTGACTTAATGATTCCATCAATGAACACAAGCTCACCGACTCCACTGCATAAAAAACAGCCCCAGACTTTGATGTTTCCACCTCTGTGCTTTACATCACTCTCAGTGCAGTCCGGTTGAAACTCTTCTCCAGGCTTTCTCCACACAAAGAGTCTATCATCAGTTTGATATTGTGCTAAAAGTGTTTTTCTCTCAAACAAAAGTTGCCTAATGAACTGCATTAAAGTTTGCTAATGGGTACATGGTTAGAGTGTCCAAATACTTTTTTGGGCCACTGCAGATTGGAATATGGCAAACTAGGCACTAAAAGATATTTTTAGATTCCTCATTCAATTTTTTTTTTTTTTTTAAAAAAAAAGCATGTTACTAAATGATAAATAATGTACTGTGATTATCTATTCTTAGTCATTTTTGACTCAAGATTTGATCACCACTTTTCAAATATGAGGAACTTAAGTTACCCTTATTAGTCCCACAACGGGGACATTTTCGCCTTCACATTTTAACCCATCCATGCAGTGAAGCACTCACATACACACACACTAGGGGGCAGTAAGCACCAGGGAGCAGTTAGGGGTTAGGTGCCTCGCTCAAGGGCACTTCAGTACCGTCGGCTCAGGGGATCAAGCCGGCGACCTTCTGGTCACATGGCTTGTTTCTAAACCTCCAGCCCACGACTGCCCAATACAATGATCACAAGTCACACTGAACATGGGGCTCAATCCCATGACCCTGAGATTAAGAGTCTCATGCTCTACTAACTGAGCTAGCTGGGTGATTATTCCAAGTGTTAACTGTCTTCTGTATTTGTGTTCTTCATTCTCAATGTTATACAGATTTCTCAGTTATTTCAGAATTATATATAACTCTGTTCATTATTCTGGACATGGCTGGGCACCCCTGGTCAAACTATATGCTTTGTTGATGTTCTAAATGAAAATGTTAACACATCCTCTACAGAGAACACACTTCTGCACATTTTAATGCACGATTACTGTTTACTTGCTGAATTTAACATTTTATAAAAAAGAAAACAAAAAAACGTAAATGTGGCCTTTTGCAAAAGTATACAGAACATTTTATATATTATGTGTTTTTCAAACATGTTAACATTAACAAATACATAGAGAATGCGCACTGACATTGGCAGAAATCCATATTTAAGTTTGTTCCCTGTACAGGATGTATTAACTTTTATTTTTGAAAGATGTAAGTTGACCAGGGTGTTCAAACTTTTGTGCAAAATCGTCTTTAAAAGTTTCTCACAGCTGCCTGCAAATTATATAACTCCTATTACGTTACTAGAGTACTAAAATCATGTTAGAATCACTTCATACATGTTTCTGTAACAAAATAGTTTTTTATATTATTGAATTTTCTTATATATTTTCTTATAGTCGAAATGACTTTTGAGCAACAGTGTATTGGCATGGATTTCTCCAGAAGGACCTTTCAGTCCAAATTTAAAATCACTATAAAATAACACAGCACAAGCGCAAGAAAAAATAGCACAAGAAAAAGGTTTAATCATATGATTTTCAGAGTTGCTGTACCTCGTGCCGCCTCCATCGATGGACAGCACTCGTATCCCGCGACCTTTAAGTGGATCCACATAGCCAATCAGAGCCAGGGTTTCTCTAATGGCTCCTTGGAGTTTCTTATCCATCCAAAAAATCTGGCGATACTTCAGCATTTGCAGCAATACTTTTTCCTGGAGGCAGTCACATTCGATTAGGCTGAATCTATTAAGAGTCAAATACAGAGGGTTCTAGAGTTCTGAGGAAAGTGAGAGGAGATTTATACCTGCCACACAACAGCCTTGCATGCTGGGTGCAGAATGAGATGAGCGTTCAGCTCCTCTACACAGGAACTGATAGATGAGCGCTTGGCCTTCTTCAGCCTGCCCAGCAGATCTCGAGTCTTCTCCTCTGCCAGTCTCCTTCCCACTGCCTACAGAATAGTTTCACTGTCAGAATCAGATTGCTCATACTGTATGCATTGAAGCCATGCTTGGGCAAAAAAATCTAATTTACATCAAATTTCATTTTCCTCTTGCTCCAAATGTAGTCAATCAGTCAAGACATGTTTGCTTCTTTAGTTTTGCACTGGCGCTACTGGGGCTAATGTAGCTAAAATTGTGATGTAGCTGTAAGTATTGGGAGTTTCTAGTCATCACTTTCACACGACCGCATGCCTAAATCTTCCCATACTTGCTTTAGAACACACTGAGATGGTAAGTCACCTCAAATACACTTGCTTATGTGGTTTCTAGAACTCTTTGTCCTACTAATATCTAAAAATGGACAAAAGCAGATCACATAGCTAATGTGCTAATAGCAGCCCATTTTGACGTTTAAATTTCTTTTGTGATTTTGTTCACTTTTTGTTAGATAACTGTGTCATACAGTGTCAGAAACCACAGCAATAAGTCTCTATGATTAACAAGCAATTTGAAAAAAGGTATAATGGCTTTGCACAAATAGGTATCTATAAGCATCTGCCTTGTTAGCCTGCCTCACAGCTCCAAAGGAAAACTAAAGAAGCAAACATGTCTTGGCTGATTGACTCCATTTGGTAAATTGAGGAGAAAAATTAGGAGGAAAATGGCTGAACCACTGCTGTAAATCTTTACTCAATTCTAGCACACGTGGAGATTATGGAGGACGAGCTCCTTACTAGAACAGCCAGAAACGAGCAGAGCCTGAAGGTAACTCTGCTCTGTGCTGCCACTTAGTTCTGTAACTAGGTTTCTATGTCAGCTCCAAAATGGACAAAAACATGACATATTGTTAAAAACAGTAGAAGAAGCCACTTTAAAGCTTAGTTTTTGTCCATTTCGTTTTCTTGGGGGGCCTAGGTGACATCCTATGCTATCTATCATATTCTCTGTATGCAAAATAAAGAGTTGAAAGAGTTGGATAAGGAAACAATGTAAGAAATTCTTTGGGCTCACTAGATCTATGACAAATAATATTAAATACATTTTTAAATACATATTTTTAGGCCCTGAACTGCTATTTATCACTGGAAGCAGCCCTGATGGACAGTGTTGAAACAGCAAAGCTACTTTAGTCTCATAGCTCCAGTGCAAAAGGGGTAAGGGGAAACCTCACCCTTGACTCAGATGAGCAAACAGCTGGAGTAGGACTCACCACTCTGTCCACTGTGGACTCTGGGGCAGTGCTTGCACTGGTAGGACTGTTGGAAGCCATTCCCAGGTAGCTGCCCACAGTGCTGGGGATGGCTGAGGGGTTTAGAAGGCACTGGAAAAAGGACAGAGGTTTTCTCTCCAGAGTGACGCTGTATTCAGGCTGTCCTCTGTACGGATCTCGCTCCACTTCCTCTTCTGTGGCTGCAGAGCCCTTGAAGTAGTGATTGATGTGGGTGCTCATATAGGCGTAGTTTTCCCCGAAGCGTGTGGTGAGGCTGCTTATGTGGAAGAGCGATTTAGGTCTGAGGGGTAAAGAGTTCAGTGTGCTCTCTGAGGAAGAACTGCCTTGTGATGCTGCACAACTTTGCTCATGTTTTGCAGAGTATGTGCTTTGACTATGCTGCGATTCCTCAACAGCATCTGCCATTTTTGCCCCAAAGTATCGGTTGATGTGACGAGCAAAGTGAAGGTACCCTTCTTCCCAGGAACATGAAAGATCTGGATTGTTTACTTCTTCAGCTGCTGCTTGGCCTGCATTAAAAAGAGTTGAGCCAGTTTCTAAAACGGTATTTTGTTTGCTGATGGTGCTCTGATGCTCGGTAACTTTTCTCTTTCTTGTTCTCATCATACGTTCAGATGCTGGCAATACCTCACAGGCTTGCTTTACTGGATTCTTAGAAAACACAGAGTTTATGTGACTGGCTACATAGCTATAGGACTCCCCAAACCTGGTTGCTAAAGAGCTGATATGGAACAGCTGTAGGCTAGGATATGCAGAGAACAATGGTGGTTCCTCGGACTGGTTCATGAGGGTTTCCTCTCTAGGCTGTCTCACCATATAGGCCCTGTCCCTTAGCGCTCTCTGACATTGTTCTCGTCTCTGCACTCTAGTGATAGGCTCCTGTACTGCAGACACAAAGCTAGCCTGACCAGAAAAAACAGATGCAGCCACCTCCTTCTGCTTAAAGTACACATTGATGTGCCTAGATAGGCGCTTGAAAGAGTTCCCAAGTCTCATCCGCAGTAACTGCATCTGAAAAGCAGCCTTGCTGTTCTGGTAAACTCCAATAGGAGCTTCTGCCTTAAATGTCTCCCTGCTGGAAGTGGAATAAATCCGAGAGGCCTTGGCACAGCATAGATTAGCACCATGTTTTAGACTGATATTGGTGCAGCTCAGAGGCCTCAGCTTTGACCTTTTAAGAGAAATTGTCCATGCAGAATTACAGGGTGAAAAACAGCTGCTCATGTTTGACCAGTAAGGCTTCATGGCAGAGAGTCCTAACAAAGTGAGACAAAGTTCTGATGCTAGTAAGCAGGTTCCTTATCTTGTACAGTATCTGAAACCTCTTTGGCCCCAAAGGTGCACCCAGAGGTACACCTTGGTTTGCACTGATGTTATGCACACAAAACTGGATTGAAACGGGGCCTGGATGGAGTCGGGCCAAATAACTTGAACCACCGGATGCCTGAAAAAGCAAAACAGGCGAGAATGTTTAAAGTTGCATTTCTGCAGTCAGTTCAAGATGCACAAAATCACTGTACATAATCAGAGCCTGATATATGGCATCTCTTTCCATTTAATGTTATTCTTTTTCCCATAGTTAATGTTACTGGATGAAAGTGCCTTCAGTAGGCTTATGCAGAAAATAGGTGAGTCAAGTGACTTGTTAACACATGACCTATTTGGAATTAGCTAGCATTTTGCTGCCCCCTCCTGGATAAATTAACGTCCTGAGTAATAATTTCCTGAACACAATTTCAATACATCTTTTTTGCCAAGAGTAGAATTGCAGAAATTCAAGAAATTAAGATGTGTTCATACATACATACATACATACATAAATAGTTATTTCAGAATCTGAATCTTTCCAATAAGTAAGCTGAATGTCTTGGCATATATGAATACATCAAACTGATTTACACATACTTTGTAAAATGCAATGTCTATAACTTATTTCCAGTTTTTCTGGTGAAGCAGCAACTGTGGTCAACCCATCTCTGAAACAGGACACCAGAGTTCAACAAGGTGTTCAAGGTAGCCTTTTCAGAGCTTTTATATTTCTGCTAGAGCAGGTCACATAGCAGACATGTGATCCCTCCTCTCATCTTTGTTGTTTATTAGGAATGTTAGGTCACTGTCCCTGATGGTGTGTGTACAAACTGTCCCATCACCGCCTTGTTGCCATATTTTGACCCACGTGGAAGCAAGCATGCTTCTCTACATAACAGAAAGCTGACGTCAGGAGAATCACAAGGAGAAAAGCACCTTCTTTCCTCTTACAGCGCCAACACACGTCACAGTGTAAACAATTTACTGTCGTTAAAACGCTGTGAACCATGACACTGTTTAACTTGAACTGTCATTAAACACATCATATCATATATCTCCTTCAAGACTGATAAAATTCTTTATGTTGCTTAAGAATAATAAAGGAAAATCCCACTATTTTTCAAAATTTCTGTACAAGTCAGTCATTAAAAGATGTAAACGGAGTCATGCAGAGGGGTTCAAAGTGAAATTGACTTTGTTTACATCTTAATGACTGAATTATACAGAAATTTCGAAAAATAGTGGGATTTCCCCTTTAATATTCTTAAACAGCATGAAGAATTTTATTAGTCTTGAAGGATATTTATGATCAGTTTAATGACACACACACACATCTTCTAAGCTGCTTATCCTTCTGGGTTGCGGGGGGAGCTGGAACCCATCCCAGCAGTCACTCGGTAGAAGGCATGATACCCTGGACAGGTTCTGTTTAATGACAATTCAAATTAAACAGTGTCGAGGTTCACACAGTGTTTTAATAGCAGTAATAGGGAAGAAGCTAACTGACTGATTTCTGCGCAGTGGTGGTGACGGAACCAGGATCACACATAAATCCATTTTACTTACTGTCCAAAACGATCAGTTAAACTACAAATGCCTTCTTAAGTTTTTCTGTGTACTGTTGATTATAAAATAGTGGTAAATCTGAAAAATAAGCTTGTTTTAGGGACTATTTTTTCTTATAACACCCTGCATGTACCACTCCACCATGAATGTCTTTTAGAAAGAAAGAAAAAAATACTTTTCAAGCCAAAAGCTTATCTCAAAACTGTCGTAAACAATGTCTCAGCCATCAGGCAGCGTGTTCAGAACTGTTTTATGTAATAGCTTTCTGTGAGGGAGCTTTAAGAGGAATTACTCTGTAAGTTTCTCTAGAATAGAGAACTGTGCATTTTGCATTAACCCCCTCAGAGTGATTAAGAATTCAAAGTTTGTTCAGGTTTTGTCCGGGTGTAATACACATCTGCAATATGAAGGTAATTAACGTCCTCATAGCATTTTCTGTCACATTCAGTGAAGTTAGGTGCAGCATGCAAGTTGCATAGGCACAAGCAACATTAAGGCAGGAAACAAATAAGTTAAAATGAAAAAATAGCACATTTTCAGCAAGAAAAACAGGCTACTCAATGACCAGTATATATCATTGCATGTCATTACTGTCATATCAAAACCTCACATCACATCATTTTAACGCTGTTTGTAAATGCCTGCTGCTGTTTACATTGAGTGATAATGAAAGGACCAATGGAAATAGTTTTAAATGATTTGGTTTCCTTACAAACAGCAACAGTGTTGTACTCCATGTTTTTGAGGTTATACAAGCATAGATCAGCCATTCATTTTTAACCTTGAGTTTGACTCATGGTCATAGAATCACAGAGCAACTTTATTTTACCTGTGTCTTTACTGTCCTCCTGAATGGGAGTTTAAGCTGATGTAACCCTTACTCACTTTCTCTTCACAGATTATATACACTGCAGTATGGAGTTCCCTATGTTTAGTGTACTACAAGGCTTCTTCAAGTTGTGTTTACACCGGCTACTGTTGTGACAAGGCTAACGCTGTTAATCTACTGCCACCTTTACTGAGGGGTTCAATATTATTGGCTGTTCTGACTGAGGGCAGAACCAAGTGACACTCCGATGGACCAATCCCTTTTCTCCTGTGCAAAATAAACATCTGCTTCTGGGCATGCTTGGCTATGGGAGTTCTATATTTAGTGAGTGTACCTTCAATGTTCTGAGAGCACGGCCTGTAGGCTGACAGACGCACACAATTCAGTACTGTCCAGGAAATTCAGACACGTTTAGTACCGCTGGATGAGGTGGGAGTCACGAAGTACTGCACTTGTTTCAGATCAAGTAGAGCATAATAGAGTTTCTAAACTGTAGTTCTATGATGTAGATATTATGTATTACTGATTGATCTTAACTCTACAATGAATTTCAAGTTAGCAGAACACATATATTCTCTTATTCAGACTGGTTTGATGTGAAATGGTGCACTGAAGAGAAACTTTCCACCTCCGGTTTATTTATAGTGGCGGCGATAGAAACCAAGAGGTCCCGAACACAAATATAGCCATTTTATTTACAATCCAAAATGACCAGTGAACCTACACGTCTTCTGAGATTTTATATCTAATGTTGACAATGGTGAATTACTGGTAAATCTGAATTACTTTTTCTTAAATAACTATTTTGCCATGCATTCATTCTGCATGTACCTCTCCACCATGAATGCATTATAAAAACATATTTTGGACATCAGGCAATGCAGTCATAACCTTTTCGTGTTATAAGGTGTTGCAGATTTAGAGGCCTTCAACACTTTGAACATCTGGTTCCTATCACAAGCACTGTGAACAATTCTGAATTGGTACATTTCTTCAGAAATGTGCATTTCACATCAATTCACACCATTCTGAATGAATTTGTTTACACACACACACACACACACACACACACACACACACACACACACACACACACACACACACACACACACACACTTTCTAAACCCCTTATCCTTCTAGGTTGTGGGGGAAGCTGGAGCCTATCCCACTGGGCAGAAGGCAAGATACACCTTGGACAGGTCACCAGTCTATTGCAGAGCAGAAAGACAGACATATACATCCGACTTTGTTTAAATCTTAACCATTTAATTATGCCGAAATATAAGAAAAAGTGTAATCTCACCCTAATTGCTACAGTGGCATGCTTATCACCTTTGCAATATTACATGCCTCAACATCACATTTTACTTATGACACTTCCACTGTAAGATTGTATGGTTCACATACAAATACAGATCAATCTTATCTTGGGCTGGGCAGCTACTGCACGATATGATTTGTACCATGATACAAGCATCACAATATGATATTTCAACAGAGAAGAGCACACAATATTATTTATTTACTTATTTATTGTTCAACAGGGTCACTTAGTTGGTTTGTACTCTTAATTATAAAGGCTGCGACCTTCATTACCCTAAACAATCTTTCAACTGATGGTTATTTAAAGAGTGTGAAGTACTTTTTCAAAGTAAAAAACAAACCTTACACATTATGTAAAGGTTCTATATAAATGAAAAGATCTTTCTGGAACTGCACATCCACACCAAGAACCATTTAAGAACCTTCATTTTTAAGAGTGCGAATCTGTTCAATGATACCAAATTATATGAGCCCTTTATAAAACACTTAAAAAAAAAAAATAAATAAAAGAACACCACACAGGGTTATTTGACAAGTGCCACCGAAGAAATACTTTCCATGAAAGAACGATGTCGGAAAGAGATTTGTGAGCATTAAGAAACATTCAAACATAAAGGTTCAGTTCCTGCTTAAGGGTTCTTCCTAGAACCATTACATTACATGGAGTTTCTTTAAATTTTAAAAACGTTCTTCATACACACACAAAAATAGTTCTATCCACTAAAAGGATTTTTAGAGAACCAAAAGTTGTTCTTCTATGCCCAGATTTTTGCTCCAACTTAACTTGCAACACATATGGATAGAGCGACTGTCTGGGTGTCCCTGAGGACCATTTTTAGAACCACTATTAGATTTTCAATTAATTTTGGAAAGAACACTTTTTGGTACCGTAATTTGTAAAGATGTAGGGAAAATTGCATTCATAATTTTTTTTTTACATGATACAGGAATATCGATAAATGTGTGACTGCATCAGTGTGTATATCAAAATTATTTACTTTATTCATAATATACTGTCTTATCACTATATGAACACAGCCCTACTTTCCGCCCTACTTTTTTCTGTTTCAACTTTAGTAAATCCCACAAGATGGTAATACTGAGGAAAAACGGGTTTTATGGCAGTCAATAGATTATAAAAGGTATTGAGGTAAATCCAAGTTGTTTAAGATGCTTAAATCTCCCCGTTTGCTCTTTTGTCTCACTTAGCACAGCGTCCTGTTGTGCACTTGTCTCGGCCAGTCCACTTCAGTCTGTTTCTGGCAAACACAATGTATGAACGGTCCATCAGAGGCCTGATGAGAGGGAGAGTGATGAACCTGGCCAACCAGCCAAGACCCACTGCCTTGTACATAACTGCAAAAGCAGAGACCCCACGGTGAACCTGCCAACAGACATAAAGACATAAACAAAAGTAAACAATCCTTTTGTTTACCACTCTGTTCATAACTGCATGTAAATTCTCTGTTTCAGGTATTTGTCACTGAACTTTGACCGAACACTAAGGGGAGAGTGAGAGGGAGAGAAGGGAGAACATGGCGGAATGTAGTGACAGAGATTCGGAGATATTTCAGCCTTCTAAGAAGACCAAGTCTGACGTTTGGTCATGTTTTGGGTCTTATAAGGATGCAGAAGGAAAGTTAATTGAAGATGACCACACTGTCTGCAGAACAGGCTGAAAGAAAATAGCGGCGAAAGGGGGCAACACATCAAACCTTACGAGTCATCTTCGCGACCACCACCCGCTACTTTTTAGAGAATGCGAGGTTAACTTTAACGTAGAAGTCTGTGGGGACTTCGAAATAGAGGAAATGTTGTGGTCTGTGTGGTTTAACTTGTGCTTATGGTTCGTTAATAATATTAAATGAAGCTTTTAGAAAAAAAAAAACAATCGGTGAATCAACTGTGAATCAAAACTAAACCTTTTAACACACATTTCTGTGGAGCAGAGTCTCCAAAATGAGCTCTGAGTTAACAGTCACACAAGCTCTGGAATGAGAAGCTGCAGAAGTTCAATCTGCACAGCTCCCCTTTCTCGCTTGCAGTGTTTACTGTCTGAGACAGTATTATATTTGCTGCCAATTCTATTTGTGTTAATATAAAAGTTGGTGAAACGAATTTCAGTTTGTGTATCATCCATCCATCCATCCATCATCTAAACCGCTTATCCTTCTGGGTCGCGGTGGGGTGCTGGAGCCTATCCCAGCTGTCATTGGGTGGAAGGCAGGATACACCCTGGACAGGTCGCCAGTCCATCACAGGGGTTTGTGTATCAGTATTTATTTATTTATTTATTTATTTAACTTTTCAACGCTTTTATTGCGATAATATCGATAATCATGATATGAAATTTTAATATCGTTTCATCTCCACTATGTAAATGAAGTGCCATTAAACACGTAAAATATGTAGCATGTCTTCTATGAAAAATGGAAATGGAAAAACAAATTGTCCTACCTTTTTTTAAGTAAGAGTTTGATACGATGTGGAAATATTGTTAAAGTTTTAAAATCCATTATTCACTTTTCTATGTATGTATGTATATATATATATATATATATACACATGGAAATTTGGCTGCAAAAAAAAGCCCATTTTGAATTCATTGTTTTGTGATGTCATGAAAATCAGTGCATTTACTTGTGCTAAGACTTGGCAGTGAGGTGAGAGGTCGCAGCTCAATATTGCTTTACTGCGTCTGCACGTTTGAGCTACAAAATAGGAAACAACAGACACCTCCTTAACGCATTGTTAGCAGCAAGCCAGCCAGCTAACGTCAGTAATGTTCATTATATACCTACCTTCTCATAACACTGAAATCTTTTAGATTAGAACTGTATAAAAACTGTTTAAAAAGAACATCAAAACTGTTTTAAACGGATCTAAACATCATTTAAAAAAGGAAAAGTGGTCAGTGTTATAGTTCAACTAACTACTGTGCCTGTATGTTGTCTAATCTAAAGCATCATTAAAAAGTAGAGAAGTGGTTCTTTATTACTGTTGACAGATTGAGCTGCCATGCTGGTTTAATGTTATACACTGAGCTCTGAGATGAGAACATCATTTGAACCTTTCTATGATATTTGCAATCAAAACAAGAATCAGTTCTATCTTATTCATTTATTGATTTTTCTTGCTAAATTCTACATTCACAAATGCAAATTCAGTAAGGCCTTTTAGTCCTTACATTTGGGTTACGAGCTTCACTTGAAATCAGCATTGTATCCGCCCATTTAGCCTACAGCAGTATAGCCCCGCCCACTCACATTTCAGAAAGCTGAGTGAGGAGCAACACAGTGCAGCCAATCAGAACAGAGATCATTTGTACGCCTCAGTCTTACAGGCACAGCAAGAAAAACAGCCCGTTTTCTGTCTTAGAGACTGTAAAACTGCCATGTAAAATGAATTATGGCTAATTTGATACATAATGCATACAATGCCTTGTGTGAACTCCTAGCTAATAAATAAAATAACAGAGAACTTCAGGACACGCCCCGCTTTGCTGGTCCATACAGCACGCATGGAGGACTATTTTGGGGCTAAACGTTTAGCTCCGCCTCTGTCCAGCATACATCATCAGGATCTTAAGAGTGAATTTAAAGAATATGATGATCTGATATGTGCTGTGAACTCTTTTATTTCCAAATTTGTTGACATTAACAGCTTTTGCTCCTTCTGTGGGTCTGCTGATGAAACTTTGACTCACCTGTTTTTTCAGTGTGGAAGCACGAACGACTTTCGGTCCAACTTATGTGCTCACATTTTTAACCCTGTCAAAATGACTTTCCTTTAATCTCTAAGATATTATTTGTTACTACAATAACTTTACTAACAAGCCTCTTGAGTATGTTGTTAATTTTTTCATTCTACATGCTAAATTCTTTATTCATAAACAGAAGTTTTCAAATTCTCAGCCAATCCCGTCCCTCTTTTTAACGGAATTTAAATTACTGCTCCAGTCCTTACATCTTGTAGAAACTAAGAAAAGTAATAGATTTTTGAATTTCTATGACCAGCTTTATGAAGAGACACTTGATTAACTGGCTTTCCTCGTGTGTGTGTGTGTGTGTGAGAGAGAGAGAGAGAGAGAGTGAGTGAGTGTATATGTATATGTGTATGTATGCATCCTCCTTTAGACATATAGGTTTTTTATACGCAGGTTGTTGGGTTGCATCCTTACTCTCTGACGTCATGATGTGCTTGGGTGGTATGATGATATTGCGGAGAGTAATGTTCACATATTCGTATATGGTGTCTGATAATGTATTGGTCTGACGTTGGTTGTATATTTCGTATATTCTTTAAATAAAAAAAAATGAATATGATGATCAGGACACCGACCTTATTATTCTCGTCGATCACAGTCATCTCCTCCATCGCCATCTCATAACTGACCCCTCCGTGTCTACTCCCATCGTACTCTGCCGCAGAGATGTCAACAAAGTCCACTTTACCAGCCTTCTTCTGCACAAGCCGAAGAAAGTTGATCTCCTTTACGCAGATTGGACACTCTCCGTCATACAGCACCTGTCAGAGACATAAGAGACTGTCTGCCTGAGCATGTGGACAACAGCAGAACTGCTCGCTGTGCATGGGATTTTCATTTAGAGGAGTTCAGCCAAATAATATCTGCAGAGCACGACGGCGTTTTAATGCCACTGTTAATAAAAATAAAAATGGTAGACTTCAAGAATAAAGTCGTAATATTTCGAGAAAAGAGTCATAGAATTATGACATTAAAGTGGCATTAATACCAAGAAAGGTCGCAATATTGTGGCCTAAGGCTTTGCAAAGTGAAGGCAGCACCTCCTCCTGTTAAATGAGGGGCGGTGAGGAGTTGGTGGAGTTATACTTTCATATCGATTCACCCATAAAGAAACACTCAGTCTCCCTGTCTCTCCTGCACATCAGCACCAGCCTGTTATTAGTATAAGAACCGGCTGAAACGGCTGAGCAGGAAACTGTGTTTATCTAGAATAAAGAGCCAGACGGACTCGGAGGAAACTGTCTGTCTGTGTTGTTGAAGGAGAATCGCAGGCAGGGTCGTCTACACGGCTATCAGGGCTTCATCTCCGCACCATTTAAAGAGAGCATGAAGTTTCACCGACAATGAGAATGATGATCTAAATGATCCACAGAGAGACAGGAGTGAGTGGAGCTCCGGCGCCAGTACAGCAACCGAGACCCCAACGCGTTATGGCAGCCCCCCTACAGTTAGCCCCCCTACAGTTAGCCCACTATATCCTCCAAATATTACGACTTTATTCTCGAAATATTACTTTTTTCTCAAAGTCTACTATCTTTATTTTTATGAACAGTGGCCCTAAAACGCCGTCGTACCACAGAGCCACAGTTTCACGCCTGCGGTTTCACTCCAGCAGGGTTAAGCCTATAGCATTTCGCGCATGCGCCTAAACTTTTGTTTGTCTTATCGAGTTTTAGGCTAATCGATATTTCAGTCGTTTTATGTGCGTTACATTTTATATATATTCGTTATATTTTAAGCTTTAGACTAAAACAAACTTTGATTTAGAGATTCACAGGGTCAGTATTACACAAACTACAGCTTATGTGGCCTGGGAAAGCTAATGGGTTATGCATATAGGTTAGCTCAGTTAATTTACCCTTAATACGGAGTACTTACATTACATGTACAGGAATAAAACCTCAAGCAGGCTTAAACAGAGCATAATATTAAGCTTTAAGCTAAAACAAACTTTAGTTTTTGAGCGCATCCCTGCTGGAAAAATATATAGAAACCATTTTTATATATTCTGGTTTCTGGTGATTTTGTAATGTGTTTTGGCTGGCAAGATATCAGTTCCTCAATGGTAATATGCATGGAGACACATACAACCAGCACAAAAAGTCGCCGTTTACATCAGAGACGTTATAAATGAGGAGACCGGCCACTGGTTTAAATATGAATGAACTTTCCTGTAAGGACTTTGTTTACATGGCACAATCGCGCTGTCCTGCTGTGCGTGTGTTGAACCATAAGCCAATCTGGATCTGCACTCAGACGCTTCTCAGTTGAACGGACTTCAAAATCTCCTTAAAAGCGGGTCTCCTTAAAAAATCCTCACCCTGACCGTCTGTGGAAATCCGCTGCAGAAGAGCCGCAGAGCGCCGGCAGCTGCTGCCCTGGAGCGAACACAGCGCAGGGCTTTAAACAGCGCTGTGGCAGCCATGTCGATGTTACGCGAGTTTAACACAGTCCTCTCCAGAAAGGGGAGATTAAATAGTCACGGCTAACATCTATCGACCGTACAGCAAAACAGCAGACCAGGACCTTGAAAACCTCGGTACAGCTGCAGAGAAGAGCGCCTGACTTCACCCGCAACGTGCTCGACGCTTCCGCAGTTACACAACATCTTAAATAACATTTTCAGCATTACAGACAGGACAGTCCAACCATCTCTCTCCCCCAGTCCATAACGGACGACTGGGGGCAGGTTAACATTGGTCGCCCAGTCTATTTAGAAAGCATTTATTAGTAGGATATCCATTCCCTGTGACGGCACCTGCCATTTTCAAAATAAAGGTCTTTAGCGACCTGGGCTGCTACTATTTCCCAAACTACACAATTTTTTTGTAAAGGAAATTATTTTATCAAGAACCACGAGTTCTATGTAGAACCATTTCATGCTTACATGGTTAAATATGGTTCTATACATCACCAAAAGGGTTCTTCTATTGTTATGGTGTCAAGCTTCTAACAATACATGCACGTTTTTAGTGCTACATAGAACTATATATGTATTCTGCAGTGCAAAAATAGTGACATTTAACATGAATATAACTTCCATAAAGCTTTCTATGAAATGAGCAGATTATGGAAGAATGCCCACTGTGCTATATACATTTCACCATTAGTGTATGACTGGCTCAAACTCCTTCAAAATGGAAGAAACAGCAGTTTGCAGTTGGACGTCTAACCAAGCGGTGACCAAACTTTTGCCTGAAAAGGCCAAAAACATTGTACTTTTTTTATTGTGCTTTTAACAATGTACTGTATAACATTATTCTATATTTTGCTAGTAAATTACTTAAAGAAATGCAATTTCAAAAGGAAATTGAGAAGTAGGTAAGTTCTGTATTTCTGCTCTCTTGCTGGGTGAATGAATAGGGTTAGGCTAATTTTTTTGGGGCCAAATAAAATTGTGTGAATCAACTAGTTCCACCATTTCCAGTGATTTTCACAGAAGTGTATTTGAAATTTCCAGCATGAAGTCAATTCTCAATGGAAATGCATTTATGCTAAACAGAAAGAAGCAAAATCTTAGGAGACTAATACATGCTAGGAGGTTTAAGGCTCTACTATCCTAAACAAACCACAGACAACAACTTCAAGCCACAACTTTATTTTTCTCGGGTATAAATTGTACAAATAGTGTAGATTAATTCAGCAACATCCCATTTTGACCCGTTCTGATCTCCACCTACATCGTTAATTCCTGTAGGAAGAGAGAAAAAGAATAGGATGTTAATAAAGCCATACAAACAAAATTTCTTTTTAATGCCAAGCTCTTCTCAGAACAGACACTGGCTTCGGTAGACTCAGAAGAATGAAAGTCTTACTGTTGAATCAGCACAGAAGCACTGCAGAGTATATCAAGATTTTGTGTACACTCACCATGATGGCATTGACAATATCATTGTTGTTATTCTTCAGTGCGCGTACAGCCTTTGCTCGTGACACATTGGCTTGTGACATGACAAGCTCAATGTCCTTAACCTCCACTCCGGTCTCATCAACCTTGAAATTAAGTAATAAGTAAAAATGAAAATTCAGGACTCAGAAATTAGCCAGTGGAATAATCCTAGTATGAACATGAACACATGCTTTGCTAAAACCTACAATATACATATATAGTATGAAAACGTGTGGTTACCTCTTCCTCTTCGCTCTCCTCCTGTACTGTGGGCGTCTGTGTGTTTTCTTGGATGTTTGAAGCTGCTTCTCCCTGGACCTTGAACTTCTCTGCAGCAGCCAACTGTGCTTGCTGGGACAGGTCCTCGATCTAAGGCGCAAAAGCAAAAACAGCATTAATAATGGTCCTCAGAAAATTTGTTATAAAGGCCCTGATTTGGGCAGAGAAAAGAAAAATGAAAGCATGAGTGAAAACCCCCCTCTCAGAACAGAAAGTTTGGCTTCATCAGACTCAGGAGAACCAAGTCATACTGTTTAAATCACCACGAAGGGGGTCTAACTTGGTCAAAAAGCAGAAGCTGTGCAAGTCAGATACTTCAATACCCTGCATTGTATTGTTCGTAGTGATCATACGACAAAACACAAACACCAAACAATCCTGGCTACTTTTCACTTCGATCAAATTTGGAGATTCTCACCTTAGCCTCACCAAAGACAATGTAAGTGTCTGAAGCGGGACTTTTGTATACGTCTGGTTTGGTGATGACAAACAGAATGTTCTTAGACTTGCGAATGGTGACCCTGGTAACTCCTGTCACTTGTCTGAGACCCAGTTTGGACATTGCCTGGTAAAGCACAAAAGAGATTTTACATTCAGGTAACAATACCACAACAATGCACAACTATTATAAAACTTCACAAGTTCACACCTTTCTTGCTTTCTTTTCGCTTCTGCTTTGTTTGGCTTTGCTAACAGGCTCCTCGTCGATTTCAGCAGCAGCTGCAAGCTGTGGAGTAGAGAAGGTTTACACCAAAACGTCTCTGATCACAAATGATTTTTACCCAAATACATGATCTGAGAACTGGGCTAATTACTAATCTGTTTTCAGGGCCAGAACTAGTACAGGTTGACAAATACTACAGCTCGCTACCAAATAAATCATAATACTAATTGTATTTGATGACCCTTCTTCCACATCTCTATTTATGAAGAACTGTCAAACATCACATACGTACGGAGTGAAAGCTTAATGTTTAATTAAGCTGCATTACATAGGAGACAGTCAGTCTTACCTGTGCCTGCTGTGTCTGTGTCTGTGCAGAATCCTGCTCCTCCAGTTCAGGAACAGACTCATCACTGTCGGATTCGGTGCCGGACCCTTAAAATACAAAACAAGAAACTAAGGTACAGCACTGGAAGTCCATGTAAAGCTACAGAAGCCCTAAAAGGCCACAATTTATTTTTCATGTATTCCAACTTCCAGCGATTATAATTTTATTTGTTTTCTCATGATAGTTATTTGTCATGATCACAACATACATGTTTCCCTGAGATACAGGAACAATTTTGTCCTAAACATTTTTTTGAGAACAATAAATTTGAGATTTCATAAATTAAAGCATTTTCCTGAGAAGCAAAGCCATCATGCTTAAATCTATGGACACACTTAAATGTGTGGCTCCAAATGAGAATTAAAAAGCATAGACTACAAGGAACAGATATTGATCATGAGAATCAATTTGTGCTATGTACACATGGCCCAGCAAACCTATGCATGGTTTAGACCAAGGGTCTTCAAATCCAGACCTTGAATCCAGTTTCTGATCCAGGATTTTGTAATTACAGGTAGGCATGATACCAAATAGGCAATCTGCTACATCAACAGTTCAGTTAACTACCAGTAATTACAAAATACAAGACAGGAAATAGTATAAATACATCAAAACTATTCAATATATTGTTGTGATAAAAAAAGCAATTTACCTTAAGCAAGCAACTAAAAACAATTGAATAAGGTATATGTTAGAAAAAGCACAGTGCACAAATAGAATTATATTTAAACAAACAAGCTCCCCCTGTTCTCCGTTCATTAATCCAATTAAGTGGCTTCAGTGATGTTTTAAAAACTAGTGTTGATTTTTTTTGGAAAATGCTGCCCACACTTAAACGCCTACATGTTTTATATCCCGATAGGTGTCCAATTTCCTTGCTGAAACAGGCCAGTAACTGGTGGAGGACATCCAGCTGAGACTTTTTCTAGGGCAATTCTCTAGTCTATACCAATGTTAATAAGGCTTAACTAAAAACCTAAAGCATGTAGAAAAAGCAAAAAACTCAAAGCTACACACCATTAAAAAAAATCAGCAAACAGAAGACAAACACACAGAGAAAGAGATACCCTTGTCGTTCTTGATTGCTGGTTCCGGTTTGGATGGGGTTTTGACTGCTGTAGGGGCAGGGGTAGGCTGAACTTTAGTGGCTGTAGTGGGGGCTTTTGGGGCAGCTGGGGGCGCAACAGAGGTAATTACAGGGGCTACTTTAGGTGGAGCTACAGCCACAGGTTGTGGTTGGAAAACAGGCATTGTTAAAGGTTTCTCAGGCGGAATGAGTGGGGGCAGGTCATCATCCTCCTCCTCTTGAGCTGGAGTGACCTGAGGAGGTGGTGCTGCTACAACAGCAGGAGTCACCTCTGGCTTCTTTTTGGGAGCCTCTGCCTTAGCCTTAGAAGAAGCAGCAGGGGCTGCAGGCACTTCAGCAACCTTCACGGTTTCTGGAACAGTTGCTGGGACTGTTTTGGGGGTTTCAGACACTTTATGAGCCTCAGAGACTACCTTTGGTACCTCTGGTACCTTTGGAGGACCACATGCCACAACTTCTGAATATGATTTTGGTGCTGGGGCATTAGGTTTGGAAGCTACTTTAAAAGCTACAGGGGGCACAGCAGCATTAGATTTTGGTGCAGGAGATGCACCCTCCACTGGTTTTGCTTCCACTGGAGCTGTCACAGCAACCTTTGGTGGGGTTGGAGCAACTGATGCACCCTTCACTTGATTTGCCTCCACTGGGACATCAGCTTTAGGGGAGGCAGGGGAGGCCAATGTACCTTTCACTGGCTGTGCCTCAATTGGGGCTGGGATATCAACTTTAGGGGAGGCAGGGGCAGGTGGTGCACCTTTTGCTGGCTTTGCCTCTACTGGGGTTGGAGCAGCAGCTTTAGGGGAGGCAGGGGCAGGTGATGCACCTTTTGCTGGCTTTGCCTCTACTGGGGTTGGAGCAGCAGCTTTAGGGGAGGCAGGGGCAGGGGGTGCACCTTTTGCTGGCTTTGCCTCTACTGGAGTTGGAGCAGCAGCTTTAGGGAAGGCAGGTGCAGGTGAGGCACCTTTTGCTGGCTTTGCCTCTACTGGAGTTGGAGCAGCAGCTTTAGGGGAGGCAGGGGCAGGTGCAGGTGGTGCACCTTTTGCTGGCTTTGCCTCTACTGGAGATGGAGCAGCAGCTTTAGGGGAGGCAGGGGCAGGTGAGGCTCCTTTTGCTGGCTTTGCCTCTACTGGAGTTGGAGCAGCAGCTTTAGGGGAGGCAGGGGCAGGTGAGGCTCCTTTTGCTGGCTTTGCCTCTACTGGAGTTGGAGCAGCAGCTTTAGGGGAGGCAGGGGCAGGTGTGGCAACTTTTTCTGGCTTTGCCTTTGCTGGAGTTGGAGCAGCAGCTTTAGGGGAAGCTGGGGCAGGGGGTGCATTCTCCACTGATGGAGAAAGTGAAGTTGAGGAAGTGGCCCCTAGACTAGCAGCAGGTTTAGCTGCCTCTGGTTTAGGCTCTGGTGCAGGGGGTGCTGGGGCTACCTGCTGAGGTTCAGCAAGTTTGAAAGCATCTCCTTTCTTGGGTTTTGCCTGTTTACCAGCCTTTACAACCTTAGGAGCAGTTGTCTCAGCTTTTCCTGCACCAGCAGAGTCAGCTGGAGGAGATGCGAGTGGGGAACACGGTGGGGTGGCTCTAGGACCAGAAGCTGATTTTGGGGATGTGGGGGAAGAGGAAGAGGCTGAGAGGGAGGAGCGCTTCCTTCTGCCCACAGGCACAGGTTTAGGGGCAGAAGCATGCGGAGAGGAGTCAGCCTTAGACCCTTTAGCCTTTGGCTGGGAGGCAGCAGGAGCTGCAGCAGCAGGGACAGCTGGTGTGGCTGAGGAAGATAAAGCGCTTGAGTTTTTTCTGACAATTGTGTTGACAGCACCCATATCCATGCAGGTTAGGCAGAACTCCGAAGGGCAGAACTCTTCTCACTCCAAGCACAAAAAGGTGTTAAGTCACACCAAAGCTTTCAAAATGTCAAAACAAGCAACCTATTTTGCCACTACTAGCATTTAGACAGGCATCACAGCATCTTCCCACATGGACTTGCAGTACTGTAAATTGTCTTGAGCAACACACGCACAGCTTGGGCAACCACCCATAACATAAAAACCACCGTTCCTATCTTAGATCCCTCCTCTTTTATGCTAGGTATTAAAAGAACAAATCATTTTCCAAGCATTTCTGTTTCTAGAATTTAAGTACATCTTACCTGGGTAGCAAGAAGATCCTTGTTATAACTGAATTCAACCATGATAGCCTCATCTTTACAACTATGTCTAATAAGTTGAACTAGTTCAATATGCAACAAATTGAACATTTACTAAACGCAGTATTAGTAAACACAGCACACCCACAACAGCTGACAAAAGGCATCACACAAAGATTAACTTTGCTTCACAACCACTCCTAAACTAAGAAGAGCTGAAAGGTTTAATCATGTCACACATGCATTATTATTGCTTTTAAAAACAAGTATGCAAGCCATTACTCAAAAATTACAGGTGTCTAAAGTACTGAAATTTGAATTCTCTTCACAACTGATGTTATGGGATCGCTAGTGTGATCTTTTAATAAAAAAACGATGCATAGACGCCTAGCTAAGCTTGCACTTGATTATGACCAACCCTACGAAGATGTTAACATAAATATATGTAGATGTAAATAAAAAAGGCACTGATCACTGGATTCTACATTGGTCCAGATGGAGCAAAAAATCTAGACTGTCTGGCGTGTTTGAGGGTTGGTTTGAGAACCTGCTCCTTGCCATGAAGCTTTCCAAAGAAGTGCATTTCAATCTTGATACTAGAGTATTCTGACCTGTATACTTCAGTATTCCCCTGTTCCGATACGTATGATCGAACAAATCAACTAATTAACGACTATCCTAGATTTAACTGGATGTGTGGAGCAGTGGAAAGGCGTCTATGCTAAACTCTGTAGGGCGCTGGTACTCCAGAACCGGGATTTCTTAATTGCTAAACCACATATTTCAAATGTTAGAAGCACAACTCGTACATGTGCACTCAGTTAAATCCAAGAAAGACAGGAAAGTCGCAAGTGAAATATGTTAAAAGATTAAATACAGGATCTGGGTAACCTTCACATCTGGCCTGTTTCATGTTTCAAAAAACAACAGAAAGTTCCACAAAGAAAGATCTAGATCGAAGTATAATGAGCTACAAACCACACGACACAGGTCAAAGTTAAGAAGGAATTAAGAAAAAGCTGTTACTCTGACAGGATGTCAGCAGCAGATCTTTTAGTTGGTGTACAAATGAACTAGTATTCACTTAATCACTTGAACGTTTAGTGATTCACTGAAGATTAAGATGACTCCACACCTGATAAATGGTAGTTAAGTGTGCAGCGACACGTGCAGAGGATAAAGAATTTCTGCTCTGACAGGACAAGCAGTGGGTCAGACTTCACACAAATTGACCCACCTGACAGGTGCTGAGAGGAGCGAGAAGGGCCAGCACGATTAGCCTGCACCTTCCCCTGGACAGCCTCAGAAAGGGCTATGACTTCTTTCTCGGCTACTACTTCATTCTGAACAGCCGGATCTACAGCACGATCAAGAGGCTTTATTTCCAGTGCGTTGGCTGCTTCACTAGACGACTCTTTTGCATGTTCGATGGTGGCCTCCAGACTCATAGACTTCAAGTCATCAGGTAATGCACCCACTCCCTGGGGTTCAGTAATATTTTCTTGAAAAACTGGCAGACCATCTACTGCATCTCCTTCAAGAACAGGTTCCTCAGCTGCAGGTCTCTGCACTGGGTCTGTCTCGGTAATTACTGCCTGCTCTTCAGTGGCAACTTCTTCTGGCTCTTGGGCTGCAGGCCCCACCAAAGTTTCTTTCAGGTCTTCAACAATATCTGCTTGTCCTTGGACAACAGCTTCTTGGACAAGTCCTGCTGGTTCTTTGGAGTCTTCACTCGCAGAAGCAAATTTATCAAGGGCAGTAGCTGCTTGGGCTACAGCCTGTTCCTCAGTAACAAGTCTCACCACTTCACCATTGGACTGTGCTATTTCTGCTTTAGTTGGAATTGCTTCTTCTGCCGAGTGCGCTACAGTCTCAGCATTATTCTGGGTTTCCAGAGTAACAGTAGAGGCCTCAGGAACAGCACTCTGCACTGGAGTGGGTTTGGTAATTTCAGGAGCAGCTGCCTCAGAACTGGCAGGGGCGCTTACTACCCCTGGAGCTAAGAGGGTGGAGAAGAGCAAGGACAGCAGGAGGAAGGGCAGTCACAGTGAAGGCATCAGCAGCAGCTTAAGAAATCTCACCAAGATTTTCTGTTGCATATAACCAAAAGAACTGACCGGTGACAACATACCCCCACCACGACAAAACTCCAGTGGATGGTCAAGTATAATGCCACAAAAAAGGAGTTCTCAATTTATTATATGCAACAGAATATTGAGAACTTTTCCTATCCAAGAAAAACATGTTTAAAAGAAAACATCCTTCCAAATGTGTTTAGCGTCAGTGAAATGTTAGTCGGTGCCAGTGTACGAAAAAATGTCAACAGTGCCTACTTCTCACGTCTACCATGCAGTGCCCACAGTCACACACGGTGAAAGTCTAACAACTGCTGGCAGCATATCAGATGCCATGAGAAAGGTTCTCTGAGAAAGAAGGTATTCCAACATTCAGCTCGCAAATTAACCAAAAAACCTTCATTGAAAAAAATATGTACTACTTTACCCTAAACCTGTAGCTTAACATTTGCCACATGACACATACAATTAAAATGAGACCTTAATTGATGAACGCGTTTCCCCATTCATAACTTCCGTCTTTTTCCAAGCAGACCTCTCTGCAGTATGCTCACATCACCCATTTGCTTTCAAAGACAAATGATTTCTTAGGTACTCAAAGCTGCAGGTTACAGTCTTGGAATTCAAAAGCATTAACAATTACTGACAAAGGCTCCGCCAACAACTGGCTGCTAGAGAAATTAGCTAATTATAGCAGTTTTGTCTTCTCTTTTTAATTACTTTATTCCTCTACCATTAAAATGTTTTGGGTTGGAAAGGCAAGACTGAAAACATAAGATGATTGTGTAATTACATTTACCATAAAATAACAAAAAATAAGAAAATAATAATGAGCTTAAAAATGAAACCAAACCTCAAAGAATATATAGAATTCAGATTATCCACCAAAAGTCACAATCAGAAGAAAAGCAGAATTTACAGGTTATAATAGTCACGTAAACCGAGTATTGGCCTTCAGTAACTTCCACAAAAAATGAAATATTTACCTTTTAACACCTTTACTTTCTTAGTAATATGCACAGAAAACTTAAGAACAGTTGTCTGTGCAATGCAAACTGAGAACCTCTGCATGACTAGTAAACAAAATATACTTTTGAAGTGTAGGGGTTAGAAACAGACACTACAGAGAAAACATTCATGCATGGCTGGTTTATCCATATCCCATGCACAAGGTCAAGAGTGAATACATGCTTTACACACTACCAAATAGCCTTATTCTCACAAAAATCACAGGCATTGCAGGCAACTATGCTGGTTTCTGGAAAAGGAGGTCCTGGATCACCTTTACTTTCTATTGGTTTATTCTCTTTTTTTTATTATTTTAACACAACCCACCGTCTAAATCTGCCAAGGTTTGTAACACCACTTTAACCCTACCAACCTGGCACTTTCACCCGGCAAAACCCGACACCATTTTTCCCCCACCCAGCAAAACCTGCTGCATGAACAATGTCCACAACAGCTGGTGACTGGGAGTGAAAAAGGACTGAGTGTCAGACACAGGTGTTAACAGCACCAAAAGCAAAGCGTAAATTTTATGCTGATCACTACTTTTTCTTCTCCACAAGGCTTTTTACCTAATCTTTAGGAGGTGATCCAAGATATTTAAGAATAAAACAGCTCCAGGACCCCTCTACACAGAGTTTGGTCTCAAACAAGTACAACAGAGCGTTACATACCCGTCTCCACTTGGGGCTGCTGCATCTCCTGTTCTGTCACTGGGACAGTTTCTGTGGCTTCACCTGGCATTCTTAGCTACAACAAAAAAAGATCAAATATTACAAAACTTGCCTTTCATCACAACAGCAAAACGACTTGCAGTAACCTACTTACTTGAGTACAGTAACTCTGAAGCACTTTATACTTTTCACTGCTCACAAGTTTGCCTAGCTATCTTACATCAACGGTGCTATAAAGCAAGCTTAATCAAGCTGTGGGTGGAAACATAAGGCCATGTGACAGTTACTGTGATACTACTTTATGGGTGGCAGACACAGTTTGAGCTACATTAGCATCTTGGCTCCAGAGTAAAACTAAAGAAGCCAACTTCGGACACCCAATTCGAGTTAAAGGACAAATTGTGTCAACTTGATTTTTTGACAAATCATTCCTGGAACAGTTATTTTCAATCTGATCACTAATTATGTTGTAACATAGATAAAGATCAGCTTGAAAAGACAAGACTGAAAACATACATTTTCAAAGCTAGGGCAGCTCAAGTCATTACATCGCATGAAAACACTAACATTAGCTACTAGACACATGCCTGAACTGCTCACAAGCTAACTAATAATGGGCGTTAGCCGTAACAGCCAAGTCATGTTTAGCTATTCAGGCCGTTTTAAGTCCGTTAGTTTATGCTACTCAGGGATTTAACAAACGGTAAACACGCGTTTTCTGTGGACAGCAGAGTTAGATAACGTTAGAGGATTAAGAAGAAGACTTTTAAGAGATCAAAACTTCAACGTGTTGGTCATGAGCAGGTAGCCACATAGCTAACCCAGCTAGGTTAACTTTCACGTTTACAGCTTAACCAACGCAGCTACGGAGTTCCTGTGCAGAACCGAGCCGTTACACATTGGCTACCACAGCTTAGTTCACCAACATGGCTTGATAAGGTTAACGGACACTCAGATATGCAGCTTACAAAACCCCCCGTCACGCTTTATAAAAGCTGCGGGGGGAAATAAATAAGAAATCGCCGACCGACAGCGAGCCAGGCAGGAGGCGCTGCCACAGCTCCCCCATTTTGGAGCGCCTGCCGGCTACATTTCAACTGAAATAATTTCTATTCTGAACGGCGATTCTTGCCAATATTTACCACTTATTACAGAAGACCTTTAAGGCAACAACGCCCGCTGAGTTTGACCAAGCAAACACATCTAGAAACGTTGGATGTTACACGATTGAACGCAGAAACACTTACTAGGTCTGGGCTCGGGGTCCAAGATGGCTGTGAGAGAGAGATTTTGACCTTTGCGTCACTTCGACATCAGCATCGCTCTTCCTGTTCGCCGCTACGCCGACAGGAAGGAGCTGCTGGGTTTGCGGAGGTCTGTGATAAACGCGCAAGAAGGTAGTTTAGCTCCTCGAGTCGGGTGGGTTTTTGTATTTTGTTTAGCCGTTTCATTTATAGCCGTAGGTTTACACACTAAAACCACTTCACGACACAGCTTGTCTGCCAGTCTGCGATTAGTAGAGCTCAGCTAGCTACATTAGCTAACCTACATTAGCTAGCTAGTGCTAACGAAAACATCACCACACCGCGCTGATTGTTTAGACTGGCGGTCTCGCTCGGATTTTATCTATTTTGACAAAGATTACAAACGTTGTTAACACATTTTCAGGAGGTAAAATGTGCAAATATATGTTGGCTAATTTATGAGGCCGAAATTAGCCAGCTAGCTGCTTATTTGAACTGTCCGTTCCACCTTAAATGGTGCAGCAGTTTGAATGTAACTGCTGAAGTTTTTAAGGTGGAACTACGGCGCCTCGGAGGGGACGGAGGTAAAATAACATATATGTATGTATATATATAATTCGAGCGAACGTAATTCGTGGTCACGATTTCTTAAATCGTTCTCTCATTTTCTTTTAATCGTGGTCATGTTTTGTTTTTAACTGAACACATGTTGTTTGTGTTTTGATAACAGCTCCCTGAGACTGTCTGACGGGTTTTGACGTGTTAGATTGATGAGATAATGAACAGAGATGCTCATCAGGTCTGATTTTGATTTGGGGGGTTATGAGGAAACTGCAGCTCCTCTTCACAGCAAACAGCCCACGGTGTTTCTGCTCCCGGTCAAGCTGCGGTGTTAGAGACCATCACACAATTACAGGACGAAATGATCAGCGTTTCAACATCCTCACATTAATATATCTACATCTAATCCATAGATCTATTAAACTCGCCATTCGACCTCATCCCACATTAATGTTTCTGTGTGTGTTTAATTTGAGTTTGTTGAAACGTTGACGCTGATCTTTTCTTCCTGTAATTGTTTGATGATCTCTAACACCGCAGCTTGTCGCGGGAGCAGAAACAGCGCTAAGTGTATATATCTCTGTAAAATGTGATCATTAGAAAGTACAGTTTAGTGAAGATTGTGGTTGTAGTTTGTTGTCTTCCTTCATTTCACCACCAAACTGCAGCTGCACTGATGAATCTGTGGGCCAGTCGCTGTGAAGAGAAGCTGCAGTTTCCTCATAACACCCCAAATCAAAATCAGACCTGATGAACATCTCTATCCATTATCTCTTCAATCTAACACATGAAAACCTGTCAGAAAGTCTCAGGGAGCTGTTAGTTACTCCTGCACAGGACAAATAACACAACCTGTATCTACTACATTGATTTCGTGCACAAATCAAATATAAACAACATGCGTTCAGTTAAAAATAAAACATGACAACAATTAAAAGAAAACGACAGAACGAATTAGAAAATAGTGATCACGAATAAAGAAAACGTGCAGAGTTCACTCGAATTAATTCTTTTTTTTTACTTCCGTCCCCTCCGGGGCTCCGTATGGAACAGATATTTCGAAGAAGAAGCCAACTTCAGTTTCGCACCTTATACCAGCTGTATTGAGACGTTGTCTATGTTATTTTTGTTCCCGCAGAATCATGTCTATGTCCCATTTGTATGGGCGTAGAGGAGACGAGGAGGATGAAGATGGAGTCGAGATCGAGAAGTTCGAGGTGTCTGAATGGGATTTGGCCAATGAGTTTAACCCAGAGAGACGACGTCACAGACAGACCAAAGAGGAGGCTACTTACGGCATATGGGCCGAGCATGACTCTGATGATGAGAGGCCCAGCTTTGGAGGCAAGAGGTATCTAATCTGGTCTGCAACTCAGCATTGGCTTTGTTAGTGTCTGCTCTGTCAGGAGAAGCTAGTACATGCGCTTACAAACTGAACAGTCAACACATCAGAGATAATAAATACGTATCGCTGCTGTTGGAAGAAAACCTTGCTGTCGGAAGAAAACCTGTTGCCCTTACATTGTATGTAAATTTCATGATGAATGGACTAAGAGTAATGACCCGAAATGACGTGGAAAAAAAAAGTCTGGTTGCATTTACTTACATCAAAAGTAAAGTAGGTTTTTTCCTTCTCCTGTAAAGTTGTCATTTTGGAGATACGAGGTTTTCTTCCGACAACAGTGATATCTTATTCATTTCTATTAGATTAAACCACCAGTTCTCACATTTCTATGTAGGTATAATTGGAGTGATTAACAGGCTAAGATTGTGAGCATTGTCATAGTCTGCCCCTACTTACGTGTTATTACTGGGAGGATGCTAAGTTGTATGTGTAAAAACTTTACAGATCAAAAGACTACACAGCGCCTGTGAACTTTGTGAGTGGTGGCCTGCAGAAGAATGCAGCCAAGGAGAAAGAGCAGGGGGGCTCTGATGACTCGGAAGAGGGTGAAGAAGCGCCTCCGCCACCCCGCGCTTCTGCACCCAGAAAGCTTCAGACGGTACTGAGCAATACAAAGACACACTTCTGTGCTGTTTGCCTTTTCGTTGTGGATGTTTAAGCTTTCACAACCAATTTCACTGAACATAATTAGAAATGTGTAGCCATGTGTTTATCATTGTTATGTATGCTTTATGTAATGTTCGTATCTAGTGTGTAGAACTAACATTGATGCTTTTTTTTGGGAGGTACTTATTACATACGTGCCAGCAGTCATTTCAGTGAATATGTTTGGTTGAGTGAATACTAAATTGAGTGTTGCACACAATATTGCTGAATTAGACTTCAGCCATTTGTCTTGACAAAAAAGATTTTCATTGACGTGCAAAGATGGCTGTTAGATGCCTCAGTGTTGTTACATTACTAATCGAACTAGCAGTTTTGAGTAAAATTCTCACATTGTCTCCTTTCAAGGCTTGTGGTTGCAGCTTAATCCGCATGTCTGATTTAAATAGTCAAACATTATGGATTATTAAGTGTGTTTTGTGTAACTGTGCATGTGGTTTACACTCTACAGGGTGGGAACTTTAAGACTTCTCAAAAGACGTTTGCGGGAAATATCCGGCCGGGCCAGGACATCGGTACCTGGGAGAAACACACAAGAGGGATTGGTCAGAAGCTTCTGCAGAAGATGGGCTACATTCCGGGCAAAGGCCTCGGCAAAAACGCGCAGGGTAGAGTATCTCTCTGTCTTAGTACAGGTTAATCTAGGGTTTACTGAATGTGTCCTGATGTGTGGATGTCTTTGCAGGTATTGTAAACCCAATTGAGGCTAAAGTGCGGAAGGGCAAAGGAGCTGTGGGGGCGTATGGCAATGAGAGGACTCAGCAGTCCCTGCAGGACTTCCCTGTTGTAGACTCAGAGGAGGAAGAGGAACAGGTGAGATCTGAGATGTTCTGAGACTCTTATTTGCTCTCTTGAGTAGAAACCCTCTTCCTATCCTTGAGGGTGTTTTCATGCTAAAGCTTTTTTCTGGACCCGTGGCTGTTTGCACAGAGAGTTCGGTAAGAGCCAGGGTGCGGTAAAGAGAACCAATCTCTGGTCCATTTGAAAATGGTAGTCTTGAGTTCGCTTTCAATAAACACTGGTGCAGTTCACATCATATGTGAAAGCTATCTGCCCCCAGTGTTGACCATCCAATAACATGCCTGGTTCATCATGTCACAAGTGCTGTTCTTAAGTTTTTCTTCTGCTTTGTTCTTATAAAGTAATCCCAATAATTGTTTAGTATGTGCACAATATCCCAATTAATTTCAGTTTTGTTTTATTACATGTAGAGTGCTGAGGGCATTGCACAAAAAGCACATCTCTTCTGTAGCAATAAAGGTTTGCAGATGCTCTTGCATGATGATAAATTGCAGTTTGAACTTTGGCACACAAAGGAACATTTAAAAAAACAATGAACAAATTAACTTATTATCTATGAATTCACAAAATCTGTGCACACAAATATGATACATTATATTGCGCAGTCTATCCACAGTTTGGAAAGGTGAAAATTGAAGGGTGATCAGCCCATCACTCAAATGAGCACTAAAGTATTCAGGCCAAGTGTAAAAGCACACTGACACTCTCTACACTGAAGTCAAATGCATCTCTTTAAATTTTGCTCAGGATCAGAGATGAACTTTTGCATTCTTTCTCTATCTTTGTCAACAGGAGTTTCAGCGGGAATTGGGTCAATGGCGTAGAGAGCCTGGAGCAGGAAAGAAAAAGCCAAAATATTCCTACAAAACTGTGGAGGAGCTAAAGGCTCATGGGAAACTTACCAACAAGGGCATGAGTAAACCAGCTGGAGAACTTGCTCAGGTCAAGGTGAGACAGCAGAAGACTTACAGTCAGCACAAAATTGGCAAAATTGACCTATCAGTGCTCTGCCCGCAAAACCGTTATTTTGTATGTTAATACTGGTACCAAATTATCCACTGGCCTTTTCACTTTCCCTCAAGCTTTGCCGTTCTTGTCTGTATTAACTATTCTAAGGAGTGTTAAAGCTTTTTCCTATCAATATTTTATACCAATATTTCTGTGTCAGCAAGTTCAGAAAAATCATTAATGTCTTCTTTGAAAGAATTAGTCTCTTAAATATTTGATATTCTCTCTCTCTCTCTCTCTCTCTCTCTCTCTCTCTCTCTCTCCTCTAGGTGATAGATATGACAGGCAGGGAGCAGAAGGTGTACTACAGCTACAGCCAGATGAGTCAGAAGCACAGCGTTCCTGAGGAGGCTCCATTGAGTGCGAGTGTACGAGAGCAGAAGAGCACAGTTTTTGCTTTGCCTGAACTCGAACACAACCTCAAACTGCTCATTGAGCTCACAGAGCAGGACATTTTGCAGGTACGTGCCTCATATATTCCCCCCAAAGTAAATAGATTTTCTTAAGGCTGGAACTCGAAAACAACTCATAACTTACCATAATCATTACAGGTGTAAATCCTTATATGTTGATTCTTTTGGAAATAATTCAGTGCATCATGAAATCTTGAATCTCCATAGTTCGGTTCAGTGGTTGATTTGAAATTTTGGTATGATCCAGAATTATTTCTAATTACACACTCCATGCACAATTGGACTGGAGGAACTGTTCATACTGTGGGGTTGCGTAGTGATCACCCTGGTGGAGAATCCAAAAAACAGTTTTCTACTAAACATAAACCATACTATATAATTTTCACTTGAAAATCAAACAAAACATGACCAGGGCACCCAAATCTTTGCATTTGACTGTATATCTCATGCTGAAAGGCTCATTGCTGTGTAGTGATTACAAGCACTTTACCCTGGTAAACAATAGTCTGATTCCCATTGTCTTTATCCTAGTGAAGCACAGATAGTCACATTAGATTCTGAGATCTGTGGTGGTTTCAGCCAAAGACTGCATATTTTCATCAGTCCAGATTTGTTTCGGTGTGCAGTGTCTATAACCCTGTGAGCTGAGTGTGTCTAGGCCTGAGATTTACTGAAGTGCAACTAAACCTGTACTGCAGTCTCACACCTCAGAGTGCAGCTTCTGCTACAAACTCTTGGCATCAAGCTGCTAACACAATACTTTTCACTGGAAGACTTCAGTGTTCTGTGTGTTTTTATTTTTTATTTTTTTTTTTTTGGAATAATATAAATATATAATAATATGATAATAAAAGCAATACACTGAGCATTTGTGGATTTATGCATTTGAAAATAGCAAGAGAATTTTTTGCTGGCCAAACGATGACTACATACATTATTTAACATGATTATAATCAACTATAATTGATTAGAGCATTCCAGTTTCGATAAAGTGGAATTATTACCTTTAGAACTATGCAATCAGTGCTTTATTACACCTCCACTACTCAAGATCTAATCACAGAAACCTCTTACAAATTCCTCAAGATGTGTTACCTTTATATATAATGTTGCCTTTCGATGCAGTTGAAGTTAAAATATTTATTTTATATGGGTTAGGGATTCATCAATCATGAATTTTTTTATGGCCAGTTGTGATTTCTTTACAGCCAAATTGGATGATTTTTACTTGCCTTTTTAGTTTGTGCTGTGGGGGGTAAATCAACATGTAAAACACGCTAGCACATTTCTAGTACTTTTCAAACTTACAAACTACATTATTTGCTTTGTAATTAAGCAATAGGACACAAGAGGGAGTGTGTTATCGCAAAATAACATCACGGCTGTGATTTGGTCGCAGGCACGAGCTGAAGGCGATGATGTTATTCGCAATAACACACAACCTCGAGTGTTCTATTGCTACAACAGTTAAATAAAGTAAAAAATAAATAAACTGGGTCGTGAACGCGGCGTTTAATGTTTTAATGTTAGCAGTTCCTTCTGCCAAATAATAGTTCCTTAACAAGCAGCTTGTTGCTACGTCAGAATAACGAACTCCGCTAACTCACATTCTGCTGTAATCCTCGCCTTTTGAAGTACGGACTGAGCCATAAAACTTCCACTATATCAAGTTTAGCTCAGTGTTGTCTTTTTTGCTAAACCAGTATTAATGTTGTTTTGTTCCAGCCAGTCTGTAAAGCATCTTACAGCCCATTTTGTTTGGCGAATGGTATCCGGTTCATTTCTGGCTGATTCCAGGTTGTTTAGCTGTTCTTCTGTCACAGCTGCTGACTGAAAAGCTGCTCAGTGGTGATGACAGTTTAGGAGTTTAGTGTAGTTTCATCTTCAGAGTCTGAAGACAGTGGTTATACCTCAGTTCTACACAATTCTATGCAGTTCCACACCAGTCATATCACCAAACGCACTAGCTGCATTTCAGCTCCAGTTCAACCAACATGAGCACTTAACGTCAGCTCAGCAACTCAGAAACTGAGTCCAAGTAAAAATGAACTTGCAGCAAAGAAAAGATGCCAGGTGTCTAGTTCAGGCAAATAAGTGGGTTTAAAAGACAGAGCTCCTAGGAACATTTACATTTTTTAATATTTCAAGTATTCATATAATATTTCAAGGTCTACTATAAGTGCCTATATTTTACTGGTGAAGTTTTTCCATATTTTAAATAAACAGTGGCCAGTTCTAGTAATAGCACAACATTAATTAAAAATGAAATAACATTTTTTATTCTGTGGCCCACAGATTTGTTGTGATTTTTTTAATACAGCCCCCTTAGTGATGGAGCATTCCTAAGATGTGCTGACCTAATATTCTCTCGTTGACCCTGAGTGGCATCTCTCTCTGTGTTACCGTGTATGTGTCTGTAGAGTGCTCGGCGTCTGCAGCATGAGCGGGACACAGTAGTGTCTCTGACGCATGAGAGCTCCGCCCTGCAGACGAGGCTGAGCGAGGAGGCGGAGGCTGTGGAGAGGCTAGAGCGGGTGCTGGAGCTGGTGGAGCGGCTGGAGACAGCTGGAGAGGGGGGTGGACCCCCGCTCAGCCTCCAGGAGTGCGCGGAGGCCTTTCAGCAACTGCAGACAAGCTTCTACCAGGAATACAAGAGCATGGGGCTCGCCGACCTCGCTGTGTCTGTAGTGCATCCACTGCTGACCGAAAAGCTCAAAAGCTGGGATCCTCTGAAGGTAAAAATGCATGCAGAACATTTGTTACTGTAGACAACATTTCCACATGTCATTCATATGTAATTCTTATTTAATATGTTTCTCTGTAGGACTGTTCATATGGTTTAGAAGAAGTGGGTCAGTGGAGGGCCATTCTAGAGGGCACGCAACTTCAACATGCCGCTCTTGACACTAGCAGTATGGATCCCTACCACAGGTAAACCTTATTTAAATTATTTTCTGTTTCATTTTGAGGATACATTAAAGGTCCTGTATTGTACATTTTTATATCCCTTAGAACTAAACTTTTAGAACTAAACTAAAATTTTAGTTACTGTGCCTTTAAAGACCTGTTCAGATTTGCTGACTCCTTCACAAATGAGCTGCAAGTTTGAAATGTACAGAGCAAAGTGTTATGTTTAAAATCCTCAGGGCAAGCTCCCGAGTGGCGCAACCGTCAAGCGTTGGCCCTATCATCAGGAGATCGCGAGTTCAATCCCTGGTGATGCTACAGCCATCCGTAGCCGGGAGTCCAAGAGAGCACAATTGGCCTTGCTCTCTCTGGGTGGGTGGGATGGCCCCTCCTTCTCCCCCCATCACTCAGCGTGATGCTAGTCAGCGCAGGCGTCTGTTAGCTGACGTAACAGATCTGGCGGTTGGCGCTTTCCTCTGAGCGCTTTCAGCTGTCCAGTGACGTTGCATGAGCGGCAGCTCGAAAAGAAGCGGTGGTGCTTCACAGGTCTCGGAGGAAGCCTGTGTTAGCCTTCGCCCTCCTAGCGTTGATGGCATCGTGTGTGATTAGGGGAGTCCTAACTAGCGGGTGGAATTGAAGACGACTAAATTGGGGAGAAAATCGGGTAAAAATTCACACGTTTTTGGATGTTTGGATCCTTTGAAAAGCTACAGTGACACATTTGCTGTTTGCTTACTGTCAGACAAGAACAGCACACTGTAAATGCTGAAACTGTCTTTGCTCAGATAACGGTTACAGTTATTACAGGTATTACAGGGACTGTCTGCCCCTAAAACACTCATCAGCTGAATAGGTGTCGTGTAGATGTTTTCATGGCTGTGATAACACAACCATGGCGAATTCAAGTATTTGGTTTTCCATGTGTCCCATTTTGTGGCTGCTTTAAATGTTGTATTCGAATGTTTGCCAGGGGTAATTTGGATGTGATTTAATAGAGATTTCATTGTGTGCAGATTGATATGGGAGGTATGGGTTCCAGTGCTGAGGGGCTGCGTGGCTCAATGGCAGCCCAGGAACGTGGGGCCGATGGTGGACTGTGTGGACTGCTGGGCTCCTGTGCTGCCTCTCTGGATCCTGGACTACGTGCTGGAGCAGCTCATCTTCCCACGGCTACAGAAAGAGGTCACTTTTCGTGTTATAAAAACAGAATCATACAGATGCACAAATCCATAATACATTGTCACTTTTCTCCCTTAAAGTAGACTGTAGACATCCACAGTGAGGGGGAAAGAGTATTCAGACGTTTTTGTTCATGTTATTTAATACACTTTCATTGCATAAATCCCCTTTAAATTTACGCACATAGTGGCTCTTTTTCATCAAAGCTGCATAAAAAGAGCACAGATTTGACCGCCTTTAGTGACATACGGACTACTCTGCGTCTATTTTCTGAAACTTTTGTATGGTGTGGAAAGGAGTGGAAATTTGAGCACAAATGATGAATCAGCTTAACTGCCTAAAATCAAGTGCTGGCCAACCAGAACTTCATTTACAGATGATTAACATGAAGCATGCTGTAATTCATGCAGATAGTTAGGTAGGAAGCCAATAAAATTAAAGCATTCACTGGCCCTTGAGCCAATGGCAGGGCTCGTAGGCAGGGCTCGTAGGTTGCTCCCCCTACTGACCTAACTTTATAGTGTTAACATCACAAACACTGGAAAGAATAAAATGTGAAATAAACAAAATGTCTTTGCTTTAGATTATTACAACAATTAAGTACAATTATTATGAAGTGTGATTATTTCCCTAAAATAACATTAAATGTTGTGTATGGGATGCTTCTGCACTAGATGTATTTATGTTTTTTGGGCAGTGTTAATATTAAGCAAAGGCACACTACAACATTAACTTTAACACTAACATTAATGATCTTTAATCGGAACATGGAATAGTTGCAGCATTTGTTTACAGCAATGTGTAATGTGCACAAATTATTAGTATTACTTTTATTTTCTATTTTTATTTGTCTCATCAATATTATAGATTATATTGATAATTGTTTTGGTTAGTTATCCCCAGCTCAAACTTTTTTCAAGCTGTTAAATATTTATTCAAGCACCTTTACTAGAAGTGAGTTCATACAGATATGCCAAAGATGAAATTGATGAATAAGAAACTTCTGTGAAATTTGCGTTTGTGCATTCACAAGCATAAACAAATTCAGGTTAAATTATAAAATTGGTAGCGTGAAAAAAGGATTCAGACATACAGAAGTACTGTGTTGTAAACCTGTTGGCAGTTATAGCTTAGAGAAGTCTGTGATATGTTATTAGCTTTTTTGCAGCATTGTGGTTCAGTTTTGGCCTATTCCTCATGAAAAACTGCCTTCAATTCTTCAAACATATGAGGGCCCTTTTGTTGTACTTGCAGTTTCAAAATCTCCATAAACTTTCAATGTGATTCAACCCAAAAGATTGGCTGCTACGTTTTTTTTAGAAACCAGTCTTGTGCTATTTTGGCTGTATGTTTGGTGTAGCTGTCTTGTTTAAAAGTACATCTTCTCCTCTTTCTTGGCCATAGAGATTAAATTTTCCTCTAATATGTACCGGTAAATCGTTCCATTCACGTTTTCTTTGATGATGTGTAATGCCACAGTACTGTTTGCAGAGAAGCCGCCTTGCATCACGATACTCCCACCTTGGTACTTGTAGGTATGATGTTGTTAAGATTCTCTGGGCAACCTTCAGTCTCCAAAGATGACGAGCTGAATTCATCTGAGTACCTTGTTCTAGAATAGTTTAGCACGGCGTGTAGGAGTAAAGATGATTGCTGTGCTCTTAATTTCTTGCTGTTTTGTGTGTAATTGTTGTGTTTGAACACCCTCACTGTGTTTAACCTACCTTCGTCTCATTCCTCAGGTGGATAATTGGAACCCACTGACAGACACAGTGCCCATCCACTCCTGGATCCACCCGTGGCTGCCACTTATGCAGGCGCGCCTGGAGCCACTGTACCCGCCTATCCGCAGTAAACTGGCCCATGCACTACAGCGCTGGCACCCCAGTGATGCCTCTGCCAGGCTCATCTTGCAGCCCTGGAAAGATGTCTTCACTCCGGGAGCCTGGGAGGCTTTCATGGTCAAAAACATTGTCCCTAAGCTAGGTGTGTGTGTGTGTGTGTGTGTGTCTACCTATAAAGCTCAGTGCATTGTATCTACTAAATTGGATCCTTTGCTGTTGCTTTTTTTTCTGCTAGATTCTAATGTCTGTATATGTTTTAGCTCTGTGTCTTGGGGAGCTGGTGGTGAACCCACATCAGCAGCTGGTTGAACCATTCACTTGGGTGATGGACTGGGAGGGCATGCTGTCTCTTTCAACCATGGTGGGATTACTTGACAAGCACTTCTTCAACAAATGGCTACAGGTGGGTATGGCTACAGGCTTGTATGTTTTTATCAGCAGGTGAAGGTGTATTAGGCGCATTTCTGTTACAGCGATTTTGTGCACAAAAGGTTTGAAATGTTTTGACAGTGTAGGTGACAGTAAATGGGAAATATCCATAATATTGACATGTTTCCTTTTGCAAATACATTATTTGTAGATGCCTAAATTACTGTAACAAGAAACTGGAAATGTTTTGACACAATGCAATGGCGTATTCCTGTCACAGGTATTAAATAATCAAGACCACAATTATTTGAGTTGACTTCAGCTGTTGTTAGCTTTCAGAATCATGTTTTATGTTTACAAACAGAATATGAATTGGGTGCATTTTTATCAGTTGGGCTAGGAAAACACATCTGTTAAGACACTTAACAGGTCTTTTGAAAACAACAAAAGTTTTATTTATTTATATGGCACGGTCAGCTAAAATGTCATGATTGTGACAGGCCTACAATCGCATTTTATTTAGCTTGAACTATTGGCGTCATTATCAACAGTAGACTGTTTCATGCTATTGTTATATTCTCCTTTCTGATTGTGTATTATGTTGCAGGTGTTGTGTTCCTGGCTGAGTAACAGTCCTAACTATGAGGAGATCACTAAGTGGTATTTGGGCTGGAAGAGCATGCTTTCAGAGGCACTGATCAGTCACCCAGTCATTAAGGAGAAGCTCAACGAGGCTCTCGACATCATGAACAGAGCTGTGGCCTCTGGGCTTGGTAAGTCAAATAGACACACACACATAAAATGCCATGTAATGTTCAAAAATCACTTAATCACATAAATACTATCTACCCTACAAAGCAAAGAAATACAGAGGCAAACAGTTTTTGATGATATATTGGTTTGCTGTGATTTTATCACGGAAAGGCACAACGCAAAGCGAGGTATAAAATACACACAAAGAACAATGCGAAGCGGATTAAATACACACTTTTACAGAAAATAATAAATGATTAATTATTAACTTAAGTTATTATTAATAATAATAATAATAATCAACATGAACAAGTATTCCGCCAAGAAATGTAGTTCCTTTAGACTATGGTATCGTTGCTTAGCAACCACAGACCACTAAACGAGGAGAAGAACATTTGGTCGCCCGTTGCTGTATATTGCGGTCATTCCATGATATATACATATTTTTTTTTCTTTCAACTTTTTGTCATATGTTCATTGTTCTATGATAACAGCACTTTTTGGTCACCAAATTACCACCGCTGATTTCTCTCTGCCCCACAGGAGGCTACATGCAGCCTGGCGCGAGGGAGAACATTGCGTATTTGACCCAGACAGAGAGGAGGAAGGACTTCCAGTACGAGGTTCCAGCACAGCAGCAAGAGCGGCGTGAGGTGGAGAGCAATGTCCCACGACCTCCAGGCACCGCCCCTGTCCCCACATCAATACCTACCAACTTTAAAGACTTGATCCAGGCCAAGGCGGAGGAGAACGGCATCGTCTTCATGCCTCTAGTGGGCAAACGGCACATGGGCAAGCAGCTGTACACATTCGGCAGGATTATGATCTACATCGAGCGGGGAGTTGTTTTCGTCCAGGGCAAAAAGACCTGGGTTCCTACGTCTCTACAGAGTCTCATTGATATGGCCAAGTAAGAGACTAACAGAAGGGGGAAAGATCTCAACCTGTTCTCAGTTGAGTCTGTCAGTTTGGTGGATTTGTTATTCTGTGACTGTATAGTATGTTGTATTATACATTTGTAAAACTTTCAGTCCTTGAGTGAGAAATAAACATATTTTTTTGGAAATTAATCATGGATTGACTATGCATGCAACTGTATCCCAGAGTATACTGGAATTCCACAATATACAATTCCAATTGCAGAACAACCTTTTTTATTAACAATATTAAACATGAAAGTTCAAAGTAAATATACAGTGCTTCTGTCAACTGGTACAAAAAGTAAGTCTTCCAGGCCTCAAGAATTACAATATGTAATGTACAAAATCTGATGAGAGTTTTAAGATATAAGAAATTAAGTAATGTATCTCTTTGAAAAAACTTGCCCACCCTTCTCTGGTCCTTCTAAAGCTTGCCTCTCAACTTTAAAACATCTGCAATGGAAACATCACTTAAGTCTGACAAATCCAGTCACTGCTAAATCGCACAGGCGGGGAAAACAGTTAGGATCAAACAGAACACAGGAGAGTGATCTAGAGCCGACAATCCAAAATCCTCCTTTATTCCTCTTCTGCTGATTTGACATTGCTATGATGGTCATGAGGCGTCACTGATGAGTTAAAACTCTTTCTGGAGATCTGCAAAAAAGAGAGAGAATACAGAAGGCTTGGTCAGGTCATAAAGCTCCTGAATGCTATGACCCATGAAACTTGAGTCAAAGGTATATTTGAGAGACTGATTCTGAACATACCACTTTTTTTCAGCATCTCTCCTTTCCTAGAGCGAGCCATCGCATCCAGAAACTGATCAAACAGCTTTATGTACTTGGCAAGACTAGTACGCTTGTAGTCTGTGGAGAAAAGAGTAGGTATATAGACGACTACAGTAAAGAGAGATGGACCACTGCAAAAACAGAATATAAAGCTTGCCATGTAAACTACAGATAATACGGCTGAATGTTTAAGCCCTGAATGTTTGAACGATTCTTTGTGTAAATGCAAAGTCACCGAATGTGCTCACCTCGGATTTTACGCCGTTCGCTAGCTTCCGTTTCGTTCTCTTTATCCTTTGTATCATCCTCCTCTTCCTCCCCAGTTCTGGGCTTGTCCAGCTCTTCACATATAAGGCTGTAGACATTGAGAGAGGGTAATCTGACTGACAGAGGTTTCTTTTCACTGAAGCTCACATGTCCATTCTTATTTCTGCTTTACTAACTTTGAACACTAATAGAAAACAGAAATTTGAATTGTTCTATGGAAATACTATTGTTTTAGCTAGTTTTTGTCCGGTTACAGCTAACAGTATGGCGTACAATACCGGAAAGTCCATTTAAGATTAACAAGTATAAAGCGAGTGTGTGATGAATTAAGTGTGAAGTTTGCACAAAACTACTTGTTTGGGTATAATCTTTCTTTACTACATTATCCTCATAGCATTAAAAGTAGTGAAAAGCTACAGAAGCAAACTTCTGCTTACATCAATATGTTTTGTTTACTCATGAAATAATTTTGCATAATAATGTAATTCATTTTCTTTAGATTTTAATATCCCAAAATAAGTAATAAGTATTTCTAAAGTTTTTATTTATACATCACGGTCAACAAAATTTTGAAAATGAGCAGAAGATTAGTACTTTGTTTCAGATACAGACACATGATGCTTACCTTATTGTAGGCACCTCGAAAGGGTCAAATTTGTCCAGATTTCTTAGGTCAATTGGTACAGAAATTCGACCTGGAGACAGATTCACACAGATAAATACAACATAAGTGCAGCTGAAGTTCTAAATATCCGATCCGTATCTGATCTAGGACCACATATGAAAGGGGATCAGGTTGGAAAAGATCAGATTTGTGTGTCCACACAGCTCTGAAAACATAACATCTGAGTCACATTAGGGCAAAAAATCTGATTTGTGCCACTTCAACCTGGTAATGTGAACGTAGCCTTTCATATGTGGTCCTAGATCGGATACGTATCCAATTCGTGGCCATGCAACCTTGATGTGAATGCTCAGATCGAAATTCATGTGCTTTTTTTTTCTACTGTTCCTCTCCAAACAAGACCGTTTCCTCACCCGTTTTAGGATGGACACTAAACGGACTCTTCAGTAAATGGTTGACTCCTTTGCTGACGTTGACATCCAAGCGTGGGTAACAGTACTGCAGCATGATCTCCTTATCAAAGTACTGACCGCCCTTCTTACTGGTGGCCTGTACCATAAGAACCAGACATACAAGGCTATATAATCTTCTTTGCAAACAATCAAATTAGATTTTGAGATTTTCCTCAATTTAATCAAGTAAAAGAAGAGCACTTAGGAAAGTTTTCCCCTGAATTTACCCTTTTCTGATGCACCATAGCCTTCAGTTTGTCCCAGCGCTTTGATGGGTTCTTCTCAGTCTGATAAAGATTAAGCAGGTCCTTCCTGATATGTACATCCAGAGTTAAAGAACAGCACAACAAACAGATTTGCTCGCTTTATGCGACTATTCTGAGAGAATTAGAAAAATCAGTGTATGTAACAACTTCAACATGGAGTGGTTTTATACTATACTGCATGTTAGTAGAGTTATACTTCAGACAGAGTTGAAAAAGCATGCAGACTGTGACAAAGGATATCTTCTGGAAGCAGGCTGAGCACCTTGTCCACACTCTCCTTACTGCTCAGCAGGTCCTGTCCCACAATAGCATACTGAGGGAAGTAGTGCTCCACCACAGAGAGAGACTGGCTGTGAAACAGAGAGCAACATTTCAATTTAAAAGCCAGGATCACTAATTAGTGCTGAACCCAAAAGCTATTTTTTTCAGTACGCAAACATCTACACACTTTTTTCTGCTCCATGCACTTGTTTCTATCAGAAAATGAGTAAAACGCGAAACATAAGTGGGCAAAAAAAAGTCATAAAACCAGTTCCAGTTCTACAATCTGATTGGTTGAGTCACATTCAAAGCCAATGTAAAATCTTGCATTTGATCACACGTCTGTTGAATACTGTATTAATTAAGTCGTTAATCACAATTGTGTTATATGTGGAATGATTCTGAACCATTATTTTGCTTGGCAACCATAGCCTACAGTTAAACTACATTGCTTGGTGCAAGAAGTGTTTGATGCAATTATTATTAATAATGTTTATTGGAATTATTTATTTAAAATCGTTTGCTTTGTGTCTAAGAACACACCTTTCATGCTGCCAAGTGAAATCTGAATGTAATCCGATCAAAACATTGTTTTGATCCGATCATCAAAACAACACTGATGCAAGGTGTAAATAAGCCTTGAGTTCAAGCCAATTTGTTAAATAGGAATCGCTCAATTTCTTTATAATTATATGATATACTATTATATATATATGTGCACAGTCATTCACAGTGGTTTGGTGTGAAATGCTCCATTCTAGAGACACTCACAGACTCAAATTGTTCACGGTGGTGATGATAGGAACCAGACGTCTGAAGAGTTTAATGCCTAACATGGTAGAATTAATTATTTAATTATATAATAGTTTAAAGTATAATGCCTCACAGAAAGCAATTACATAGTATCGTTATGAATACACTGCTTGATCTCCAATACAGTGTTTTACGATTGTTTGTGAAGGTTTTGGCCTAAGACGTACATTTTACATATAAAAACTCAGAAGACCCATTAAGTTCTGTTGACTTTTGGAGTCGTTGTAGAGGTTATTGAGAATAAACTAGACGGAGTTGTGCACTTATGAGAAGGTTTGGTTTATTTCAAGTCGTCTTCAGGCAGAGAGGTCACCATTTTGTTCGTTCTCCCAACAGAGTGAGAGCAAACAACAATAATAGAGAGTGTTATTACCTTCAACTGGCCTGAACAACCTTACCCCACTAAGTATAAAGGTTAGGTACCCGTGATAGAGAGGCATAGGAAAGGTACAGAACATTCTAAGATGATCTAAGAGGATTCAGCCCTTAGAGACAGTATGACTATTCTGATAGACACAATATGAACATGAAAATTATAAAATTTACCGCTTTCCAACGTTTCACTTGGCTGTATTAGTGTTATCAATATTGCAATCCCTGGTTCCTATCGTCACCATTGTAAAGGAATCCAAGTTTCTTGACAAAAACATTTCACATCAAAACACTCTGAAATACTTTGTTTAAATCACAACCAAACTGATTGAATTATGCAGAGATTTGGAAAAGTCTGGAATTCCTCTTTTCAACAAAACTGTAAGGAAACAACTCTATTGAAAAGGTTGTGTGGTACTTCACCTGATAAAGGGATGAATTGGGTCTGACAGCACAACTTTCTTCACAGTCTCCTCACCACCCTAAACATACCAAACAAAGCCCATTTGATTTAATGCAGAAAAAAAATAGCAAGAGGAAATATCAGCAAGTAAACATCTACCTGCTTTTCTGTCCCACAATCTTGCTTTTATCAAAAATGAGTCAAATGCAACACATAAGTAAAATGTTGTACTAAAAGCAAGTTTCAAGTTTAGTTGTCATTTGCAAAACATGTCAGGAGCTTCATGCATTGAAATGCTTGTGGTGAGGCACAGATAATCACTCTACAGCACGGCAGCATTATATACATAGAAGTAAAAATACAAAGGAAAATACTAAAACTGAAATGTATTAAATATACACAAAATATACACAAAATACAGAAACAGGAGGGACCTATATAAGAAAAATTCTCTGCTATGTGCAAATATATTAATCTGAGAAAAATATATGTACATTTTAAAGTGACTTCATGTTATTGTCCGTAGCAGCGATATGACATAATAAATAATACTAACAAAGTGACAAAGTGACTGTGTGAAATGTCGTACAACATGTCATAAAATCTCAGTCCTACAACGGAGAGTTCCAGTTCTTAAATATGATTGGTTGAGCCACATTCAAAGTCAATGTAAAATCTTGCATTTGATCATGCATCAGTTCAATACTGTATTAATGAACCAAGTCGTTAATCATAAATGTGCTGTATATGGAATAATGTTGAATAACTATGCTTGGCAACCATAGCCAACTGTTAAACTACATTACTTGTAGCAAGAACCGTTTACTGCAATTATCAATAACAAAGAGCTGTTTATTGCAATTATTCATTGAAAACTGCTTCATGTCTAAGAACTGTGGTAAAATCCATGTAACATACTTGTTTATTTGTTTTATTTATTTCGGTATTTATTATTATTGCTATCTTATGGTAATGATTATAATGGTTATGGCTGATATGGTTCTGAGGTGTACAGGTGACATTCACCTTGACTAAACTGAGGTACTCGGCCACAGCTGAACGAGCAGCCACTGAGAGTTTCCTGGCAGCTTCATCACACACCCAGCAGTGGACGCCTCTCCTCCCTGAGTAGACCCACAGAAGGTGCTGGAAGCCAAAGTCCTCTGGTCCACAAAAACAAAGAAGAAGTATCACGAGGAGTTACTTTTCCACACATTGTGTGGCATCACAGTCAAACTAGTCCAGATCCACTTTACTGATTGTACATAATATAGTGTAGAAATAGAGTCACAGTAGAGTCACTATTGAAAAGCTGCCCAGAAATGGGCTGATTGGGTAACAACAATATGTGTGCAGATTTTGTGTACGCTGTTAATTCCTACCTCTCAGTGCCCGATCTAGAATTCGAATTGCAATGGTCATCAGAGTCCAACATTTAGAGCAAATATCTGCAGCACTGAAAATAAAAAGAGTAAATAACACTGCCGTCATAAGAAAACCCCATATATCTAAAACCATAAAAGGAAAAGAGTGTTCTTAACATTTGTACCTTTAAAAAAGCTGAAAGGTTTCTATTGGTCCTTGTAAACAGATTTTCTTATGTCATTGATTTACACACACCAAGACACACTGTAAATGAAGTCATAAAGTACCTGCAGCAGCTTCTGACATCATCATAGTCAGTCATATCAATATCAAACACCAGTTCCTTCTCCAGGGCCTGGAACGTCCCGGACTTCACTGTGTTGTGCTGACTGGGCTGTCAGGTATAGAAACAGACACAATCAGATACTTAAAGTACAGATTTCTCACATCACTGTTATGCTGACGTTGCAAATAACATTTTAGTTGTAGATAAAGTTGATCTATAACATGCATAAGATAATAGTGGATGACTTTATAAGACTCATCACCCTGTGGCTGTAGACTGCTCCAATGTCGATCTTGTATGGGTTCATCTTTTGCATCTCCTTCTCCAGTTCGTTCTGTGTGCTGAAAGACTGATACCGAACGTAGATGTCATCTTTGAGGGTGAAAGAGAACTCACGGTTCTGGAAGTAGTTCTTGGCCACTGGTGAGGACAACATGTAGAAAGAGCTAGTTAGCAGTGAACGCTTGTAGGTAATGAAACTTAGTGCCTGCCTAGCATGCGACTCAGCAACTCTAATAGGCAGAGCCAGTTTAAGGGGAGCCTGGCCACTTTCTATTTCTACTATTATGTCCGAAACATGACTGCAAAACACTAGATGGCACCCATGAGCGAGTCCTCCATGAATAGGAGTAAATCAAGCTGAATGGCTAAAAAACAAATATTTAACGTTTCTATTTTATCCATTTCTGTAGCACCCTTTTTTAATTTTGTAAAGAAAAGAAAAGAAAAAAAAGAAAGAAAAAAAAAAAGAAAACAGAAATCATTGGCTGAGTGAATCAGATCTCTTTCACTGACATCATGAACGTACGTTCAGAAAGTCCTATAATTTTCGAATCCCTATAATTTGAATTTGAAAGCGGTAAAAAAAAACAGCAGCCTTTACACTTTATGCTATTCTGTGTTCAGAAAATGAGTGTGCTTTTCTATATAAAATGATTAAGCATTTACTATGATTTTCCAGAAAAACTCCACAAAACCCATTCATGTTGCCCTCTAGCGTTTGCAAAAAACAAACAAACAAACAAAAAAAAAAGCAGGAAGATATAACTGAACTACACATTCTCTGGTATAACTATCAAAATGGTTCAAGAGGCTTTGATGACAGACCCATAAATGTGTGAGTAATCGGGCATCAGTGCTGCCAGATTGTTTTTCTGGTGGTGTGTCATGTTTTATAGACTTGAACAGATATAAAAATATTACATCACGATTACTACATAACCCTTTATAACAGTTTACAATATTTTTAAAGAACAATACATTTACATTCATGCACTGTTCTAAATAACATTGTTTGACAGCAATAATGTGCTGATGGTTATGCATCTTGGATATTTCTGTCTGCTGGCTATGACCCAACAATTTTTTGGGCATAAGCATCCTGTTTCAGGTTTCCCCTTGAACCCCCCAAAACTCTACACAGAAAGGACCCTGGCCACCCGGCCGGGAATCGAACCCAGGCCTTGCTGTGAGGCGACAGCGCTACCCACAACGCCACCTCACTAAACAATATGTCAAAACTAGTGCACCATCAACAGAAGTCCATTCATCAGCGCAGTAGCTATGAGTAGTACAGTACTAGAGGTTTCGGATGCAGCTAATTTTCTTTCTAGTCCTTTTACAATAGCATGTCATTTTCACTTCAGGACCTGTTGGGCGGGGCGCCCATTACCTTATATGGTAATGTCGAGAAGCCAATTATGCAAATTAACATGAGAGCGCGCTCATGTAGGAACAGGTGTCCTGGTCTCGGTCAGGCGGGTTATTTATGGCTGTTTTTTGAAGTTATGAGTGTTTTACTGTTGAAACGGATGAACCATCTCACAGAAACTCTAGATAAAAATAAGAGTGGGAAACTGTTCTGATACGAGGCTCACCGCAGTCGTGGGCTGGAGGTTAGGGAACCAGCCTTGTGACCGGAAGGTCGCCGGTTCATCCCCTCAGCTGACAGTACGTGACTTAAGTGCCCTTGAGCAAGGCACCTAATCCCCAACTGCTCCCCGGGCGCCGTGGATAGGGCTGCCCACCGCTCCGGGCAAGTGTGCTCACTGCCCCCTAGTGTGTGTGTTCACTAGTGTGTATATGTACAGTTCAGTACAGGAGGTTCACGAGGCCACCAACCTGCAGTGTTTTTAGGAGTTCATGATGTAAAGCAGCGTTGAGGCGGAGACTGGATCTGAGTGTGAAGGTAGGAAGCGTTTCAATCTATACGAGGCGTTTAAAGGTGTGTGTTATTTAGAGAACCGTCACTTCTTTGGGGTTTTGATATGAGGAGGTCTGCTGTTCCCTCTGTGTGTGAACAGAAGGGCAAAACGGGACATTTTAATCGGCTAACTTAAAGCTAGCTTACAGGCTTGTGCTGTCGCGGTCTTATTATTTTGTGTTTTTGGACTCGTTTATCTTATCACTCTTTCATTTCTGTGCTTAATCCGGTTTCTGGTGCGGACATGAGAACAGGTTAATGTTGGCAGCTTGGTTGTAAACGCCGTGCTGTATCCTAGCAACTGGATTTTGACGGTTTTTGACTGTTTATATTATAATCTACACGAGAAAAGGCAGGAGAAAACAAGTATCTTAGCTTAGCTTTCCAAAATCCCACAAAAGGCTGGTGTTACACCGCGACAGGACAGCTTTGAGATCTTTGAGATCAAACCTACCAGCTTAATACCATATACAAATAAAAAGTGGTTTTGTGGATGACAGACTATAAATGAAGCTAACCTAGCTAACTAGCAAACCAGAGGAGCAACATCTCCGGTTTTCTTTAGGGGTATACACACACACACACACACACACACACACACACACACACACACACACACACACACACACACACACACACAGGCACTTTCTAAGCCGTTTGTCCTTCTGGGTTGCGGGGCGGTTAGTAGTAAACAGAAGAAGTGGAAGGATAAGAGCCCTTTATGGGATAAAAGCACCCCTGACTCGGTGTCACGTATTATTTCCAGGGATTAACAGTCAGGTTAGCTAGTCAGCTCCTCCACAGTCCTCCTTGAGTAACCAGCAGTTTCCTCGCTGTGTTTCTTTAACTGAAGCTACTCACCGCCGCCGTAGCTCAGCCACCGGTAGTACTGTGAGAAAGGGAAGAGTCGTCGGTAATAGAGGGGCAGCAGGTCTGGTAAACAGGCTGGATCGTAGTCGGAGGTCGGCATTATTCACCGTCTGAAAACACTGTGGCTCCTGTTGATACTGCAGACCCGCGTCCGAACCCAGCGCGGGAAATCTGGGGAAGTGACGAGCGACGCTGCTCGTCGGTTTTTCGCGCTGCTCTTTTCTTTTTTGCTGCTTTACTGCCATCTACAGTCGTGGGTGATACGATAGGATATACAGTACAGCAGCGGCTCTGTCTGGGGTGGAGGGCCACACACGTTTTAACCCGTGTGTGGTGTTTTCAGTGTTTACCAAAATAAAAAATGATGCGATTTATTATGATTTCAGATTCCTTGTCCTTTGCTCATTTTCTGCGAAGAACATATAAAATATCACATTTTCAGTGACGTCACACTGTTCACCCCCCACACATTTATATTACACATGTGGTGTTGGGTGAACCCGCGGGGAGTAAAAGTGGAGGTGCTGTGTCCTTCACTCTGTTCTCCTCCTACATGGCCTGCTGTTAGTGTGTGTGTGTGTGTGTGTGTGTGTGTGTATCTGTGTGTATGTGTGTGTGAGGGTGGACAACATGGACAGGCTGCTGACTGGCTACAGCTGCTAAAGGAGACCCCTACGCTGGCCACTTGTGATATTTTAAACATCTGGCATTTTTACATAAATTGTTATGGCTGCATGAATTAAAAAAAATAAAATAATGCAGTGGGTCCACCAGATCACTGACTAACAACAACATCAACACCGCACAAGGGTTAAATAAACTAAGCAAAATATTAGGTAACAAAATAAAGTGAAATGTGTTGTAACTTAAAATAGTAAAAATTAAGTCAGTCTTTATTTTTCAAAAGATTTTCAGTCTCTTGTAGGGCCCATATCATGGGAAAACAAATTTTGATGCCATATATAAACGTGGTTGATGTTTTAAAACATGCTCACTCTCCAGTCCATACAGTATATATAGGGAAAATAAGCTGCAAAAACTGCCTGTTTGAATTCATTCTTTTTGTAATGTCACCGAAGACAACTAACTTCCACCCATTTAGCCTATAGCAGTTCAGCTCCGCCCATTCACACTGAAGTTATAAGGAGTGTTTCAGCCCCAGCTGCTTTTTGAATGAGGCTCAATACAGGACAGATTATTTATCTCAGCAAGACAGCCTGTTTAATTCTAAGGGATAAAGAGAGTTTTAAAAATAGTTGTTTAAAATGAATTATAACTGTTTTTAGTACATAAATCCACACAACCATCATGAGTGGACTTTGAAAAACATCCAGAATGTAGGAAATGAGCTCTTAAACTACTCATTGTCGGTTGAATTTTGGCTGTCTTTGCTTTGATTCATATATTCATAGATTTTTTTCATAGAATTTACAATATCTTCATGGCCTTTGGAATCCCTCCGTCACTCCTGTGCTCATGCTTTTTCATCTGAGTGCTGATACTTTTTGACTTTAATGTACATTTTTTGATATTACTCTTTTTTTCTTTGTTTATTATGAGAATTGTTCTTATGCATTTACATTAATAACATTTAACAGGCACTCTTATCCACAATGACTTAGCACAGTGCTTTCTTGTCCACTCAGAGAATGTGTCCTTGTTACTACAAATAGGCCCAAACTATCTTTGAGCTAATAGACTCCCAGAAATAAGAAAAGGCCAGTGTAGTATTTAATACGCAAACCCTGCAACTTCTCCACCAGGAATGATTTTGTTCTCAGGCCTAAATAGAACTACCTACACTATCCATAAAGAGCATGCTATTAGACCAGTACTAATATTACTATTTGCGTCTGTGCAACTCTACATTTTATCCACTAGAGGTCATAGTTTCTCCAGATAACAGTCTCCTCCTGCCCCCACTTCACGGCCTTCTCGCTTTTGCCCACCTGCAGTGCAGTGGTTGTGAGCATCGTAAGAGTAGCTTCAGCAGTTTGAATGTTTGTGGCTCCCTGTGAGTGAGTCTCACTCTCAGTGTGTGTGTGTGTGTGTGTGTGTGTGTGTGTGTGTGTGTGTGTGGAGAGATGAGTCATACGTTTCCATAGGGATCATACACCGCCTGCATCTCTCACACAGTAAACACTGCCTCCCTCTTACTGATCTGTACCTGTGGGGGCCAAGGCAGACCTAATTAAAGAAACAAACACATCTGTTTTTCCCTCTTCAGAAATTCAGTGTGGTCCTGAAACATCTGACTATTTTCATTGCCCAATTTTGACCTTTAGTTTGTTCAGTTCACTCCTCTGTTTTCACTGGCCATAAAGCTACTATATTAATTGTTTATTTCCTTTGCAGCAATTCATTCCATAGTATTTATGATCCCCGATAAATGATGAGTTTGAAGATTGAGGTTATTACTCATCCTTGTTGGTTGTACAGTGCATGTGTTGCATTATGTACATTGCATTACAGTACATGCATTGCATTATATACACTGCATTACAGTACATGCATTGCATTATGTGCATTGCATTACAGTACATGCATTACAGTACATACATTGCATTATGTGCATTGCATTAAAGTACATGCATTGCATTATGTATGGTGCATTACAGTGCATGCATTGCATTTTGTGCAGTGCATTACAGTGCATGCATTGCATTATGTACACTGCATTACAGTGCATGCATTGCATTATGTACACTGCATTACAGTACATGCATTGCATTATGTACAGTGCATTACAGTACATGCATTGCATTATATACACTGCATTACAGTACGTGCATTGCATTATGTACAGTGTATTACACTGCATGCATTGCATTATATTGAATTGCATTGAATACAGTTGTTACAGAATACAGCTGCATAATTTTAGTGCACACGTATTGCAGTATAATGTCACATTTGAGACTTTCAACCAACATTATATTGTGATAAAATCAATGCAGTCAGTGCTGTGTTGATCATTGCTCTAATCGTTTCACAGTGCAGTGTGTTGTAATGTGGTAAACAGGTATGTTCCAGAGTTCATGTTAAGCACTATATAACATACCCAATGCAAAATGTTAAAACAATATACAATATGCATTAAGGGAAAATTAGTCATTTGAATTAATTTTCTGTGTAGTTTTATTGCTCTTAAAGTGTCGTCACAGGATCATCTATATTGTGATCCGTATGGTTGATGTCAGTATCTTTTGTAAAATCTATTGGAAAACAAGTTTTAGGGCATATAACCCACACTGATTATGCAGTGGTGTAACACAGGAGTCAAAGGGTCACATGTCTCAAGAGAGGGACTGAGAATGAGCCTTTATAAAGTGGTGCTTGGTGTTCCATTTCCCTGAACACTCTGCTCCTAGTGGCTCTCATCCAATAAGAGTCCTCCCTCACACTCCCAAAGAGGACCTCAGTGAGAGCTCTTGTGACTGAGAACTGCAAGCACATTTTCACCACTCACTGAAGATCTGTCTCTAATAGACGCCTTTGATAATTGACTAGTTTGGTTTGGTCAGCCATGCAGCTTTATAGTAGATACAAGTTTACATTTCCATACAATAAAATACACTAAATGGCAAAAGTATGTGGACACACATTCCAATTACCAGGTTTGGATATTTCAGCCACATGCATTACAATAAGGTGCTTAAGCCATGCAAACTTCATAGCCTAAAACTGGCAGTAGAATGGGCTGTATTGAGGTCTGTGACTTTAATTGTGGCACTATCAGAGGAGACCACTTTCCCAACAGGTCAGTTCATCAAGTTTCTACTTTGCTAGAGCTGCCCTAGTCAGCAGTAAGCCCTGGTGTTATGAAGTGGAAATGTCTTGGAGCAAGGACTACTCATTTGAGAAGCAGTGGATGCAAATTCACAGACGGGGAGTGCAGAGTGCTGCAGTGTATATCATGTAAAAATCATCTGTCTGTGGATATGGTGCTGACTACCAAATTCCAGAATGTACAAGAACTCTTCATTGGAAGCTTTTTGGATTGGGCTTAACCTTTTACCTGGCCAGGTCCCAGTGAAAGGCCCAAAGTTTTATTACACACTTCTATAACCTAAGAATAGCTCAAGTAGTTTGCATTGAACTCCCTGTAGTTACTGAATAATGAGCCTTAGTGTGTAATAAGCCTGGGATTTTAAGAGGTTAAATAACTAAACAGCTGCACATAAGATCGTGTGCAGTCATGCACGTTGCTGAACATTGGCTGGAGTGGTGTAAAGCACACTTCACCATCTGGCAGTGAGATGGTCGCATCTGGATTTGGTGGATGCCGGCAGAGCACTGTCTACCTGAATGCATAATGCTAACTTAAAGTTTGGTGGATGAAAAATTAGAGTCTGGGTCTGTTTTCGATGGTTTGGACTGGGCCCTTCAAGTCCAGTGAAGGGAGGTCATTACAATCAGCCTTCAGTGACATTCTAGAGAGTTCTGTGCTTCATTTGTGGCAACAGTTTGGGGGAAGGCCTTTTTCTAAGTAATCCATCTGCACACAAAACTTACAAAATTATCTGCCAGTTTTGGTGTGGAAGAGCTTGACTGGCTTGATCTCAACCCCACTGAACACCTTTGGAAGGACTTGGAATGCCAGCTGTGAGCCAGGCCTCATCACCCTACATCAGTGCATGACCTCATTAATGCTCTTGTGGCTAAATGGAAGCAAATCCCTGCACCCATGTTACAAGATCTAGTGGAAAGCCTTTCCAGAAGAATGGAGGCTGTTACTGTGGCAAAGAGTAGACCTGGTCCGTATTGCCCATGGTTTTAGAATGAGATGTTTTTTTTTTTTTGTGTGTGATGTTCATACATAGTGTCCACATACTTTTGGCCATATAATTAAAATCAACTTAATTGTGTTGATGCAATATATTTAATTAACGTCAAAATGATGTACATGTTTGTATCAAGTAAATTCAGCCCATTACCTTTTTCAGTATAGCTTAATATACAAACTAAACTTAATTGGCAAAGCATGGTCGTCAAATCTGGACATAGCTCTTCTAAAAAAATCATAAAAGCAATGGAAAGTGTTATTTATATGACTACCTTATTAGCAGTAATAACATATTGAAATAGCAGCAATAACATATTGAAATAGCAGCAATAACATATTGAAATAGCAGTAATAACATATTGAAATAGCCTAAGACAATTCATTCTTTG